CCTCTAAACCTGAACTAGTAAGTAGGACCAGCCTAGGTAACACTTTTGGAGCAGTCTGTGTCTTCTGCATGATGCAGCTTAAGGCTCAGGAGAGCTGGTCAGCTCACAGCTTCTCATAGTGCTCTGGGTAGCTCCGTCAAGAGCAGCTTCCTTGCAGCAAGTTCACACAGAATCTACAAACCACCATTTTCCACGTAACCGAGAGGTTTGCTGTGAAACACTCCTTACTATCTGCCAGTGTAAAAGAAAGGAAGGAAGGAAGCCTGGCATTACATAGCCAAACTGAGGGGAGGCCAGGCTAACCACTCAAAAAATTATATACACAAAATTGCCTTCTCTACTTAGTTCTTTCCACGTCTTTAAGGAAGTGATACCCTGTACTGTGTCATAGCTATGAGTAAATGTTTAGCAGTCACACAAAACCAAAGCAGATGACGTCAGATCTAAAGCTGTTATTGTAACACATAATGTGGGTGTTTATGCCTAGATTTATTTCTTATATTAACTGGAATGCCTACTTCGGGGAAGCAGAGAAAGAAGTAAACTCATAACTTTATTAGCTATTAATGCAAGAAAACTATAGGACTCTGGAAGAGAAAATATGATAAACTCTCTTCCATCCCTTCTAATCTTCTCCCCACTTCAAATAGGGGATCAAAATAACCTGTTAAGTTACTTACCTCTATCTGTATTTCATGTACAATAGTCATCTATCACATAGAAACACAGGTTCACTCATACTCCTGTTCAGATTGTTCAGATTAGTTCTTATCCTTGGTAGTACCCTAGTTAAGGTTTCATGATCACTTCTGTATTTTTTTTTAGAATTCTTTAATCTTCCTTTTCTTGTTTACTTTTAGCTCCCCTTTCTCTATTAATTATACACATCAGCCATGTCTACAGCCTCATGGTTCTCTTATTTGAGTCTACTAAATTAACTCCCCTTCACGCCTCCAACAGTTATTCACTACTGATATCTCCTGCTTCAGCTCTGGCACTTTTCCCCAAACTGCTAGAAATTTAGTCTTTCAGCATAGTTACAGGTCTGAACCACTTTGGAGGTAATATGAGATCCCATGTCAGATTTTTGGCCCTGGATGAAGCAAGCAAAAGGTACATTAGGGATGTGACCTGTGTAACTACAGAAGACATCACAATGTTCTGAGCTTTGCAGGGTGTCACTGCGTCCATCTAAGTCTGATGAAATATATGATGAATTGAGGCCAGGTCATCATCCACCAAAATCGACAGAGATGACAGAAAGTACTTCTCATGGATGCTGCAATATGGGGATTTAGCAGCATCATTGAACTCTAGACCCTACTCTAGCTGCAGTTCAAACTGGTACACTTTGCATGTGTATTTTGCCTATTAAATACAATTTTTTTTTTAAACATGTTGTCTTATTATGTTTCTGGTGGATTCAAGTTACAGAAGATAATGGCAATGCCAACAGCAGATGTTGGCTAAACACTGACAAACCTCCATGAGGACTGGAGTGTGGTAAGGTGATCAGTGGCCATCGTCTAAGGCAAATCAGTTTTTAGGTTAGAACTTCTGGATTATCTGGATGAAAAATAAATAATGGATTGACCAGAAAGAGATTTGAATAATATGGCAGAACAGGTCAATGAAGATAGGCAGCTGAAAGCATTAAAAGCAAGTATCTCTCAGTAACTATTTTAGACTTTTCCTTATCTTTTCCTGTTTTAGTATCAAACCTACTATGTCAAAGGGAAGGAAAAGAGCCTATCTTGATTCCAACACATATCTCAGAAACAGAAAAAAATAATGTAGGAAACATCAATGAATTTTTCCAATTCAGGCATATCAATTAAAGGAAAGAGTGATTACTTTAAAAACCTCTGCTAGTCTTATATTTTTATCTATTATTAGTTACAGGATTAAAAAGTGCCGAGACCAAAGATTTCTGACCTTGGAGAAGGATCTGTATTCCCAGACCAAACCTAGCAGAGGACAGAAGCAGCTTCTAGATTGCATTTACATATGAGGAGACACAAATGTGCACAAGCTAAGGTGAAACAGCTTGGTTAAACATACAGCTAGAAAGCCTTTCCTCCAATGCACTTGTCCAGGTACCAGAAACACGGCTAGAAACATTTCACAACACTCCCTTCAGCTCAACGACAGAAGCATTTGCTCCTTTGGGTTCAGGTCTAATCACCTGCTCTTCATTTGTGAGCGGATACTGTCCAGGTACTGAAGTATCTTGATGGTAACAGTGGAAACCAGTGTTAACTAGAAAAGAGGCACCACTTTATCTCTACAAGAGCCTCACACCTGAGTCTATATTATCTGCCTGATTTTCCTAATAGCTGGAAATTGGATTAGAGAAATAATTGCTTATTTGGCTCTTCAGGTGGGAATCCTGTGCTTTAGAGCAGTTCATTTATCTAGAGTGTCCTGAGAAGATAATTTTACAAAACTGTGGGCTTACAGCCTGGCACTATAGTGGGTTTCGGTAGAAATAACACTTCTGTTACAGCATTAAGCTCTAGAAAAGACAAATTTATGTTTTAAATTGAGAACAGGAATTTATTTTAAAACCTAGATGTTTGTGGAAGCTGATTAGGACTTCATAGGGAAAGCTGAGCCTGAGTACTTGATAACTCGTCCTTTTCAAATAAATCCACCAGGTAAGTCTCCTTAAGTTTTGGAACTTTTCCACCTTGTCTGATTTCCTGGTACTTGTTCATACAAGTTTTGCCCTGTAAGCACACCTTTGATTAGCTGTGACATGGTACCTTTCCTTTCAAATGAATCTATTTTGAAACTTCTTGTACTTAAAATCCATCTAGACTTCCTTTTTGAAAGGCTTTGAGACCCAACTCTTTCCTCACTTGTTCCGCTTAACTCAGTGTATTTTCTTCCACAGAAAAGATTACTATTGGGTCTTGAGTGTCCGGAAGTATCCCCATTAAATAAGGAAAAACACGTTTTACTCAGAAATGCTGAGTCATTCTCAATTCCCAATTTGGACTGGGAAGTGAATGGGGGAATGCATTTTTAGAACTGCATCACAGAGCATGAGTGGCAATCCAAATAAAGGATGACTCTTTATTCATACATATGTATACGTAACCTGTATGAGATTTAAGTTCTCTTGTCAAGAGAGTAGAGACAATCCTTTACATTTCCAAGCTCTCTTTTGCAGTCTCAGCATAATTTTAAACGAGTGTATCTCTGCTCCAATCCAGACATGTGGCACTAAATGTAACATCTGAACCTACCCCCTTTCCAGGATTGAAATCGGTTACCATCTGGATAGACTAAAGTGTTCAGTAGCATAGTCTCCCTCCATGACATGACTGGATTATCTGTATAGTGTTAAACATAGGGCTGTAAGAGCTCTCTGGTAAAAATACCCCTTTCATCTTGTTCCAGTCAACAGGTGGCTTATGATTTGACCCCATTTCTTTTGAATACCTTTTTTGCCGTAGATTACAGTTCCTTGTTTCAGCAATAATCATGCACCTTGATTCCTTTATATTTTTTTTAATTTTTCTTATCAATTATGATTTTTGTTAGTCTCATTCAAGTAATTAATGAAGTTCCATGTCATGTGGCCCTAACATAACAAAATCCCCAGAGATGTGCTGCTGACTTTCTGGGCTAACATACATTAGGTGAACCATACATTAGGTGCGAGACTCTTTACTCTTAGCAAACCAGACATCTAAGATTCAGCATAAATATGTTTACACTTAAATGTTTTCCAAAATTTTTGTGTCAATTAAACGTGGCACTAGCTGACTTTCTTAAGCCTTAGTTAGATGTCTCTGGGAGACTTGGTTACTGTACTACAAACTTGGATTTTGGTATTAAGCAGTGTATTATTGATGGCTGGCACTGTTTAACAGAAGTTAAGTGACTAGAAGCCTGCTTTGCCAGCAGCTGTATAAATCCACAGAAAAATGGTGCTGTGTGGCCTGTACTCTCTGCTGATATTTTCAGGCACCAGGTGGAAATCCATTTGTAAACCTCCTTTACGAAGTGCCTGGGAAAGCCAGCCAGATGGTGGGTGAGTGGGGTTACATTCACTCTATGCACAGTCTCTCTTCCCTTCCAAAACCTTTTAAGGGTCAACCACTAAAAAACCATTGGCAGCCACCGGGTCGGGCCTGTCTCTACAGAAGAGTCGCGAATTGTCGCCGTGGGCCAAGGAACGTGGACAACGACAGGATTGCTCTTCCGGCGACGGTAACTCCCCTGGGATGAAAAGGCTCGCGTGTTTACGCGGCTTCATCCAGGCGGGAGGGCCCGTCCTCGGGAGAGGGATCTCGTGTCCGGCGAGCGGGCGAGCGGGTGAGCGGCGGGTGAGCGGCAGGCGCTGCCCTGGCTCCTTCCCCGCTGCCTCTCCGGGATGCCGCCCGGGGCGGCTCCAGCGCCCCTCCTCCTGCCCCGACGGCCGCTCGCTCCTGCTCCCGCTCCTGCCCCGCCCCGCCCGCGCGGCCCTTCGCGCTGCCGGAGCGTCAGCGGGAATTTCCAGCCAGGAAGTGCGGCGGGCCGGGGGCAGGGGCGGAGGCTGCGCAGGCCGGTGCCGCTCGGCTGCCCTGGCCGGCGGGGCGGGCGGGGAGGAGGGGGAAAGTCCGCGCGGAGCGGAGCCGGGGCGCGGGCGGCGGCACGCCGCTTACATGGCGCGGCGCTGAGGGACCCGCCGGCGGCACACCGCCACCACGACCTGGAGGACGAGGCGCCGCCAGCCCTGCCCTGCCCCGGTGAGCCCCAGGCGGCCCCTGACCCGCCGCTCGCCGCTTTCTTTCTCCGCTGTCCGTGCCTCGGCGCCCGCCTGCCGCTGGCTGCGCTCCCTGTGCCCCGCGCCAGCCCGGGCTGGGCTGGGCGGCGGCGGCAGCGCCGCGGGGAGCGCGGCAGCCCACGGAGCGGAGGTTTGCCGGCGGGAAGCGTGTCCCCGCGAACAGCCCAGCGCCTGCCACCTCGGCCCGGGCGCGGAGCTCCCGCTGGAGCGCCGGGAGGAGCTGCCGCGGGATTCGCCCGCGCTCGGCGCGGCGGCTGCGGCGAGCCGGGGGAGCGGGCGGGATGCCGGGCAGGGCTTTTCTGCTGGGGTGCTACAGGGGTCTTCCTGGCGAGGAAAGGGGTGTCTGTGACAGGCTGTCCGGTAAAGTGAAAAATTCTGAAAGCCCGACTTGTGCTGACGGCGTGGCGGGTGCTCGTAGGGTGAAGGAGGTGCTGCTCTTGTCAGTTTTGGTTTCGAAGGTGACACACGTACGTGCTCCACCTGAGACACAGCCGGGAGCGCCCGCCGGGGCACAGCATCAAAACGTGAGTTTGGTACTGGCGGCTTCGGGTGTCTTCGTCTTGGGTGGAGCCCAAGAGTGTCGCAGATAGTATTTAAAAAAGGCTGCGTTAAAAGGTAGGAAAGAGTGAGGTTTTTAAAGGTAATTTCGTAATAAGTGATGAAACTGAAAAGTTCTCATCATGAGGAGGAATATTATTAGACTGATTGGTCTGTTACACTTGACCTAAACCCCAAGAATATCCAACTTCTCATCATCACAATTTTTTTTGCCTAACGATGCTTTTTGCTTTGATGGTAACTTTGGTAAAAAAGCGCTGTTGACATTTTATGTGAACAAAAAGCGGAGTATTATTTCTGTGACACATGCTATGTGTTGTTGGGCTATTATCATAATGCAGCGTACTACTGTGTGATTTCATTCAAATAAGCGAATGTGAGTGCCTGTAAGCATTTGGGGAATAAGACTTAAGAGACAAGGGATCATCTGCTGTTTCAACTTCCTGTTTTAAAATGCTCAAAATCTTTGCTTAAGAGTAACATTTTAAAGGAAATACAGATTATTATTATTTTTAAAAGCGGTTTTAAAGTGCTGATCGTATTTGACATGTTTTGTGCTTCAGAAGTTCTCTTTTCACTTACTCTGTTCAGAGAGAAAAGTGGATGAATTCTTTGCCTTAACACCTCATGTCTTAGATTCTGTGAGGTGCTACACCACCGCTGTCAAGCTCACAGAACAGAGTTGAAAATTTAGCACTTTGATTTTATTGACATCCGGAGTCTCTGTGCTGTGTACTGTGTAGTACCAACTTTTGAAATAGCGTTTCAGTCAAAGCATTTTTACTCTTTCAGAAAAGAATGTAGCTGCCCCTTCTAGGAAAGCATTAACCAAGACGTCATTCTAAGATATCCTGTCTGCAATGTTTTGTAATCTACAGAAATGACTACAGTTTAACTGAGAAAATGAAAGATGATAAAGCAGCCTGTAACAATCCAGAAGCAGATGCTCTGTTCTGCAAACTTCTCTGGCTCAAGAATTTAGCTAACAGTTATGCTGAAATATTATTGTCAGGATCTGCCACAGTGTGTGGAGATTTCAAGGAATCTCAGTGCTGAAATCTGTGCAAGATTAGTTAAATAAGTTAATCTGAGATATTTCTTTCCACCCTTTGTAAGGAAAGAAATATCAATCAGTGATAGTCATCAAAAAATGGAGTCGTTTTCTATGCAAGGAATGAATACACTGACTAGAGATAAGAGAACAGCTTTGTATCACTTTGCATCATGTTGTATGTTTTTAAAAAACAGTGTTGTAGCAGATAAACTTCATACCTTCATTTACTTCATTCTGGCAGCACCTTGGTAATGTTTTTGTAGTGTTTATTTTGAAATCAGAAAAGTTTGCTGGAAAAAAGGTTGCTGGGAGAGAGAAAAAGAGAATCTTGGAAGAGGGTGGGAGGGTGGAAAGCAGACAGAGATATTTCACTGATGTGCACATTTGAAAATTTCCTGCTTCATTTGTTGAAAAACAGCAGTTCTAATTGTTTCTCAGTTCCTATGTATTTGACTTTAAAAATCAATTTTAATAATAAATATAAATTTGCATTTTTCCATTGAAGTGGCATTACATGAATTCAGTAGGATACCTACAAATAAATATCACTGATGCAAATTTGCTGAATAATAAATTTTTGAGTTTCCTTTTCCCAAAAACTTCCCATGCCACTGTCATATGAATACATGCAAACTCCAGAAATATGTTCAGTTAGGAATTAATGTCATTGTGCTTATTGCTGAGCCTGGAAGTACAGGAACTAAGTTTGAAGGCCTGTGAGTCTTCACTGTCAAGGGTGCTTGTATACAAAGTAGATTTTGGTCTTGAAGTTGCAAAGATACAGTGAAAGACAATATATTTTTTACTAACTTACAGTTGGTTTTCTGATGTAGTGATGATGAAATTCTGTGGTCTTCAGAGATTCTGGTTAATTCTGTGTTTTCATAGATCGCTTCAAAATAACTTGCTAAGATATTTTCGCCTGTCAGTGCTGTTTGCCAACTCTGAATTCAAAAGTACCAGTCTTAAAGAAAATTGTTACTCATTTAGGTAAGCAACTAATGAAAAGTCTAAAGTTAGCTAAAAAGTCTTTTTTCTAACAAGTTGATAGCTTTCCTTTGGTTCTCAGACAAAATAACACAGCTATTATGAAACAAAGAGGAAAGAATGTTTCAGGCGGAATGAAAAACCAGTTCCTGGTTTTGGTCACTTTTAGCTTTGACACAGGTATTTTAGAAGTGGAAGTCGTCATTTGATGTCCTCTAAATAAGCTGTGAACCTTTTAAGAAGTTCTACATTGATAAGATCATAATTATAGTTGCATTAACTGTGCCCTTAGGTCAGTCAAGCAGTAAGTTTGCATCTAACTTCAAGCACAGAAATAATTCACTGAATCTTCTTCAGTGCTTTCATTTAAACATATGTATTTTGCTGAAGCGCTGTTGACAGTTTCAAAAGTAAGGCCTTAAAAGATGTTTCAAATTATTATAGTCTCAAGGTAAAATCCTTTGTTTAGCATTTAGGTGAAGCTGACAGACCATGTGTGGGGAGGAAGCTACTATTGCTACTTACTAGCATTATTTCCCCCTTTCAGCTTCTATGTTCTTTTGAAAATCAGTGACACAGATATGGGTTTTTTCTTCATTTAAAATGCTAAACTGAAATACTTCTGTTTCATTTGTCCTCCAAGCAAATTGTTCTGGTATCAACAGGTCAAGTGCAAAGTAGGTCTGAGTTGTGTGGTGTTGGGCTTTGTTTGTGTTTTCTTTGTTTTACTTGGGTTTGGCTTTAGTTTTTTGTTTCTGCTGAAGATCATATTTCTAGCTGTTTAAAGATGGATAGATTTTAACATAAGAATGAAGTAAAAATGAAGTAAGCAGGTGATTTTTTGGTCTCATTAGTTTAGTCCAAGTGGGTTTTGTTGTGTCATAAGTTACTATAGAAAACTGAGACTGCAAGAGTTTTACCATTTCTTTGTGAAAAGCAAAAAAATAAGCCTTAGTAACCCCTTTGCATCTATAGATTTGAAAACTAGGGTATAGCTGTGACTGTGCTGGACTCAGTTTGACCTGTTTGGTTCCACTTACTGGTGTTAGTAAACTGTTTCTGTCATGTTATGTTTTCAGTGGCTGTTTGGAACTAAAAGGACGCTGAGAATCCCTTAGCTGACTTTTGTGATGGCAGTGCTAACAGCCCTTGCTATTTTCTGAGCCCTCTTCTGCTACTGTTGTTCATAAAATAGGGGACTGTCTTCAGTAAGACCCCAGAACTTGTGTAAGTGAACTTGATGATAACAGGAAACCTTATGTCAACTAGACTAATGAAATCTTGGGTTTACTTGTTACTTGGCTTCTCAGAAACACTGTTCTTCCCGTGCTCCCCTCCCACCACTCTCCCCCGCCCCCCCCAAAAAAAAAAAAAAGGAAAACTTTGCAGTTTAATATTGATGATTCATGACACTTAAGGCTTATGAAATGGGTATATGTGGCTTGTTAATTCAAACTTGACTGATGAACAACTTCTGTATGAAATAGAACTATTTGTAGAGAACATGTCAGTCTTTTTTCTGATCTGTAGGAAAAGTAACAGCATTTTAACATGATATTCAGTTTAGTTCAAGTAGTAGTAACACCCCATGTGGCTAAAATGCAGTGTAGTTACTAGAACTGTTTTGCTGTGTTGAACCTCAGTATTTTTACATATACTTAGCATTATACATGTACCAGAATATACTTGCCATATATTTGAATACTGTTTATTCCTTTGGTTTAAGTTGCTTTGAATATGTTTTAACAAAAACATTCTAACTTTATTCCAACAATATCATGGAAAAACAGTTTATATGTTTATGGCATTTTAGTGTTTCCTCTTGACATACTGGTTCACTACTTTGATACTTGGGAAAGGAATGAAACGAAAGTTCTGTTTGCACAGATAGTTAATAGAGCAACCATTCAGGTAGTCCAGTTACTCTTTGCCAATTGAATTTTCTTATGCTATGATTTTTTTTTCTTCAAATAATAATAAATTTGCTGTAATAAATTTGATTCTAGATTTTGAATCATAAAATAATTTTGCACCCAGCAATTCTGAGTTAGAGCATCACACTTCTGAAATCTCTTAAATATTTGTGATTGATTTAATTTCCTAAATATTTTGTAGTTTTTCTACTGTTGTCAAATAATGCATCTGCTCACAACTAAAAATATTTGAAAAATTTAAATTCAACAATTTTTAAATTTTAAAAATACACAGAGACAACTGCCAGGTCCCACCCAACAGGAAATAATAAACAGGCTTAATTATTAAGAAGAGGAGGCAATTTGTGTTGTTATATTAGAAAAACAAACAGTGTCATTTAGGGTTATGTAGTGTTATTGCAAATGCAACAGTCTATAAGATTGTTAACAGGATAAGAAAAAGTCTGCAGAGGAAAGTAGAATCTTTGATAAAAATGTCTCTCTGCACAAACTTTTCCTTACTTGCATACTGAGAAATTACACTCAAATCTTTATTGAACGATTACACGTCTTTGTAGTACCTGAAGGAATGTAAAAATACAACTTCCTTTTGCTGCTTTAGCGGAAATTGAGCACTGTTGAGTTGTATACTGAGAATACAGTTTCCTTAAAACAGCTCCCTTCAGCCCCAGGTATTGAAGTCATAGATGGGAGAAGAAATAGTAGTAAACATATAACATTTAAAGGCAAATTTCAAATCTGTTTCATTACTGAGTTAAAACTTCTTCAAAATAACATAGTCGATGGGGCTTCTTGTCAACCTGAGCAAGTTAGCAATCTCTTCTTGTGTTTAGCATGTTTTTCTTTCCCATTTGTGCTAAAGATATTTATGCCAATATTGTGGGTGACAGTATGCATGATGTTACCTTATATTTTGGTTCTATTTACTTCATATAATACATAATACTTTAGTTGTTTATCACCTCTTACTTTGAATAAAATGGTTTCTGCTCTGGAGCTGTACTTCTGGCATTCTGGGAAAAATAACTGAGTTCAAAGGAAATGAAGTGCTGGATGAATTGAAGAGGTGGCCAGAAGCAGGGTGAAAAGGCCATGCATTGAAAAGGAGTGGGCAGTGTCGTGACTTTGAAGGGACTGTGGTGGTGAAGGCTTGAGACTAAACAGCTTGGATCAGTATCTCAGATCTGTCAGGGCAGCATGCTCTGGCCTCTAGCCAAAATCATCTCAGCAGCTCTTGTCCTCCTTCCCTCACTGACCTAGCAATTCCAAGTCTCTATTGCACAATACTTTTTCCCAGCATCTCTGTTTGGGAAATTTTGGTCTCTAGAACAATTGTCTCTATACAGGTACAGATTATGTTTTGCAAAGGGTAGGAGAGTGAGGCTCAAGGATAAATAGTTGCCACTTAAAGTTAAGTAAACAATGCCAGGTAAAAGACATGGTAGAGACTGTACAATACAGCAGTTACTGTTTCTACCTCAGTATTTCTAGGTGCTGTTCCTAAAAACATAGTTCTCTGCAGTCACATAGTCTGCCATGTTTTATAGCCCTGATGTAGCAAAAATATACATTCAATATAATATATAAAGCACGAATGTCTTTGCTTTTTTTTCATCCTCATTCCTCTCTATTTTTAGTAAGCAAAATAAACAGGCTAAGAACATAACCACAGTGGATTTCATTACTTTCATTCAGTGTTCAGTTAAGTTTATTTTTAACAGGTAAATTACAATGAAAGCCAAGTTAAAGAGAAAAAGCACTGCTAGAATACTTTCAGGAAGTATTGTTCTTTCTGTATATCAGGTCAGTTGAAGTATAGTAGTTGAGTTTCTCACCTTGAGGCTTGCTTTCTGAATCCCAGCCTTGAAAGGTGAGAACAGGTTGATGTAAAACATCTCGGAAAGTAAGCGATGAATGTTCTTCAATGAAGAAATTTATTTAAACCATCAGACTAATTCCAGTTCACAAGTGCAATGGAGTGGGTAATAAAGATCATGATTGCCAGCAGTGTGCCCAGGTGGCCAAGAAGGCCAATGGCATCCTGGCCTGGATCAGGAACAGTGTGGCCAGCAGGAGCAGGGAAGTGATCCTTCCCCTGTACTCTGCGTTGGTGAGGCCACACCTTGAGTATTGTGTTCAGCACTGGGTCCCTCAGTTCAGGAAGGATATTGAGGTGCTGGAGCGGGTCCAGAGAAGAGCAACGAAACTGGTGAAGGGACTTGAGCACAAGTCCTATGAGGAGAGGCTGAGGGAGCTGGGACTGTTTAGTCTGGAGAAGAGAAGGCTCAGAGGTGACCTCATCACTCTCTTCAACTACCTGAAGGGAGGTTGTAGCCAGGCGGGGGTTGGTCTCTTCTCCCAGGCAACCAACAGTAGGACAAGGGGACATGGGCTCAAGCTCTGCCAGGGGAGGTTTAGGTTAGATGTTAGGAAGAAATTCTTTACAGAGAGGGTTATCAGGCATTGGAACGGCCTACCCAGAGAGGTGGTGGATTCACCATCCCTGGAGGTTTTTAAAAAGAGATTGGACGTGGCCCTTAGTGCCATGATATAGTAATTGGAGTTGGATCAGGGGTTGGACTTGATGATCTTGGAGGTCTTTTCCAACCCAATCTATTCTATGATTCTATGATTGTCTGTAGAAAGGTAATAGGAAGTCCCATTCCAAGTTTGTAGGGATTTTATTGGATGCTGGTATCAAAGAGGACAAGGGTTTACCTCATGCTTTAAATTCAGGCTGGAAAGTTGAAGAGAAGTAGAGGGAAGGATCTGGACTCTGATAAGTCAGGAGGGCTGAAAAAAATTGGATAGGGAAAGTTGTCTTGGTTTTTAAAAGGTGAACACAATGCATGCTGGAGAACAGGGAAGAGCTCTGAAATCAAATTATTGGGATAAACAGCAATGAGAATTCTTGTTCCTGGATGAGAGCATTCCTATGTTAATTATGTTGTTTCCATTTTAAATGCCTGATCCTTTTGAAGCTTTAAAACAATTATTCAGAATGCAATAAATGAAGTCATGTTCTTCCAGCTATGCCTACTTGTACCTTGTGCCATTTGGTTACTGAGGAGAGGAGTGATGGCGAAGTTACTGCCATTCTATTTGCTTGGTTGTTTGGTGCAACCCCATTGTCTTCCATATATATGGAATGTATGTATGTACAACTTCCTAGTTGATGGGTTTTTTCTCCCTTTTTAAACCTTTTTCAAAGTGGCAATTGACCTGCTGTGAGGAGAAAGGAATACTGCACATGTACGCATATGCACACACGTACACACCCTCAGTATGTACAGCTGTGTGGTTTTGGGCAAGTTTAGCTGGATTTTACATTTTCCCATTGCACTAGGAGCTAAATGAAGTTGCTTCACCGCCTTTAAATTTTCACACTTAAAAATACTGTGAATTGAAATGTTTTGTTTCCTGAGCCTTGTTATCTGAAAGACTTCAGACAATCTCCAGGGTGGAGACTGCTGTGGTTGCCTGTGGTCTGCAGATGTTGGGGCATTTTTTTATTGTAGATGCAAGTGTGCAATACAACTTGTGGGAATTGGAGATTATGCAGGAAGTGGGCATATATAATAACATGAACTTCCACAAAACAATTTTAATTGAGTCATCTTCCAATGAGAGAGAGGTGGCAGTCTCTGCCTCATAGAGGTGGCAGCTCATGTAGGGAGAGAATGAACAAAGCTACACGAGGTAGATGCTAATCTTACCATTTGATGCATGTAGGAAAGGAGTGCAGAAATGGAGCAGTAAGGGGAGAGGCCAATTAAAAGTCACACAATTAATGCTAGGGACTGTTTTTCTGCAAGCGTCTTTTTCACTTTTTGATCGTTATCAACTCTGGATTTGCACCAATTTTCGTGTAAGAAGAGGAAGTGTGGAGATTCGTTAACTAAATAAATCCTAAGGAAACAAGTTCTAGTTTGGAGGTAGGGGTCCCAGAACATCTTTGTTGTTTTTTTGGCTTTGAAGAGGACAAAACAGTGAAACTGAGGGTATTTTCAGTCATTTAGAAGGGTCATTTGAAACTGCTGGGTTAATCTTTGTCTAGGCCCTGAAAAGGCAATCAAGTGTCAGTTCACATACACAAAGATGTATATTTGCACATCTAAATCATAATCTGTTTATAATAAACTAGTTTAGCATTCAGGCCTGAGAGAAAATCTTTAACCTTCCCCCTCCAAACACTGCAGCTGACTGTTGAACACGAAAGATCTCAAGTAACAGCAGCCTGTGCTGTTGATGCAAGAGAGACTGTGTTTAACACCTGGTTAGACATTCATTAGTACATACCCGCAATATGTAGGTAGTTGCTTTGCTGCTTCCAATTGTAATGTTCATAGAATCATAGAATAGTTTGGGTTGGAAGGGACCTCAAGGATCATCTAGTTCTAACCCCCCTGCATCATAGGCAGGGACACCTCCCACTAGACCAGATTGCTCAAAGCCTATCCAACCTGGCCTTGAACACTTCCAGGGCTGGGGCATCCACACCTTCTCTGAGCAAACTGTGCCAGTGTCTCACCACCCTCCTAAGTGAAGAATTTATTCCTTCTATCTGATGTAAACCTGGTTTAAAACCATTTCCCCTTGCCTCATCACTACATACCCTCGTAAAAAGTCCTCTCCAGCTTTCCTGTAGACCCTCTCTAGGTACTTGGAAGGTGCTGTAAGGTCTCCCTGGAGTCTTCTCCAGGGTGAACAGCTGCAACCCTCTCAGCTGGTCTGCAGAGCAGAGGTGTCCCAGCCCTGTGAGCATCTTTGTGACCCTCCCTTGGACTTGCTCCAACATGTCCATGTCCTTCTTGTGCTGAGGACCCCAGAGCTGAATGTAGTACTGCAGTGGGGACATATGTAATAGTTTCTGTTTTCCTGTCATGACATTGTTCACTGCATCAGCTAAAAAGGCAGAAATTACTGCATTCATAAGGTGAAATTCAGATAGACATAGATTTTATTTCTGTATGGATTTTAATTTTTACATCAAAGTACCTAAAATGAAAAGTTTTCAGAAATACTGCCTCTGCGATATTTTTCCGCTTTGTTGGAAAGTCATGTAATGTAGAACTGTAGATGTGACCAGGAAGCATAGCAGATGTGAGAACTGCTGTTCTCACAGAGTTCTGCTGCAGGGAGAGTGGTGCAGTCTGAGAAACTAGAATAGGGCAAAGGCAATAGAACATACTGTTAAATTTGTCCTATTGGGCTTGCAGAAGAAGCTGTGCGATGCTTGCTTTGGAAGTTTTGCAAATTATACATTTAGCAAACAGGCAAGTAGGCAGATGCTATTCACATTAGCTCCTCAGAATATTTTTTTTTGAACAAGGACATTTGCTGTGTTGTCTGGGTAGGTATTTTTGAACACAGTTTTGCATATGTGACTCATGAAATAGTAAGTGTTTAAATCTGAGATCACAAAACAAGACCAGTTTTTATTCTGTTTATGCAGAAGAAACATGGCATTTGTACTCAGTTACCTAAGCAGGGTGCATCAACAGGGTTAGTATTTTCTGATGCTTTGTAAATAATGTTGGCTATTGAGATATTCAGATTGTTTTCTGTAATACTGACACTTTTCACTGGGAACTGTTTGACAAAAACTAAATTACAGTTGTTTCAGTGATTTCAGTATGTCAGTTGGCAATGATGATTATTTTATTTCTATGGAACAGAAGTCAAACAAAAACATCTTAGCAAATTTTGTTGTATGCTGAGGGGTTTTTATGCATTCTATGTCAACTTTGTCCATAAAGATTAATAATAACGATAACAGGTTGTTGATGAAAATAATGTTTTGTGAATGTGCCTGTGAAATAATGTGATTGACTGGTATTTTTCATATTGCTCAAATCCTGATGTGTTGGGTGATAAAGTACAGCATGGGTGACATTGGCTGCTTGTTCTATCTGTTACTAATTTTTGGCTGAAATCTTATGACCAGTTATTTGATGTTTGCTCAAATACTACAAATAAATATTACCCAGTAAATATTTCTCTCTAAAACTGAATTATGGTCAGGTGTGTACTTTTTACTTTGTAGAGTCAAAAATAATTTTATCCACATGAACCTCCTTTTCCTGAAAGTCATCTGTGTATTAAGTATTTCTCTATTTCTCTATTTTATTTTTTTTTCCCATTTTCTAGTTTGTGTGGGATGGGTGCCTATATGTTGGCTTTGGAGCTTGTTAATGAGCTGAGTCTCCATCAAAGTGAAGTACCTAAGTATTCCAATTTTCATATTGATACTTGCCTTTCTAGTTGCTGTAGAAGGTACATGGTGACTCAGTTTTTCTTTACTGATTTACTGATCGTTTGCAACTCTCCTTCCTAGTGCAATAGTTTTCATAGTTCACTTTGCTTTGCTGGAAAACGTGGCTCATGTTCATTGTGGTGGAATATGAGGGCCAGTGACATGTTTCTGACTTCTGTTAGTTATTAACCTTATTTAGTGTCTGCTTGCATGCAGACATGAGCCTCTTGACATAGTCATACAGTTATTTTCAGATGTTCCCTTGAAGAGCCTTATTTAGTGAGATCAACATAGGTGAAATTAAAATTCTTTCAGTAACATCTACATTAGAGGAAATAACACTAATATTTTCTAATAGACCTTATAAATTCCTAAGCAAATTCACAGGCTCTGCTCCTGGCCCTTCACTACTGGCCCCTGAAAAACTAAGCTATCCTAAACTTTCCCAGTGTCCAGCATTTACATGTAAACCTATGACAGAGGGTTGGGAATGCTGTACATCCATAATTGTCATTGTCAGCACTCTGTCGTTGTGGGTGCTAAGCACTTGTGGACTGCTGGAATTAATGGTGTCCAAAATTAGTCAATATTTGACTCCTGTTTGTATTTATAAAATGTAAAAAATATTGGATGTTCTTCCTTGGGTATCTTTGTCTTGCATTTAGCAATACTTCACAAGAAAACCGTTCTGGTTCATTCATGAATGCTCAGAATGCTCTTTTTATTGTGTAAGAATGCAGAGTCCTGCTTTTGCTAGAGTATGGTAATGATTTTGCCTAAAGTCTTAATTACAGAATAGTCAGAGGAAAGACAGAAACTAATTAATTCCTGAAGAAATTTTGACTTCAGGACTTAAATATTAATTTTTAGTTACTTGAGAGCATGCAGTGGAAAATCCCAGCTGTAACCTATCCTGTCCTTACATTGTCCCTTCCAAATCCTGAGGAATTTTGAAAGTATTTTAAAAATCATAATGTGATGAGTAAAATAAGAAGTTTCAGAGATGGGGCTTTTAACATTTTCTAGGTTTCTCTACTGCTGTACATTGAAAAAAAAAATAGAGTTTTAATCATGGTTTTGTGTTTCAGGACTTAAAATGGCAGGAGAAGATTCCTATATTATGGGAGTATCTGATCCTCAAGTAAGTGGATTTGTATGTTTTCAGTATACCTGTATCCTCTTCTAGCTCTCTGTTTAGGTTTTATCTCATACTGTCCTGTCATTTTCTAGGCTTAACAACATGGACATATCAAAGCATTTTGCACTGAAGAAGTCAGATTTGGGGAAATCTAGTTTTTTTTTCCCTAAGGTGATTTTTATGTGATCTGTAAAGTGCCTTGCCACTAGTTAAATGGTTGAAATGTAAAGGAAAGCTAGACCTGCTGAAATAAGCATTTGGAAAAATTATTTATTTTTATGCCCTGCCTGCCTGTGACACTTACTGTGAAGTTTCTGCTGTGGTAGACAGTGGACTTTTTCTGAAAATAAAACCCCTTATGCCATAGAAGGTCTTTTTGTGTAATTTTTTATGATATTTGCATTGACATAGATGAGTAAAATGTTCCTTCACTCATACAGATTGGTAGGCATAACTCTTATCAGGTCTTCCTGATCTCATTAGATCTGAACTGTGAAAATGGTGCTTGGGTGAAAAGTTTAAAGAAAGAACAGATCATTTCTACTCACCCTAATTTTCAAAGAGCAAGTACTTTCTCCTTTATGCTTGCTCCACTTTGGAAGTAGATTTATACCTGACAACAATTACAGTGAGTTAAAGATATGTCAGTGTTAAAAAAAAAAATAAATTAAACTTTAACCTGGGTATACTGTTTCTTGCATTAGACCTTGTCAATATATTTACATAAGGAATGTAGTCTGGTGAGGTTTAATCAGAGAAGTGAAAATGAAAACTCACAGGTTCTCAGCAAGGCCTTGGGCAAGACATCTAGTGTCAGATTTTCAAAATTTACTGTATAAGCTCTTTTGAATATATAGTTGTTAGCGCATGTAAGCAAAATGCACGTTTACAAACTGTGCTGAGGTCGGTGCGGTCTCATGATAGTGGTGGAACTTGGGGCAGTGCTATCAGCTCTACTTGCACTGCTGTTGCCAGTAAAAATAAATTAGCTATAAGATGTTCATGTAATTCAACAAAGTGTTTGCAGTCTCAATATCTGCAGAGAACTTTGAAATTCTTTGCTGATAGATGCTTTATGCAATTATGTATACATGTAGTAATGAAGAGTATATTTTCTTTCAATGTAGATGTTTGCAATGGATCAGTTCATGGGAATGAATGCATTATTTAATAGTACAAATTACATCCCTTCAGACTTACCAATCCGAACAGGTAAGAACCATTAGTATTTAATGGTGCTGTTGTCCTGCTGATTATTCCTGTTTGTTTCCTTTTGTAAAGTTCTTTTCAGAGGCTTTTTTTTTTCAGTCTTTCATAATACTAGATTGCAAAGTTGTCAACTAGATTTTTTTTTTACATCTTTTTGCATCTCTTTCTTACCCACATGAAACTTTCAGCAGTGAGGCAAATCTGATTCTCTTTTGGCTTGTACAGAAACTGAAAGTTTCAACAAGTTTCCCAGCTCAAACCAGAACAGTGACCAAAGAGCTTTGAGTGATCTGATTTTATGAATTATTTTGTATTGGGTTTTTTCTAAATTTGTGCCTTCGGTGACCTACCTGTTTATATTGCCAGGTTGCACGTCTTTTCCTTTTGAACACTTTCAGTTGTTGTAGTAGTTCTTAAGGTGTTTGTTTTTCACTAGTAAAATGTAGAGAATATTAACTTCCTGTGTTTTTCCTTCTCTGTGACTTCTCTGTTTCCTGTAAAGTGGCAGTGTGGTATAAGAAGTACCTGACAATTTCCTGAATAATAACACTCGTTTAAAAGTTCAGAGTCAAATTTTGCAACAAACTGCTGAAAATAAACAAATAGCATTCTGCAGAGGTCTGATATGCAGCTCTTACAGTATGGTTCAAGAACAGTAATAACAAATACAAGCCCATTGTAGCTCAGTCAGTATTAACTGCTTGATCAACCTTAGTCTGGTTTTGCTTATTAAATTTCTATATTAATATTACTTCTTGCATGAATTGGGAAAATTCTTTTTTCCTGCTTAGTTTATTGGAATAGCTGATATGAAAGGAAGAAGGAAATAAAATTTTATTTAAGCTTATGTGGGTTTTTTTCAATATATATATCTCCAATATAGCTATTAATGTCTTTTAACAGGACAAGTTTCTGTTGTTATCTATTTGACTGTTGTATCAGGATGTAGCTAGTATCTTCTGTATTACAAATTACTTTTGTTTGTTGAAAGTGAAAACCACTTCTGCTTGCAATATTTGATACACTTGACAGCAGTGAAGGTATAAAGGGTAAAATGAAATAAACATTTAGCATTTTCCTTTGTAGGGAAAATTCCACCCTGAAATAACAATAAATGCTGACTTTAAAATAAAAATGAAGGCATGCTTACTGTTTTAGTGTTTCCTTGATTGAACCATGCTTTACTTTTCTGGACTGAGTAGCAGGAAGAAAGGATCAAGAAACTCATATGGTACACATAATTTTGTTTCAAGATACAATGTTCTGATGAGCAAAGCTCTTGACGAATATGGACAAACATCCAACAAATAATTGTTGCAATCATTTGTTTGCAATGTGGTTTTATTAAGACAGATAAAATTATTCTCTAAGACTCATCTGTGTAGGATTAAATAGCTTTTGCATTGTATACCAAGAGATTTTTTTCGCTGTCTTCCCAGAGTTTCTGTGGAACAAATAAGGTTATGGAAATTTCCCCATAAGGAGCTCTCTTACATGTACCTTTTAAGTGTACTCTATACCCCTCATGCCAGATCATTCCTTCCATACCAATTATTCATTTATATAAAACTTACTTCCAGGTATCTATGTCCTGTCTAAAGTAGAAAACAGGTGTTTTCAAAACCGTGTCAGGGAGTCAAGGATTCATTGAGTTCTGCAGTCACAGAAAACTCTTACTGAGCTAAGTCTAGTTTAGTCCTTAATTTACAAAATTGCTTAGAAAAAGGCCTTTTTTTTATATGTGCCACTGCTCTTGTCTACTGCTGCACTATAGCTGCTTAGTTCCCTGTATACAAAATAGGATTCAGTTAAGAATCCTGCATTTCAGATTATTGCAAACAAAAAGTTAAGATTTAGAAAAGCTTGACAGCATCTAATGATGCCATAGTCAGTTTGCTTCTTGAGTAGTATCACTGTATTGCTTACTTCCTCCCCTGCTTAAAACTATGCCGTGTTGTTATTATGGACTAACTTTTCAGTTGTAAGATAATATAATAATTTATTTAATCTGCTTCAGTGGTTTCCAAGCAGGGACTAATTAATGATATCTTTCTACACAGCGAGGTTAGTTAAAAATTCATGTGGGATTTTCCAGGAATACTTCAGCTGAGATATGGAAAGAGTGAAATAAATGTTCTAAAAGGTTTTTTTCTAGGACGGTTGTATGATCTTTCAGTCTGTGCATTCATAAATGCACAGTGTCAGACCTATTACATTGGCAGACAGGTTTAATATATAACCATGGATTGCCATATCATGCCAGTGTACCTGAATCAACAAATAGCTAGGGAATTTGGGGACTTTCTGATGATAAACATTCTGCTGTTAATGTTAATATTTACAGTAATAGTAGAAAACCTTTGAGATGTTGGGACAATGATTTTCTCAATGACATTGTTAGTTCTCAAGTGTCTTTGCTCACTTCTTTTTCTCTCTCATGTATGCCAGCTTTAAATAAAAATTAGGATTTGTTATTTTATCTCTAAAGCTGTAGAAGATAATTACGTGGTTCAAGTTCTACATTTGCATCTATGTCTAGAAAGAGTAGTCTCTGTGTGCATTTGGTGGAAAAGAGATGGATCTATAACAAGTGCCATAACAGTGCAAGTTACAGGATGGAGCTGTGTGTTTGAAACAACACCACCAGCACAGCCAGTATGTCACAAAGTCAGCCTCTTCTTTGGCTCATTGGGAAGTATCCTGCCTTTCAGAGTTAGGTACTGAACCTCAGTGGCATCAGGGATGGAGGGAGCATTATCCATGGCATGTTTAGACAGTGTGAAAGCAGATACACATCAATGGGATGTCCATTGTGTAGTGGAGAGACAAAGCGATGCCTTATGTTGGAGAGGAAATGGGCAGAGTTGTGGGCAAAGTGGTTTATAATTTGGGATGTTTCTTACTTGCTCCTGATTATACAAAGTCATCTACAACCATGGAACACAGCAATCCGTGTGCCAGTTAGAGGTGGTTCCAGGAACTGGTTAATTGTTTTGTGTTCTAGGGGCTCTGATCTAACTAGCTCTCGGCATTAAGTGGTGTGTTTTTAAACCTTTGAAGTTGAAGCAGGGCCATCAGGAGCTGAACATTATTGCCTGGAGTCTGCTAAAATTAGTTTTCTGGTATTTCTTTAACCTCCTCTGTCCAACTCTGTGTGATGCTTGCTGTTCAGAAATGAGAAGGGCATAGAGGGAAAAAGAAGGTGCTTAAAAAAACTTTATTTCATATTTTTTCAGGGAGAGATACAGTTAGAGATTCAAGGAAGCCCAACCATTACCAAAACCGAAATGGGTGTTCCTTTTCCCTGTCCCAGGCAGTGGCCCTAGCCCTCAGAAGCTTGAACAGACTTGCATACTGTTTCTGGTGTTCTTTCTAGATCTTCTGTGCTTGTGTTTTGAAGAGTGAAGTGAGGGAAGAGGTTAAGCAAAGCGCATGTGCTGCTTGCTTTAAACATCATGCTTTGAACACTGAAGAGTTGAGATTGGAGAGTGTGTTCTTGTGCAGGTGAATCCCTGACAGGGAGGACGTGCAAATGCTACAACAGGCGTTCAGGAAGGATAAGGCACTAGGTCTTGAGTCTGAGCTTTTAGCAGCAAGGTACCAGTGCCAGGATGGACACAAGAGGGTTGGTGTAGGATTTAACAATCAAAACCTAGAGGCCGTGAGTGTTTTCATCCATGTCCATTCTATAACAGCAATTATGAGGGTGAAATGCCCATTCTGGGAGATCCACAAGCAGAGAGAAGGTAAGCGGGAGACTTTTCCACAGCTGGTTGCAGGTTAAATTGAATGGCTTCAGGTACTAGCTAAGCTGTTAGATAAAGGACCTCACTAGTCCAACAGTGCTGCCAGGCTTGCAGACATATCCCACCAACCTTACAGATCCCTTTTTCCTTGATTTTTGTTACGGTGGGAAGAAGGAATCAAGAGGGAGCCTAAGATGGGTGCTCCTTTGGAAGTGTGTGTGTAGGGTGAGGCCTGTCAAGAGGAAGAAAGAATGTAAGTGGTGGGAGTGTCAGGAGGCAGGAGGACCTCTGACTCAGGCAGGAAGGAAAATGAAGAAACTTAGCAGTTGAAGAAGACGTGGGGAAGTGGGACTGTGACTCAGGCTGGAGGTGAGGCAGCGGGATGCAAGTTGGTCTGTGGCAACCGAGGTGGGGAGATAGAAAAAGAAGCCCTGAAGCATACCCAAGATGTGGCAGTCTGCACCAAAGCCCCTCCGTGCTGGAGGACTGCATGTTTTAGTTACAGTTCTTGGCCCTCCTGGCTGCAGCAATGCCAGGCAAATTGAAGAGTGCTCGTGTCAGAACTTGGCTCTTGGCAACCATGAGAGTGATCCCTGTGTGAAGGCCAGCTCCATGACTGTGTGCCTCCAGCCTCTCTGTAGGGCAAAAGTAGAACTTAAGCTATGCATTAGATAGTGTTCCTTCTTGTGGTTGTTTAACATTTGAAAGGGGGTTGCTTGTTAACAAGAATGTGAAGCAATCAACCTTCCAGGCTACAACGGAGGTGCAAAAAATCATCACAAATCTCGTCATTATTAGTTTCTCTTACAAGGTGTTTATCTTCAGGTTCCTGCTCTCTGTCTGCTTAGACCAGACATGCCTAGTAATAGAAACGAAATATTAAAAGCTTCCCTGTGCAAAACACTAAATGTCTTTTTTTTTTCCGTGGGAAATTATGAGTGAAAGAAGGAACCACACATAGCCGATGTTAGGCTGTCGAATGTACTTCTGGGAAGTATTCAGAATTTAGTGAAGACAGTTGTATGAGACTTTTCATGGGGTAAAATCCTTTCTATGATCAAAATTATATGCCATTTATGCTTGTATGTTTTCTTGAACATTGCTGCTTAATTTTTAAATAGCATGTCAGGTGTAATTAAGGGCATTGCACTCTACTGTTATTTGGGTCTGGTTCAGATGCTATGCTAGAAAATTACTTACTCACTGTAAAAGAAAATGTTTAGTCGCAAAACCCAAGGGTTAAAATAAGACCTCACAAAACTGTGTTTTAAATACATTGGTATATGATTTATATAATATGATTAATGATAACAGCCATCTAGTTTGCCTTTGCACATTTGCACTGCATCTTTTTGCACTTTCCTAGTGTTAGTATGTAAGATTTTTATTTATTTGTCATATCTTTGTCAACTTTTTATAAACTTTTTTCCAAGGGGGAAGAAGAACCACAGTCCCAAGGTTTTAATTTCCCTGAGTTTTCACAAGTGTTGTGCAAGGTCAAACCATTTCAGTGGTGTAAACAATTTCCTTTGAGCTTTCCAATATGCCAAGATAGTGTATATTCCTCTCTTAGGAATTTGCATTTCCTTATGCTGAGGAAAAATTGAAACTTGGATCTGCTGCATCCTGGGGGACTTCTGCAGCCACTTAGCCATAGGATAAGAACGCTTCCTTTTCTGGCTAATGTTTGAGAGAAAGGGATAGTACTTTGTGTGGATACTAATCCAATGTGTATGCCTAGAAAATGAATTCCTAAGAGGAGAACAGCCAAAGAACAATTACTTTGCAGGTCTTGCCCTCAAGGCTTGGTTGAATGTTGAACTACACAGTTGTATTTTAGGTGCATTGTTTCTGCCAGTGCCCAGAAAATACAAGGCTTCTGGATTGTTAAAGTATAAAATTTCAGATGCCTAAAGCATGAGGAGGGTTAGAGGTCTATGAACAGAGGTCTTAAATTTAAGTGCTGATATATTGCTTAAACCCAACTCAGTTCCTCTTGACCCTGTTACAGACAAAAGTTGAAACATAAGACCAAAGCTAAATATTACTCTACATCTTTTAAAGTTGAGGTCCAAACTTTTTCATGCTTTCTGATGTAAGGTCGTGTGTATATGGTCTTGAGGCAATTTTTTGCATGACTTCAAGTTTACTTTTACATATGAAAGGACAAATGTTTGCCTTAGGAAATAAGTTATCTTTATATGTGAAATTGTTGTGACTGACATTTGCATTATAACTTTGGCATGAAGAAAATTCAGTGGCTGAGTCAGCTAACTGCAGCAGTAGAACACTGATTTCATCCACTGGTGTATTTATCACAACTTCCATGTTGAGAGAAGCTTGTTCAGTTAAGACCTGTGCTGACCAAAGGCATGAAGGTCTATTTTATTATAATGAAGTAGTACTGAGGAGCTGAGATGGATGCATGTAGTCATACTACAAAACATACGTTAATTAATCCCTTGCTGGTTTTAATTATTGCTAAACATTGGGCTTATTGGCAAATAAAAGTTGATGCAAGTATGTAGTTGGTGTGGTACTTGCAGATGGTGCAGTTGTTCAGAGGATGTTCACCTGGATGTGGCAGGGCATGGAATGCTTTGTGTGCTTGCTGGCTCTGCCACATCGCTGTGCCTTGTCTGCTTTGGAGGAGTCGTGTGTCCCAGTGAGCTTGCTTGATTCCTCAGCGTTAATAGAGTAGAAGTGGTGATACGTAATTCCGACAGGAATATGGCTGGCAAAATATTATGTAGGTATTCACAGTGAAGCTGTTGTTTGGAATCTACTTTGAAAACAACTGATTTTTTTAGCATTGAAATGCAAATCTTCTTGTCTGTTTAGCAAGAGGCAGGGAAGAAATCACACCTCTTGGAACTGTTGTTTTCAGACTCCTGAGTGGCTTGCATTTGAAGAGGTATTTCACAGCCATCCACCTAGAGAGCTTTCCTTCTTGATGTAAATAATCTAAATGGTCAGAGCTGGAGCTAAGCTTTGATCAGATGATGAATTCTTAACTCAGGTGACACTGAATTCTCATTGGATTTAGGGTCTGCTCCAAGACCATTTAAACTGGTGAATTTTAAATGAGGTTTATAGTATAAAGTTAACCACCGTACGAGACTGAAAGTTGTTTAAGGAAGCCGTCTTTAAAAGATGTAAGTAGAATTTTAGTAGAACATAATCCTCTGTATTGGCACCATGATCAAGATGGATCTCAATAGAGAGTCTCCATCTCTAAGCAAATTGAGTGCATTCAGTGTTTTTAGAGGCACAGCAGAACAGTATATTTAGAAGTGTATCTGAAATTATTAAAAGAATGTAAATTGTTTAGTCTTCTCAGTTCCAGGATTTTATTTAAAGCAGCTCTGACTGTTAGGGCATGTTGAGGCAGCTTGAATTCCTCTTGTATTCCCATACCTCAGAGCTTCCCATTGGCTGTCTCCAGACTTTCGAAAGCACCTATTCAGTAGGAAGCCCTAAAGCCAAAAGCTTGTGAGTATAGTCTTTAGAGCCCAAGGGGTTTAAATACAAAAGTTAACCTCAGCTCAAGAAGGCCAGGCTGCTTGTCAGTGACGAGGGGAGGATCCTGTTCTTATTCACCGTTGCAGATTTTAACTGAGTGATCAGTTGCCCATTTAGGCCCTCTGAGCTAAAATTAACTTTTTTGAGTTAATCCTTCTCTTCTTACTCCACTGGTCTCTAGGAACGCTGGAAATGACAGACCGCCAAGTGATTAAATTATTTCTTGAAAATAAAGTTCTGAGGAGACTTAGGTGCTTTCAAAAATTTTATCTCAAGACATTCAAGGACGTAATTGTACCCCTGCAACTTATATGTCATAGTAATAAAAATATAATTTCTATTAATACTTTTCTTTCTTTTATGTTAGCAGATGGACCATATCTTCAAATCATAGAACAGCCAAAACAGGTAAGAACAAGACTACATTTTGAAAACGAATTACTACATTCAGCCTTGAATAAATTTAAGACTAGAAAGAAAGAGTACAGAAAAGGCTGAACTCTCAGAACAAATGTGACACTTGAGCATTTTTAACTCTTGTAGTTAAATCGTTGCCTGTTTTGTTTTGTTTTCATCTTTGGGTCTCTGTGGGAGTGTCGTAATACAAAAAAACCCTGAGGATTTTAAAAGTATGTCTTGCTAAGTGACATCTTAGAAATGACTCTTGCAGGACCCCAGTATTTGGAAATATAAACTAGCAGACCAAACACGGAAAATTTTTAGGATTTGTTTCATGTTTCTTGAAACACAAGAAGGAAAAAAGAAAAACACTTCACTCTGTTCCCAACTTACAGGAACTTTTGACTTGTGCTTTGTCATGTTAAAGAAATTCAGTTCTTTGAGATTCCTTTTGTTGTGGTTGTCTGTTTTGAATAATCCAAGAAAAATGAAGATAAGTTCTTGAATGTAACTTTTTGTCTGATTATGTAGCAAACACTGACTTATGTTCTTCTGACAGCAGAGAAGTTATTCCAATTCACTGGTTAGTTTTCGTGCAGCTGATGTACAGAGTGATTGCTGGGTAAAGATTGCCCTGAAGTATTGCCTGGGTACTGTTCCCCTTTAGCTGGTGGCACCTGCAATTACAAGGATTCTTCCTGAAGCTGTTACAGTATGGAGGCACCTTTCCTGTCTGCCCCAATGAGTTACAGAAAACCATACCTTACAGAGCTGTTCAGTAAACAGGAGAAGAGGGTGGCTAAAAGCTGTCCCACTCTCCTCTCGGTCTTCTACAGAAGCATAACACAATCCAGTCTTCCTGGCAGGATGCAGTGGCCAATATGGTTTCAATCACACAGCAGACATTTTTGTGCTTGAGCACACATCCAGAGTTAGGAACTCTTCATCATAGTCATAAGTGAAACAGCAGTGTACTGTGAACTCTTGGAATATGCTGCCTCTTCCTTGTTGTTTTAGTTCATTCCAAATCAGGCCATGTCTTTGTATGGTGGGCCTGACAGGATACAGTAGGTAAGGAGAAACCATTGTTTCCATGTGTGACTTCTCAGCAAGTGGCTCCTCTTGTGGAATACCCATGTGGCAAGCTGGGCAATGGTTTTTAACACAGTGATGAGGGTGATTCATCAGCAGAGGGCTGAGCTTAGGATCACTGTTGGAACAGACAGATGAGGGGAGTAAGACTGTGTGTGTGAAAATATAGCTAGGACAGCAAAGAAAATAGACTGGGGAAAGCCACACAGGTGACTGCTGGGTCTGCTGGTTTGAAGGCATCAAGGTGAAGAGAGACTGGGTCATCTCCTGTGTCCTGGCTGCAGAGGATGCTTTGCCTTTTGGACAACTTGAGCTCAAGCTCATCATAGCTGGGCACTTCACTTGCATACTCTTGGTCACTCAGTTCACCTTGGGAAGGCAATATCTGAAAAAAAGTCAGATCTTTAGATTTGCCTGGGAAACAAGTTCTTAACCTGAAAAGACTTTAGCAAGATAGGTATTGGAAGCTAATGTTTACAGAGTAGTTTTAAATCGTGTTGTTTGCTTTCAGCTAATATAGACTTCGAATTCAGAGTTGTCTTCTATTAGAGAGAAGCTGAATGACTCTTGACAAAGGCTACCACACTAACTGGTGCTACTTGAACAGACACTGGGATCTGGGGATGATGGAGATTTTGCCAGAAATTGCTGGACTGGAGAGTAGATCTGAATGGATAATTGGGGACCACATGAAATATATGGTTAAGTAGAGTTAGAGTTACCAAATACACTTGCTTAAGATTTGCATCTCTTGTGCCTTATAGATTACTGTGTTAAGTAAACGGGATGTTATTTGCTATAAATAAAAACAGAATCAGTGGAGAGCTGTGCTCTGGACTGGTTGCCAACATCCTACAGTTCTCTAAAGTATATTCAGATGTCTATTTATGTAACTGAGATGAAAACCCAGCCAAAGTCCACTGAAGCTTTTGTTCTCTTTCTGGACTTCACTGGTAGATAACAGCTTTCATACACTTTTCCCGGAAGGAAGAAGCATTTCTTCTGTTTCATTCCTATTCTTTCCTTTATGATGCTTTGGACTTCATTATTACTGGCTTCAATTTCGTCTGCCTAGCAGCAATCGTGGGAGAGAGTATCTGCTCTTGTGTTCTGTGCATGTTAGTTTTTATCCTATTTTGAGAGTATTAGTAGATCTCTGCTTTAAAATATCTTAACTGAAAGAAAAAAATTCAGATTGCTGCTGTGTGTAAGAGAGAATAGAACAGTTTCTCCAGAGCTACAGTTCAGTTGTGCTTTTTTAACCAGCACTCAGCATTTCAGGGATGAACAGTTGTAACTTTTCCATTTGGGCAAGTCTTGTTTGTATGTGTGCATGTGCTATTTTTCTTTTGGTTTTGTTTCAGAACGCCTTTCAAGTTTCTTTTCCTTTCTTTCCGCAGAGGGGGTTTCGTTTTCGATACGTGTGCGAAGGACCTTCACATGGTGGACTTCCTGGTGCTTCTAGTGAAAAGAACAAAAAATCTTACCCTCAGGTCAAAGTAAGTACATAAATCATTAATTTTCTGAACTGAATACAAGTGTCATATGTACGTGTAGAGTTACGGCATAGCAACATAAATTTGTATGAAATTACTCAAGAGTGACTACATTTCAGTCCCAACTTTCAAAATGTGATTGATTTTGAAAATAAAGATTTCTTCAGATTTGTGGGGTTATTTTGGCACCATTTTTATCTGCCAGCAGCTGGGCAGTAAGCTTTCCTGCACCAACCACCTCGCTGCCCTCGTGCGGACTAGTGGAGCTCTTCCCTACGGTGCAGTTTTAGCATGAAGCAAGACCTGAGCTGTTCAGTTGCTCCACGTCTATTGCAAAGCATGAGGCTGCTTAGTTATTCCACTTCACTCTGGGATGCTATTTACCAAGTTTTCCTATTTTTTCCTGTTTATGTTACTGCTTATTCAATACCTCTAGGATACTCTGTTCTTAAGAACTTAATTCCTTTACAGTCAACTTAAAACTTCTCATTTTAATAGTTACAATGTTATGTTCAGGTGTTGGCTGAACTCTTTTGGTGGATTTTTTTTTTTCCCCTCTGGAAAAAATTCAAATATGTTAATCAAAGGAATGTTCTGTGGAGGCATAATATGAATATTAGTGATTAGTCATTCTGGGATTGGACAACTGTCTTTGCCTATGGTTCTTGCAGCAAGTTCCTTTTCTGTGGAAGTTGGGGAAATGTACACTGCATCTTTTCAGTATTTTTTAACTTAAATGGAAGTCTTGGTCTTCTTACCTTATGTCTTTGAACTATTGCACTACAGATTATCTCATGAGGCGCACAGTTAATGTATTCTAATTCTGGTGTTACTTCTTAGTGTATTTTAATTCTGGTGTTATCTCTTACTCCTTTGTGGGGAAAGAAGAGGAGGGAAGAGTGGCACACAATCAACCTCTACCTCGGTGCGTGCCTCTCCTCAGTATGTGTGTAGTTCATTTGCAGGTCTTGGGAAAGGCTGGAGTTTGGAACAGTTACATCTCCATAAGAATCAGTATAAGCATGACTCAATGGAAAATAATCAGCATTGGCTGAGGTAACCTAGGCACTTAGTCTTGCAAATTGAGAAGGTGGGAAAGCTGATTTCATATAGCCTTGCAAAACTCCTATGAAAAATTACTAGCCCAGGCAAATGATCTGCTTGCTTTCCTCTTTCCTATTTTGACAGTAATGATGAACCAATGAATGAAATTTCACTGGTATGTTCAGATATAAAATAATTTACTTCAATTGAGCCCAGTCCTTGGATTCCAATCTAATTGTATATTGATAATAATGCAAGGGATACTTTATAAAGATGTGATAAGTCACACAATAGCATGACAAGGAGATATGCAATGAGGAGTTATACAGGAAACTAGAAAGCACAATGTTCTTTGGCTTTCCATCAAACCTTCTAATTTCATTGATCATCAGATTTGAATTTCATCTAAAGCTTCCCCACACACACACATGTCCCTTCCCCTCCCTCCCGTCCTACTGTGTGCATCTGGGTTTTTTGCTAGTACAAATCCCCACATGGCAACACCTGCTGGGAGAGGCTGGCAAGGGAACACAATAAGTAAATTCCTCAAGGCCATTGCTTGTTAGTGCCTGTTCTTGATTCAAGTGGTGCCAGTAAAGACTGAAGTGTTTCACACCTTTTCCTGTAAGTCTCTTCTGTGTTTTGTCAGTGTGCTCACCTTGTCATAACTGAGGGGAGCACAGCTGAAGATTGCTATTTTTTGTTGTGTTGGGGTTTTTTGTTTTGATTTGATTTTTTGATGGTTTTGGTTGGTTTTTTTACTCCTATGCCACTGTTTTCACAATAAAACCTCCATTATTAGTTGATCACAGTGCAGTGAAAGGACAGTAGCATGAGCTTTGGCTGTGCTGTAAAAAATGAGGCTTTGTGACAGATCTTTAAACCTTGGCCATGATGTGGTCAGTGCAACTCACATTCAGATCTGCTTTCTGCTTGGCCAACTCTGCACAGAAAACTGATATAATTTACCAGTAGCTACCATAGAATGTCCTGAAAATAGACATCGTCATTGCACTGAAAAGCATTGCAGCCTCCCTGCTCTGTTTTCGTAGGATTATCGATTGAAGGCCGAAAGAAAATACATTTATGTCATATGACCTCTTGCATAATGTGGGCTGTCCGACTTCACCATTGTTTTTTCTCCCTGCACCATCACTAGCTTGTAGTTAAGCTGGAACACATCAAGATGCATCTTTCATGTAAAGACTAGAGTTTTGAAGACTTTGCTATATCTCTACGCAAGGTGTTTTGGTAGTTAATTATGTGTGTTACCACTTCCTGTATAGTATATTCATAAATGGTGTAGGTGAGGAGTTAGTGTAGCAGTTCTTCAGTACCAGTCTTTACACTTAAATCAAATGTACCCTGGACAGCAAGGTGGAATTGATGTAAAATCTCTTGTTTTAATGGAACAGTCCTGACAAATGGAGTCTGGATAACAGCAGTATTTTTCTATAATATAAAAAGGGGATTCATTTATGGTTTATGGAATTATATTCCTTTGTTTAGCCCTTTCTTTGCTAGTAATCCTAATATGTAGAAAACATCTTGCATATTCAGAGGATTCTATACAACTTTGCATGTTATTATAGAGAGCAGAGAAGTTATAGATAATTAATATGTTATAATGGAGTTACATTTCATGATTGCAGTAGAAGGCTACCTAAAATGCTTCATTTAAATTTCACTTTCATTCACTTAGTGCAAGTAACACAATGCTGGAAAATTTTACTGTCTCGAACAGTTGAAATCAAAGCTTCTGAATTGCTTGTTTGTCATTAGCTTTTTGTCCAGGGAAAAAAAACAATCAATAGTATAAGACAGAATAAAACTGGAAAATCAAATATTATCACTAGCTTACTTAACTAACTACGTTTTTTATTTATAATTTGCTTGGGTTTTACGTACTTGAAAAAAAACGTGAGAAAACTTGTACAGAAGATTTCCAGTGGCCTCACATGTTTACCATGTGTGTTTTGGTCTTGCATACTGTTATTAGTGTGGACATACTCATGGTTTACACTGAAGTGCTTGATCCGGTTTTAGGTGTGAAAATGGGCTGAAAATAGTGGAGTTGCTGTGTGTGTGTGATTAGAGTGATTAGAAAGAGAAATAGGTGCTTTTGTAGTTGCTGGCTTTGTAGGTTTCACATGGTCTTTTCTATCATTTGCTTTCTGTTGTTGACCGATTGGTTTCTCTTCTTTAACTGGAAGAAACATCTTTGAAGTAGGAAAACATTCTTATAAAGTTTTTGCAAAATTTCGGAAACTATAAAAATTGGCTGGGGTCTGGATTGCAGGATGATGGGAAATAACTGAAAAAACTTTCAACTCTTGGTTTGAAATTGACTCAACTTCAAATTCACAGGGTCCTTTTCATCTTTCAGACAAATCTCTCACACAGAAACAGCAGATAAGTGTGAGCCTACAGCATTTTAACTTTATCAGATCAATTGAATGCTGCTTCAGTACAGGATATAATCGAGTATTACAGCTATACTCTTCCCAGGAACTCCTTATTTTCTTTTTTTGCTTCATCTTTAATTTGAAGATTAGAAGGTGATTTTTTTTTTATCACAACTCTCATTTTGAGCCATACAGCACTCACATGCTATCTCCCTCCCATGCTGAGTATATGTTTTTTTGTCAACACCATAATCCCTGTGATTATATAGATATTCAGCATTGTAACATACCTTCTACCTTTTAATGCCTTTGACAGTGCTTTTTAAGTTCGTACATAAAAGGTGATAGTTACTTAATACCAGAATATATACCTTAATATATACCTTAATGCCAGAATAAATTTCAAATTATTCTGAAATTGTGGCATTATTCAAGGACATGGGAAAATTATTTCAGACTTAATTTATGGTACATAAGGATATTTAACCATTCAGACTATTTTACTGGGCACCAAGATACCCTGGATGTCTCAAAATCAAGTAGGAAAGTCTGTCTGTAAGAAATTTAGGCAGGAGACAGTTCAGGGACATTCTGTAGCCTTTGCAACATAGGACATCAGACTGGTTGACAAAAATAGTCCTTTCTTGCCTAATGACCTACATAAGGTATTATGTTTTAAGAACCCTTTTGTTTTCCCCCTGAGAGAGAGACTACAAAGATCATGCTGAGCTGAGTAACGGGGGAGATTGCAATCTGGTTACCACTGCAGTTCTGTGTTCTGCTTTCAGAGGTTGGAAAGTCCTTGACGTGCAGCAGTCCTACCTCCGGGTTTCACTGTGGTTTCTACAGCTGATGAAGGATTGTCTTGAACTTTCCTGATGTGATACTAGAACATCCATGTTACTCATAATGAATGTAGTGCTGAAGATGTGCTTTAAAAAGGAGCTTTATAGCAGGGAAAGGCTTGTTTGTAGCGAGGGATAAAACGAAAATATTTTTTTTAAAGCCACCTTTTTGAAAAGTTAATTGTAGTAGTGGTGGTGACATTTATCACCAAATGTAATCCTTTTTATTTTCAAATGACTTTGTGAAAGGCACGTAGGAATTTTCTCACTCCTAGAATTACAGAAATAGTGTAGTGGTGACTATTCTGCATCTCTGTATTGTTTCAGTCCAGCAGAGATTACAATTTGGAAACAGGAGGGAAGCATGAGTACCCCATGTCTTGTATTTTATAAACTAACACTTGTAAAATGCACATTAGTACAGTATTATACAGTTAACTAGCAGGCAGTGAGTAATAAGAGAGCTTTTGCACACCTGCTTCTCCTGGAACAACTTTTTCATAGTTGGGATTTTTTTTGCTCTCAGCAGTGAATAGAAAGGCAGGGAGGGCATGCATTGTGCATATGCAAAGTGTTTCAGCTGTGATGGAATGGGTTCAAGAGTGGGGTTAACTGGAGTGAAGGAAGCTAGAAGGACTCAGTAATGTGGTGAAATTGAGGCAATCCCTCCTTATCAGCATTTTATCAACAATATAACCTTAAATATTCAGTTCATCACTGATTCATCGCTTTAATGTTTATCGTGATCCTTTAATACCTTGGTTGATTAGATCTATAAGCTGCTGTAATACAAAGAACTTTGCCCAAGGCAAATTAGAAGAAAAATCAGAGGAGGAGGGGAAAAAGCTCAACATTGTTAAAAGGGTTAATTAAGTGAATTAGAAGGGAAGGTAATGTTTGCTTTTTAAAAAGTGGGGTAATTTTGTGTTCAGCATAATTTGAAAGTGGTGCATAACCCATAACTGACTTGGAATATTACTTGTGAGGAAAGAAAATAAAGTTCTAAATAATATATATAAAGCAAATAACTTACCAATATGGTATGTTATTAGTAACTTTAGGTGTGGTTTTGAGGCATTGTTTGACATCACAGTTTCAAAAGCTGTTAAAAAATGTGTGGTGATTAGAAATTATGGCAGAGGGGAAAAAAAATTTTGTGATCTTCTAGAGTTGGCTCTATGAAAGCACACAGTTTGTCATAGCTTTAGTCCAGTGAAATTCTAGATGGGAATTTAGCATATATCTTCATGTATATTTAAGGGAGATATTTACTGGACTGGGTAGTATGTGTTGATGTAGCATATTGAACTGACAAAATACCTATTAATGTAGAATTCGTTCACTTTAAAATTTCTACCTGAAGAGTCATTGTAATGAGACCAAAATGTTTTAAACCAATCATAATGTTTAAAAATAAATTTTTAAAGTATTTTCAAATTGGGCAAAACAATGCAGGGTTTTTAGTTAAATACATACATTTTATGTATGCTTTTTAACAGATGGCAGAGTTTATTGTGAATTCAGTGGTCTGATTGAAATTTAAGGAGAGCAATGTGGAGTAAATGGTCAGAATGTAAAACTGAGATTCATGATTTAGGAAACAGAAGATGTTTTCCTTTAGCTTTTTTGGTCACTACTTCTGCCATTTGTATATCAAGTTTAATTGCAAAAAAAAAGTGTTGGCTTTTCTTTGTGATGATCTGGTACAGTTAGTCTGCCATTTGTATTTCATGAGGAACTGCATACACATTTCTCCTATGTAAGTTTGATTGCTTGTAAGTATGTAAACTGACAGAAAATACTCAACTGGAATTACTTGTTCCATTTAAGAAAAAAAAAAAGTAAGCAAACTATCCCACATTTTTTATATTTGTTTACAGATCTGCAATTATGTTGGACCTGCAAAAGTAATTGTCCAGTTAGTAACTAATGGGAAATACGTCCACTTACATGCTCACAGCTTGGTGGGTAAATTTTGTGAAGATGGAGTGTGCACAGTTAATGCAGGACCTAAAGATATGGTTGTAGGGTAAGTCTGTCAACTCCTTTGTAAACCTGAGCACCAACACTGTAAGAAGCAATGCAGAAATACTACTAAGGGGCAGCTAAATGGAGCACTAGTCTTCATGCTCTGATCTGTGTTTTGTTTGTATCTTAAACAGAAAAATCAATGATGTTGCTATTTACCTTTGTAGAATCTGTCCTAAGCAAGCTAAATAGGTTTTAGTAAATAATATTCACTTAGAATTTGTAGAATTTTAATCTCTTGGTGTCCAGTCCAAATTTGTATTGTAAATCCATTCTTTAAAATGTAAGTATATTTGATCAGAGAAGGGACTAAAGTTACTGAAGAAAAGCTTTTATTACTGCTTTGATTAATATTTTATTTTTGTTGAAATCTGCCACTAGGAATGTAATTAAGACAAAATCATTAGAAAATAGAATTACTAAATTTGAAATTAATGCAAGACATGTATAAACGTGAAAATACTAAATGAGTCAAACTTTCAAAGTTTAAAGCAGTAAGATTGTTGTGAAATTGTAGTTGGTCTGTTCTTGTTTAATTTAAAAGAATAGTTTATATCGGTAAATGAAACTGAGGCTCCCAACTATGTTTTCAGGCTTAGATCAGGTTTCATGCTGGCTGTGAGTTTTAGTTCTGTGATCTCAAGAATGTCTTTGTTGGTGAAGAAGATGAAGTTTAAAAAGCTGAGAAGGTTGGGAGAGAGATATTCTTTTAAACTGTAACTTTTGATGTCCAAGCCCAGTGCACTGACTTTACCGAGAACAACAATTTAAATAGCTTTATTTTAAATGCTCCTTTTCATCTTGAAAAGTTTGGCTCATTTACTAACCTGTCTTGTTTTTCATCAGATGTCAGATGTTTAGAAACAGCTTTCCTGTCCTCACTTGACCTGCATGAAAATTGAGTTATTGTCTTGTTTTCATACTTCCAGATCTAATTGATTTTTAAATGTGCCAAGAGATTTTTACAAAAGCAGATCTTACATTGTGGAAGTTTTCATTCAAAGAGATACCTGAAGTGTCTGGATGAATGACCAGAGCCTTGTTTAAAATATTTTCTTTGGAAAATATTGCACTGTTGTAAGCTTCTTAGCTTGCTCTCCAAACCATTTTAAACAGATGGAGCTTATTCTGAGCAGTTTCTTTGCTTAACAGACATACAGAATGACATATTAATGTCATTGCCAAGACAGAGCAAACAAAGTGTAACAACCAGATTTTCCAATGTTTAGTAAGTTGCCTTCACAGTGTAAGTTTGAAACCTGAGAAATTACTACTTATGCCGTAGAAAAATCCTGTGCACCCATAAGATCACTGCCATATGATGGTGCTCATTTTACATGTGTTATAAGCTTGGCTCAGTTTTGCTTGGTGGAGAATTTACCCTCAAGAACTAATAGTGCCTAATTAAGCCTGCAGAGTCCTCCTTTTGACTTCATTTGTGTAGCTGTCTCTGGTAACAGAAAGACTGCCTGCTGCAGGTTTGGCATAAAGTATTAAGAAAATACCTTCCTCAATCAAAATTTGGCAGGTTTGCAAATCTTGGAATACTTCATGTCACAAAGAAGAAAGTGTTTGAAACTCTGGAAACACGCATGATAGATGCTTGCAAGAAGGGATACAACCCAGGACTCCTGGTGCATCCTGAACTCGGCTATCTGCAGGCAGAAGGATGTGGAGACAGACAGCTAACTGGTATGTAGAAATGATAGCCTGGTTTTAATTGGTCTTTTACTAAAAACAGATTGAGCTTCTGAAAACACAGGTTCTTGGGTAGGAAAGCAGCCTGTGACTGTGTGCATTAAGATCTGTTGTGCTGTTGATGTGTTTTAGGGAGTCTGAAACAAAGAGTCTTTGCTGTCAACAGACAGATGAGAAGGAAGCAACTTCCTTCCATAGCTGCCTGTACCCACCTCTGCACCTATATTCCATTGCTCTTAAGCTATTTAATAAGCCTTAGAGTAATTTTGCATTATTGCAGCAAGACATGATATTCTTAATTAACTTAGGAACCTCCTTTCGAGAACACTCTTTCCTTCAGCTGCGTTTCACCTGTGTCCTTGTAAAACCTGTGGTCTGTGTTGCTTTCAGGTACTGTGTAAAGGAGCCATCCTTCTTTTTATCACTCTTAACACCAGGAATTCCAGTGTCCTTAGTGGTGGCCTTTGTCCTTTTTGCAACCATTATAAATTGAGAGCAGCAGATAGTAATTTTCTGTCTTTTAATTATATGCCTTAAGTAAGATCTGATGCACAAACTGCATTATGAGTGCAGTATAATTTGAATGCTGCTCCTCTCTGCTTAAAAACAGAGAACCCGATGGATACTGTGTGAAAGAACGCATTTCCTCACTGTTGGTGCCTTTTGATAGTAATGTTTGTTCCATCTGTTTTGTTATGTGTCCTCTACCCCTTGTGTTACTTCATCTGTCTCCTTGTCGGTTCCAGAACGAGAGAGAGAAATTATCCGCCAGGCAGCGATACAGCAAACTAAAGAAATGGATCTCAGTGTCGTGCGTCTCATGTTTACAGCCTTTCTTCCTGACAGTAATGGCAGTTTCACACGGAAACTTGATCCCGTTATATCAGATGCAATATATGACAGCAGTAAGTATATTTGGCTTTAGTTACTTTTTTAACAAGGGGCAAGCTTTTGTACATACAAAAATGATGGGTAGATATTGCTATACATAGACTCATCTAGCCCTGCTGCTTGCCTGTTATTTGATGAATAACAGGTAAGTAGCCCATGGATAATTAGCCCCATGTCTGTCCGAGTACATGTAGTATCATTCTGGTTTTTAATGGATGGTGATGTAAGCCACTGAGCAAGATGTTATGTTGCTGTTGGCATGTTTAATCCTGCCGCTTTTATTATGAGGATTTTGTAAATTCTTGTTACATTCGTAAGAAGGGCTTGAATTTTGCGGTTTTCGGTTGCTTTTTGTGACAAAGTCTTGTCACACGGGATGTGAGGAAAAAATTACTTTGCTTCAGTCTTTGTTGAGAATTTGACACCTTTCAGTTTTGCTGACCATCTGCTTGTCCTTGTTTTGAGAGACTAACATAACCAGAGTTCTCAATTCATTTCCTTTAGATCTGTCAGTGTTTTCTGTGCTTCTGTTACATCCCTCTGTTTGTCTTTTTTCTAAGTGAATCTTTTCACTTCATGTTTTCCCTTGTGCTTTTCAATTATACTGACTCATTTTACCTGAATCCTTTCTGCTGCCTGAGTTATCCTCCCTGAGGCTGTGGATTACCATGTTCCTGATAGTCATTCTCTAATGACTCAGAAAAAGTACCATTTTTTTCTTTTGCAACAGTCATGTCTATATCATTGCTTTTTAAGGGCAAAGTCTAGATGAAAAGGTATTAAATGCAACTATTCTACTATGTCTGTTCCTTGCTATTAATTGGGAAATGTAGTGATGTCAAAAATTTTTACTTTAACTAAGGAGACAAATAAAGGGGAAATTTTGTAAGCGTGTTTCTGCTGTTGCAGTTTGCTACACAGATGTCAGTTACTAGTTTCTGATCTCCCAAGGGGAATTCTTGATTGTTAATTTCAGAAGATTTTTCTTGGGTTTTGTTTGTTGTATATGTTTTTTCTAATACTCTTCTTTGGTTCCATTCAAGCCTCTTTCACACAACAGACATGGTTTGTGGTAGCATAACTGCCTGTCACAGCTGCTTTTACTTATCAGATGATAGTTCTGTCTGGAGGACCAATAGCTGTTTATCGATGTCTCTGCTAGGATCCGTGGAGGTGGGCTTCTTTATCACAGTCCAGTAGACTGGCCAAAAACTGACATGCTTTCAAGTAAACCACAGTATAAAGCAAAGCATTGTATATAGTGAGATACAGAAAACAGCTCTCAAGAGTGTCAGGCTGTCAGCAGGGAAGAAAAAGCTATGTTCTCTTGTACTGCCCTTTTGTCATAAAATTAGTACTAGTGCAGGTTGCTGGATGCAGTTCACTGCTGGGCTACTTTGCTAGTGGAGTAATTATGGACCTTATTTTATAGTTCATAGTTCAGTCAAAGCTTAGAGGATACAAGGTTATGCCTTTCATATGAAAAGCTGTTGATTTATTCATGTTTAAAAAAAAAGACAAATTTAAGTAGGTTGTATTGGAGGCTTGTCTTTCTATTGCATTTCTGTGTGTTTTGCTTGTTTGTTTTTTTTTTTAAATCTTTAACTGTTATGAAGTTAAGCATTTTTTTTACCTTTCCTTTCAACAGAAGCTCCCAATGCCTCCAACTTAAAAATTGTAAGAATGGACAGAACAGCAGGGTGTGTGACAGGAGGGGAAGAGATTTACCTTCTCTGTGACAAGGTTCAGAAAGGTAAGAGTCCGAGTATTTTAAGATGCACCAGGGTGTTCATCTGGAGTACATGTGAAGCCTGCTGTGCTGCCTTAGTATTCTCCCACTCTGATACTGCAGCAGGATTTGTAAGCACACAGCCTTTCTAGAAGTCAGGCCAGCAGTCCAAAAATTAATAAATCAAAATAGTCTCTTGCAAACAAATTCAGCTTGTGTTGCCTCCACTGAGACCATGTGGTCACCTTTGTTCTTCTCAAGAGTTTGCCCTTCACCATATTCTGGATTTTCTTGTGGGTGGTGGGTCCTGGGTGACATTTGACTCCATTAACTAACACCTACTCTGAATTATTCTAAAGCTTATGATTTATCATTAAGTTCCTGATTATAAGGAGTAAGTATGAACATTCTCTGTTGACCATGGATGGGAACTTAATGTGTTCAGCACTACTGCTAGTAACTTCATTTTTATGTATATGCTAACGGTAGAGATTACTGTATGTAAACATACTTCTCATAGGTTCATTTTCAGTCTCTGCTCATGGCTTTGAATGTATCAGAATTTGGCAGTGTGGATTTGGATGCTTTGGTTTTGTATAGGAAGATAGTGGTTAATATGGTTGATTGTATTTGGGCTAAACTAAAAAGAAAAAAACATGGGAACAGGGGAAGTCCTTTGCATTTCTCAGGTATAGGTAGTACTTGAGACTCCCTGGTGTGGATTGCACGGTAGAGTGGGTACCTTGTTCTCATCTGTTTGGAATCAGTTCCTGCACATGTTGTTAAAATCACACTGACATTTTCTGTTAAGGCAGGCTGTCCTTTTCCATCTCTCTTTCTTGCAAATGCCCTTCTATGAATTAGGGAAGAGAGAGGGCTTTGGGGACTTCCAGGGACTTAGAAAAGAGATAGGGCTTTGAGGGCTTCTTAAAAGAAGGGACTTTGAAAAAACTATTTCCCTTCAGTAGTGTATCTACCCTTTGCCATCAGGGCTGAGATAAAACATAACTCTTGTGCACAAAATAAATAAATAAATGTCTGACTCAGTGGAAGCCCTGCGGTGGGGTTTCCCCTCAGCCTGATTGGGGTTTCCCCTGACCTCATTGCTTTCAGAAACCTCATGCCTGAAGGAACTTGAGCATGCAGGACAGCAGGACTGGAACTGGTGGTTCACAGTCTTGAGTCTAGCAGGTGTTGGATCAGAGGAAGCAGTCTGTCTGCTCCAGAAGCCTGTCCTGCATCAGTCAACCTAAGAGAAAATGGGCTTTTTCTGGTTTTTTTTTCTTGCCAGGAGTGCCGGGAAAGGAATTTGCTAGTGTGACGTTTCTCAAAAAAATATAAATAAATAAATACAAAGAGAATGAAAGAAGATTTGCTTAGAGGAGCAAAAGCCAAATGACGTGTTTCTGGCCGGTGCTGTGTTTGGAGGGTGAAGGATTGCTGCTGACATGCTGCTCGCTCACACCCTTGCCGCCTCTCTGGGCTGCAGCTCCAAAGTGGCACTCTGCCAGCAGCAAGCGGAACTTGAACTGTGGCACTTCAGGTTTTGCTACAGTTTTTTGAACTGAAACTGTTGGAGGAGAGAGGGTGGTTTCTACATTTCACGCTTCAAGTTCTCCCCTCCTTACATGTTGGTTTCAAATAAAGCTCCTCTGGAATGTTTTATAGCCCTAGAATAGGAAGAGGTAGTGAACCTAGTTCTCTTTTCACAGCTCAGTAAGTAGCAACTTCAGTGAAGTCATTACAATCAGGCTGACCTAACACTGGTGTCAAAAATGGGTTATTTCTGATGTTTTCATAAAATGGATAAAGCTAATTGATATATTGTGTAATATTGTCATTCAGCCAAGAAGTAAATGTGTTGATTTTTATCTGAAATAAACTTAGCCAAAGGTTAAACAAATGCCCAAACATCCCAGAGTGTGCTTCTTTCATTCTTCGCAGATGATATTCAAATACGTTTCTATGAAGAGGATGAGAATGGTGGTATGTGGGAAGGCTTTGGAGATTTTTCTCCTACAGATGTACATAGACAGGTAAGTAACAGCATTTGTCATTTGTTAATGATTTTCTCATCTCTGTAAGCTAGGATTATATTATAATTAGTAAATGAGGTGAAAGCATCTGTATTCTGTACTGACCTCTTCTTTGGCTGTTTACTTCCTAGTAACAATACAAACTTAACAGTTCTTTAAAGACCTACATTAGGTAACTATGCAGGTTGGGAATACAATGCAAGGAAATGAGGAGATAGCACATGCACCACTGTAAATTGGGATACGATATATAAACAGCTCTGAGAGCTCCTGTGAGCACAGTGATAAAACCACAGAATAGATGCTAAATGAGGAGGGGACAAACAGTGCAGTACTAACATATGTGATGGGGTGGTACTTTGCATGACAGTTCTGTCTTTCCCTAAAGGCCTTAGGATTCAACCTCAGGAGTGAAACTGAAAACTACAATGGAAGTTTATTGTTGTAACAGCCCTTTGCTACAACTTTTTGCCTCCCAAGCTGTAAACCAACTCCTACAAAACAGTGCAAACGTAAAAACAAAGTTGTCAAAACCCATGCTCCGTGACAGTTATCTTCCTATTGTTTCCTTCCCAGTTTGCTATCGTGTTCAAAACCCCCAAGTATCGCGATGTCAATATCACAAAGCCGGCATCTGTGTTTGTACAACTGCGGAGGAAATCGGATCTGGAAACAAGCGAACCAAAGCCTTTCCTCTACTACCCAGAAATTAAAGGTAATTCATTAAACCTGTTTTATATATTGGAAACAGAAACTGTAGGGTCCCTAGAAGTGTTTTTAATAAGTTAAGACTTGCTGGATAAGGACTTTTTTTTTTAGTTGTTGTTTTTAGAAAATATTATATTTGCCTCTTAATTTTGGGCAGAGCCAATATGAAGCGTGGTAGCTTTGTAATGGCTTTGTAGGTGTTTTTATTGGACTGGTAGGCAGTAAATCGACAAATATTTTCTTAGTGAGGCTCGCTCATGCACACATGCCTGTCTGTACGGTAGATGGCACTCTCTTCCTCTGAGTTTCTGCAAAATAATATCTGAGGGCATTTTACTGTCAGTAATTTCAGCTGAAACCTTAAACCAAAGATTGGTTGGTATCTGGTGGAAAAGGTACGTATTTTGCAGTTCTCACATTTTACCAGCATGCCAAGTCACTGATCTTTTTGAATTTTCCAAGACCGAGACATTTCTTGTGAGAGCAGGGAAAGTGCTGTTGCAATCTCTTGTGTTTAAAATTTCAGTTACTTAGCAGAAGTAGAATAGTTGGTATTGGACCTGCTTCCTAAATTATTAGTGAAAAGAAGTTTAACTAGCAGATCTGTGCCCTTTTGAAGTCTGCATTTGAAATGTTTGACATTAATGGCAGAAGCAATCATGATTTTAAATACCAATAATGTTAATGATGGAAATGCCTTGAGGCCCAAGTCATAATTGCTGTTTCATTGTATTAAGACAATCTTTCTGCTTAACAGTTTACCTGCCTGCAGGTTACACTATTAAGTTCTAATCTAGAATGTTTTCTATGTTTTCTGTGCCTAACTTAGAGCTGTGTTGAAATCAGTTTCCTGTCAAAATCTCTAAAATATGTGTGTCTGAAAGCATGAGTGGTAAGAGACTCAGGACAGCTGGAGAGGGAGGGATGGTGGTTGATGTCCAAGTGAGTCTACTTTACACCTGTTATAATAAAATAGAAGAAAACATGCATTCACAAAAGCTTCCAGAGTTGCCAGAGGATTTCTTCTTGGTAACGATTTCAGGAACCTCTTGTATAAGCATTATGGGAAGTGAAGTATACAACTACAGAGCAAAGTTGCCAGATTTAAAGCAAACTGCTTTTATATGTCTCTCAATGGAGTAAAATTAATTGAACATGATGTGCATTTTCAGATCCCCTATACAACCTAATCATAAAATTACCATTTAGGAACATTTGTTACAAGTGTTCACACAAACTCAGACATATGTATGTGGCTTTTTTTGTTTGTTTCTCTGACTAGATTGCTCTCTAGAGTTTTCTGTCCTTGTCAGTGTGAGTATGCCTGATGTGTGCATGCATATGTACTTACAGATCATGTATGCCTGGAGATAATGCACGTGTATTTTTCAGTGTACTGTTTCATGTGTTCAGCTGTCTCATTGTGCCTGTGCATGAAATTTCTTTTTGTCACGTGGCTATTGAAAACTACTAGATGGTTTAATAAACAGATTATATTTTCTTCTTTCCTCAACAGTTCTACTGGATTTTAACCCATATAATGTTTGTATCCCTATTTTTGTAGCTCTTGTAATGACATTTTCACTTTTCCCAGTCACTGCAATAATCCTTTTAAATCTTTGTGTTCTGCTTTCCAGGGGGGCTAAGTCTTATTTCGAACTTACACTATAAAATACATTCAGGTTTTTTTTCTACTGCTGCTTAGCGTGGTTTGACAGTATTATGTCCTGGTTGAAAATAAGCTGTCATTGTTCTAGGGGCTTTTAAGCTATTTTAAGTAAATAATTTCAAACAAGCATGGTTTTCACCGTCACTTGCCACCCCTTAAACAAAAGTTCAGAGGGCACTGCAGGTACCTCTGCTAAGGGTCCATTTCTCAAGTAGATTTGCTTAGTAGAAGAGCCTGTGCTTATATTCCCCAAAGACAAATTTTCTTGAACAAGTTTGTGGTTTGGGGCACTTGTGCTGATTTGACTTGGCTTAGACATTGAAGAATTTTGGGACCACTGATTTCTAGGGCTCTAAGTACACAAGATACTTTTGTAGGAATCTCTGAGTGTGTCCCCTGCAGTCTGAGCACAAGGCACTGACACAACTGAAGAGACAACACAGGCCCCAGCTATGTTGCTGGTCTGACTGGGGACTTGGCACTAGCTTGTTTCTTGGAGGAATTCTCACTGCTCCAGTACATACAAAGTTAGGTTCTGTTATTTGGAGTTTGAAGAAAATTGCCTCTTCTTACCCCACTCCACATTTTCCTTTCTAAAGTAGTAAACTGTAGTAATGCTTTCTGTATGCACGTCTGTGCTGTGCATGGCCAGCAGTAGGACTGACTCCTCTCCTGTCTGTTCCTTCCGTCCCAGATAAAGAAGAAGTGCAAAGGAAACGACAGAAGCTCATGCCTAACTTCTCTGATGGCTATGGTGGAGGCAGTGGCACCGGAGGTGGTGGCATGTATGGAGGGGGAGGTGGCAGTGCTGGCTCTGGTAAGGCAGTGGTTTTGAGTGAAGAGGGAAAGGGGTTCTACTTTGAGAGCAGGATAGATGTTTATTCTGATTTTTAAAATGTGGTGAGGATTTTGTCTCCTCCTAGGTAGATAAGACTTGACTCTGTTGCCTTTATAATAGTGTCACTCAATTGAATCAAGCATCTATCTCCTTGTTTTCTAAACACTTCCTCATCTCCTTTGCTTTCCTACTTTGGAAGCTTTCTTGCTTCCTGGGGCCTTGAAGGCACTGAAATTCATGAGACAGCTCAGTTAAGTACTGTATTGGATGCTGAAAATTAAACAGGTTCTGAATTATTTCTTGGACCACTAGTGGTATTTGGCAAATTAACCCTGTTAGTGCAAAGAACTATTAAAAAATTGGAGATACTATTTAGTAAATTTTCTACAGTGCTCTATATGTTGGAGTCGGAGTGTATCTGATACGCAGGATCATAAGAGCATTGCTTTGGTTCTTGCAGCAGAGCATTAAAAACCTATAGATCAGCAAATGTCATCTGAACAGCAATGCTTTTTTTAGAGCAGGGAACGGAGCAGCAGTTTTCAAACTGTTACATGTGTTGCCTGCAGCACATCTATAGCATAACACCAGAATACAAATCTGTTGTGGTCACAAAGATTCAGAAGCATAGAGGCAGCTTGTGATGTCTCTGCTGAGTTTTAAAAGAAGCATATAGTGATATTACATTTGTGTGGTCTTACAAATACTGGAGTAGAGAGTGTCACTAGCCAATCACCTAGAATTTCTTTGGATTTTTGGAGAGGTGGGGGAAAGCTCACCTTTAGCCTGGAAAATTTAATATAATTGGATGGAATAAAGCAGAAGGTGTGCAGAAAACAAAAATCCACTTCTTTAGCTTCACGTTCTCCTAGGTGGTGTTTTCATTGCTTTAGGATGTAATTCTCTTAATTCTTAATCTTCTTCCTTTCTTTAGGGTTCAGTTATCCTTCATATGGATACTCTGCTTTTGGAGGGATGCACTTCCACCCTGGCACAACAAAGTCCAATGCTGGAATGAAACATGGTAACAGTAAAAATGTCATTCTTCCAAGAGTTGAATTGAGTTTGACCTTCTGTATTTTCTTCTGCAGTATGAGCCCAAGTGTCATGCAGGTCTAGCTAAGTGATTACGATTATACTGCCCTGCTTCTCTTTTTTCCTCTCCAAATCTACCTTAACAGCTGTGTGCATGTTCCTTTTTACTTCTGACTCCTGAGAAGCAGTTGCCAAAACCCTTCCATGTGCTTCTGTATTCAGCATACGTTTCAAGCAACAGCCCTTTTACTTGCTTGAATGTGCTGATTACAGGTGACCCAAGGACTAGACCAGAGAAAATGTATCTTCCTTCGTTGCCACAGTCTGGTACTACACAGTAGCCCAGAGAAATCAGTGGAAAAGATTAAATTGTTAATAAGGACACTCTTGGCTTCCTATAATAGGAAGGTAATTTCAGATCTACATGTTGAATACTCTGTAGTTATTTCCACAGTCTCAGGGATGGATTTGCCATTAGGAAAACAAAAATGAATATGAATAATTCTGCTAGATTTCCTGAGACTACTTCAGACTTACATTCTTGTACCATAAAAAGAGAGGTACATCTGTTGTAATATATGAAAGTTTATTTTTAAAGCAGAGGCTGTCAAAAACATGACATAACTTCAGAGCAAGTTACATCACTATGTCTGTCCGTGTGCATTGGCATCTGAAATTGTATGATTCGTGAGTTTAATGATAACACCTATGTTAAAGTAAATTTTTATATTGATTCTTCAGGGTTTGGTTTTGTCTAGTTGAGCTTTATCACTTGCATTAAAAAAGCAACAGTATTGGACACTAACGATTCTAATTTTTGTTAGAAGGACTATCAAACAGCACAGCTGAACAAACCAGGAAGAGCTCTGATAAACAAAGTGACAAATGGGATGTGAAACATGATGTGAAGGTGGAAACTGTGGAGAGGACTGTGTGCAGAATGTCTGCTGATAATGAGGAGAAGGAGGATGCTGCTTCTTCCTGTAAAACTGAAGTAAACGAAGCAGATTTCAGGTGGCAGGGTAAGTGAACAAGTAAAGGTATTTATTTAGGGTAGATCAAACTGCTGTAAGGGTAAAGCTAGTGTAAAAGGCCTGGAAACTCCATAAATGTCTGCTTGCTGTTTTCAGAACATGATAATGCCTCCTGGAGGAAACAAGAGGGATTCCCTTCCACCAAATCTAAAGTCCCTCCCCATACATAGTTCTGTAGGTAAACCGTTGTACTGCCACTGGGCACTTGAGCTTCTGCTTGTCATGCAAAGGAGATGAGACAGCTTATCCTGCTGGGCATGTTTAACACTGCCTTTTTAATAAACCTGTATAAGGAACAGCCGCAAGCAGTGAAGGCACAAGGGATACAATTCAGCAGCTGACTTGGCTTTTGATATTTGATAGACTGTAATGGATGTGTAAATGGATGTTGGCAGTGATTGCAGAAAAGAACTACTGCAACAACACTGTCAAATTGCATGCAAAGTAGTGTTACAGGTTTGAATTTAAAATGAAAAGGTATCTATTCCCATATGGCAAATACCCAGTAAAATAACTGTTGGGTAGCAAAGTGTTATGTATCAAACAAAACGGGAGGAAGGCAAGAGTAGTCAATAGAAATGATTTCGCAGCAGAGCTGTAAAATATACAAAGACCACAAATCACCCTCTCCCAGAGCAAGACATCCTTTTTCTGGGTTGTTTTTTAAAATAATTGATGGACACTTTTTAAAAGAAATTGAGTAATTGTGCTTACCATAAAATCAAAAAAACAACTGTTGGATTACAGAGACATGCTAGCAGTAGGAATTGAGCAGGAAGGAATGTTTTGTTCTTGGCTCTTACCAAGTGCAACATGATCTAGACCACTTTAGTTGTTCCTTGGATCAGGGAGAGGGCACGTTATCTTGTGTGTATCAGCCATGTAAGGCACTTGCAATTAACAGCACTAGAAACCATGGCTTGGGAAACCAAAGTGGCATAATAGCTGGGTTGTAGTTGTAAAGCTTCTTGTGGTCTGAGAACAGATGGTGCTCTTGAGAAAAGCTGAAGGAACTTGCTGTTTGCAGTTCTGGTTGTGATAAATCACGTGGCTGGTTCAGAGAGCAAAATCTTTTGCTGATATGAAGAACTAATAATGTCCATTTAGCAGTCATGAAGGAGAGGCCTGAATTGTTTACCTGTTTTCCGAGTAATGAATGTTGTAGGCAGGAAGTTTATCATTTCTCTTCTGTATCTATTGTAATGGCATGAAAGGAGGCAACTTCTAGCTCCAGATTATATGAAGAATGGGTGCAGAAGAACAGGCTTCATAAAACAGCTACTGTAGGCTAGATCATTTGGGTATTAGACTAAAAGATGCTTGTCGTATTTTGAAGGATATTTTTTCTGTGTTTGATATGGAAAACCAGGGAGTTTCAGCATCTAGTTCATTGGTCTTTGGAAATGTCTAAATGAGAAAAGACCAAATTGCTTAATGCCCTTTACCCTGACTATTTATCCTGAACATAACATCCATTTAATGCTATTATTTAGTGTAAAGAGGTAAATAGCAAATATGAATGTAGCAGCCCAGGCATGCAGTGGAGCAGCCACAGTGATGTACTGGTTGGAACAATAAGCTTCGTGGATAGCTGAGTAAGTCTTTGCCTTACAGAAATGGTGAATTCCTGTTCATCAGGGATACACTTCTGACCCAGTCTGAATGCCTGTTTTTGTGTAACTGGAAATCCTGGGTATTGTTTCCCCGTGTGCGCTTTAAATGACGAAGTCTGTTGTACTTGTTTGCTCTTAGTAATTTCCAACCTTACGAGGTTTTATGGAAACATGAAACTGTTCAAAATGCAGGTTGGTTTCAGATGATACTTCTCAAAATGATGACTGTAGTTTAAGAGTTCATCTGTTTCATTTTCACTCGTTTCTTGCTGATACAGAACCACGAAAGTATTGACAGAGCAGCCTGAGTTACTTTTTTTTCCGCAAATGAGTTTCTTTTCTCTCCTTTCTCCCTTTTGTCTCCCCATCACAACAAATTCTACTTTTTGAAATCTCAGTGGTTGTACATTTTATAAATCTAAAATCAGGATACTACAAATACTAAGCAGTATAAAAACTGAAATGTTTAAAACAGGAGCTGCGCTGCTGCTGTACAGCAGGAGAGACTGCATGATATGAGTCTGAGGAGCACAAAGCCCTGTGTTTATTCATAGCTTTGCTGTGAACATCTGTGCAATATTTGATGGGTCACTTAGGCTTCTTGTACCTCAGTTTCCTCAAGGCAAAACTACTCAGAACTGCATGAGAGGTTTTTTTTAATTGCTGTATAGACAAGAGTCAGAGGTAGCTTCCAGGGTTTGAGTGTTCTCAGTGTTCCTGCTGCCTGAATGCTCAACATGCACCTAGTTTTGATTCCAAGGGACTCGGTTCCCTCTGTTCTTATGTCTCAGAAGTAATTAGTGAATCAGTGAATAATGCTTGGTGGTCTGCACTTTGTATTTCAAGGACAGCACAAATGCCTATTGAAAGAAGGTGGTGTTCCAAGGAAGAGAACCAAACCGATGAAGACAAAACTTTGTTTTGCAGATTCTCTGTTCCTGGAGAAGGCCATGCAGCTTGCCAAGCGTCACTGCAACGCTCTCTTTGATTATGCTGTGACTGGAGATGTGAAGATGCTGTTGTCTGCTCAGCGCCATCTCACTGCTGTCCAGGATGATAATGGAGACAAGTGAGTTGACCCCACTATGCTTACTGGGTTGAAACTGATGATTTTAGTGGCAGAATGGTGTAGTCAATTTGTTCTGTCCCTTGTGTGTGCCAATCACAGATGGCAGCACTGCTCTCATCAAATGAATATCTTTCTCCTTTGTGCTGTTTGGAAGAGGTACAGCTGTGATTTAGAAGTTCTTGTTGCATTTGCAACCAAGTTGTGCACACTACAAAGTTCATTGATCCAGTACCTGTCAGAAAGTACTCTGGTCACTGAGGGTATGTTAAGCATGTTGTGCATTTCTTTGCCATTTTTTTACTTACAATCTTGGCTGAGCATACACAATGGATGAGGATCCGCAGGTTGATGCTGAAGGAGAGTGCCCTGCTTTTTATTCCATGCAAGTCCTTAAGTCTTTATGGGAAGCTTAAAGTAAGAGATTCACTGGGAGATATAGAAACAATAGCTGGAGGGTCCATACTGCTTTTCTCCCACTGAAACCAGCTTCTTCCCAGAGGACATTATTTTGCTCTTGCTTACATCTATACTGTACTGTTGTCTTCCAAAGGATTGCACAGATGTTTGTGGCAGACTTGGCTGCTAATATTTGCTTATCAGTCCTTCAATAATGTGAGCTGGAGCAGAAATCCATTTTGTTCCTCTACAGCTATGCAGACTCTGTGGAACTCAGAGTGAAATACTGTGAGGAACTAATGATTAGTAGTTACTTAAAATGAAATTCAGCAGAAGCAGCTCTGAACATTTGCAAAGATAATCTCTGGTATAAGCAAGTGACTATCACATCCTCACTTCTCAGCTGGCAGGCCTTGAGCAGGCCCTGTGCAATTACCAGTATTTCCTTACATTGTAGTATTTTATACAGTAGAAGCCACACAAGCCTTGAGGTGTCCAGCTAGAAGGAAAATTACAAGTGATTGAGACCTGTATCCCTGTTCAATTACTCTGTGAGAGGTTACTACTTTCATTCCACTTTTGGTGAAAATAGGTCTCAGATTACACATAGAGGACTGCACAATCACAGAGAGCTACTTTACTCGCTTTGCTTTCCAATTGGCAACCTAATGTCTGCTTTCAGGAAAGCAGGAATATGAAAAAGGCAGGAGCTAGCAACAAAATCTGCCAGCACTTTGGACAACACGGCTTCTGTGTTTAAAATGAAACAAGGGGGATAGAGGAGTATTGAGCAAGTAGGACCTGCATTTAAATATCAGTAAGCTGCCTCTCAGATTTGGACTTGCAGAGCATTTAATCTAAATCAAAATAATTTTCAGAATGATGATAAATAGTTGTTTTCTTCCTGAATCAAGAAGTATCGGCAAGCTCATGTTGCCTTTCTCCTGGGATGGATTTTAGTCTGTGAGCACATCATACATCTGTTTTACTCCATAACATTTTTAAAAAAAGAAGCTTTGGTGACTGTCTTCCATCTCTCTCTTGGAGGGAGGGGGAAGGTTAAAAATCATAAATAAATTTCCCTGACTTTCACTTTAATCATTAAAATTATATGGCAACAAATAGAAAATTTTTGCTTAAGCCTTAAAAAAAATGTTAGGCTGTCAACAGTTTTGCTCATCTTTCATCAAAGCAGTATGCAGGGAATGAAAATACCTTTAGTGGGCCTTGTGTTGTGTTTCATGGCCTTGAGACAGAACACAGTAATCTATGAGTAGAGTATGTTTACAAGTAACACCGGCTGTGACTGCATTTGTACCATTTGTACCAATACCACTCCTCTGCAGATACCTGATGGCTCCACAGGGATGCAGAAATGCATGTTTTCATGTAGGACTGTTTAAGAAATGGAAGTGACTGCCCTTTTGTGGTCTGTTCAGCATGTCTTTACAGTATCACATGTAGAGGCAGGATAAAATTAAAATACTTGCTGCAGAAAAGAGAATTAAAAGCAGTAGAAGAGCATATGTGTTTCTGAAGTGAGATTTGGAAATAAAATGTCAGCACAGTAAGAAGCATCTCCCAGAGAGCAGAGGAACAGCTCTTTTCCAGTAATGGCGGGTCTGTTTGAACAGCACAGGAGACTTGGGGTAAAGTGCCATGGTACTGCCTATGGCAGTGTCTAGAACCAATAAAAAGGGCCCTGCAGGGTTGAATTTGGCTTGTAAATTATATTTTTTCCTTTGTTAAATTATCTTCTGTTTTTGAGTCCTCTCAGTCTCAATTTCAAGATCACTCTATGCCCTGAATGGCGCGGAATTTCTTTTTATTTTTCTGATGAAAGTGTAAATCTGAGACTATTCAGGTATTTCTGGAGCAGCATAACAGACACAGCACATGTCCCATGTTGATATCGTGTGTCAGCAGCAATATGCTAAACAGATGAGTCTAGAAGCTGGCCAGCACCTGCTAAAGAAGAGCTTGGCAGGATATGTTTAAAAACAAAGAGCATGACTTCCAAATGAAGTCTCAAGGGAACAAGAAATAGAGAGCTCTGTCGGACAGGGGTGATGGGATTCAAAACCTGCTTTTTTTCTTGGTGTCATTTTGCTGCTCTGACTGATGGTGAGGGACCTGCTCTGGAGAAGAGCACTGGAAAGGCCATTGCATTAACCCAGTAGAAGTGTCTCGCTATGCAGTCACTCATGTCCCAAAGCAGGGGGTTTTTTTGGCATGACATCTGTGGCCACTGCTGCAAACCTTGTGGTTGTTAGTCACCAGGCCTGAGTCCTTAGTCAGTTTTCTGTTTGAAAGTGAAGGAAAGGAAAACCCACAGATCTGGCTGGGGAAACCCCAAGGGAAAATCTGCTTTGGAGGCAGAGGGGCCTGTGGAAATTCTGCAGGAAGCTTTTGACAGTGAGAGGTGTTCATCTGCTGCATAATTCAAAATATAAAAAAAACAAATGAGCAAAGAATCTGGGGATTTTCTGAAGCAATTGTTTTGTGCTACTAATTTTGTATATTAGACTAGAAGTAAAGTTATGCTCAGGGCTGGCAAAAGCTATTCTGAGTTTGCTTTTGTGATTGAAAGGTAAACAGTTACCTTCTCACTTGCTTTTTTTACTGTTGGGGCTCATTTTAAGTGCTAATATTTAGTGCTGGGATCATTACCCCTAATAGTCAAGTGTTTATGTCAGAATTCAGTCAGATCTACAGCAAAGCCTTGAAATTTTTAGAATAAATTTGAAAACAGTCTGAATTTGTTAATCTGCTTTTTGTTTGTTTCAGTGTCCTTCATTTAGCAATTATCCACCTTCATAGTGAGCTGGTGAAAAACCTCTTGGAAGTGATGCCAGATTTGAATTACAATGACATCATTAACATGAGAAATGACCTCTATCAGGTAGGTAGATGTGGTGGTACAAGTGTTGCTGATTGTCTAGACAGTAAAAGAGAAATTGCTTCTGTGGGAAAGCACCGAGATCTGACAATTCAACAAGTTTAGAAACACAATGACATATTGTAAGGTGGTGGAGGAACGAGAGCCTGTTTTCATAAATTTAGTCCATAACTCCCCTTGATGTTAACACAAGTGTCTCCAAGGGTTAATTGCAGAATAGGCCAAAAATGGTAAATTCTTCAGTTCGTGTCTTCAGTATTTGACTTCTCTGTTGCTAAACCAGCGGTATGGATTACACTGTGCCAGCTCTGGGCTCTTTTGACCTTTTAATGTAGGTTAATTCGGGATCATGAGCCAGTTGCTTCGTCATCAGTTATCTATAGGCACGTGAAGCCATAGTAACTTATTCCCTTCCTACAGCCCAGATTGTATTTGTGTCCATCACATGAGCACCAAAGATTTCCCTTTCTATTTCTAGATTCGTATTATAGTAAAACCAAAAAAATAAGCCCATTTCCATGCCTTTTACCTTGGAGGAAAAGAACTCTTAACTGCCAGGCACAATTCTGTCTCCTCAGCTTCATCTGTGACAGAGTCTGAGCTGTTTGTATTGTAACTCAGGTTTTAGAAAGAGCTGTGGGAACCTGTCTGAAAAGGAATCTCTTCTAAAGAGATTGTGTGCACCATTTGGCTGTCGCACAGGTAACCAGCTGGACATTACACAGCAGCACTCTGACACTTGTTTGTTTTGCTGTCAACAGTAAAGGCAGGGGTTTTTTTCCATACAGGTAGTCCCAGAAGGTTTGACTCCTTTGTTTTCTTTCACATTTCATTTTTGTGTTCATATAAGGCAAGTTTGAAATGTGGAGGCTGATCAAAGCAAGCAGAACATTCTGAATTGAATTCTGTGCCCTCTGTTTAACAGAAACCAGAAGCAAAGCTGTGCTCCACACAAGAAATAAATCCCTGACTACCAGGACCTCTACACCTCTTCCTTCAACTTATACCTTAAACCAGTGATGGGAGAGAATGTAGGCTTGGGCTAGAATTTTCCTTCTGTACAGATATTCTGAAAGCTGAATTGTACATGTACCCTATAGATGCAGTAATTAATTGCAAATGTGTTGACAAACCTATTGACAAACACAAGCTTATTGTGCAAAGCTGGAATTAGTCTTTTTTTTTTAATAGTCCTCTGTTAATATAATTATCTGGAGATGGGCTCTTGTGTAACTTTTAGATTATTTTAATATTGGAAATATGATTTCCCAAGCCTTACTAGAATGCTTACTGTTTAAATACATGCAACTCTGAGTATGTTCACTAACTCCTGTGCAGCCATTTTGAGGGATAAGGAGCTTCTAAGCCTATGGTTGCAAACCTCTGATTCAGGAGCAAAATGAGAGCATGGTTCAGTGGTAAAGGCAGATCTGAGCAGGGCCTGGAAAGTGCGTGTGCTCCAACCATGGCATGAACTTGGTGATGGGGCAGCTGGAAGCATGGTTACAGTGTCTGGGGGGTGCAGGGATTATCTCATTTCCCAAGTCCCTTACACTGCAATGCTCAAATAGCCAGGTCAGTGCCCTGGCTTATAGAGTAGGCAACATCTTTGTTCCTCCCAAAGTCCAACTGCTGACACTGGCAAGGCAGCTTTTATTTCCAGTAAGTAGAAACCCTATTTGTAGTATTCAGTGGAAAAGAATGTACACATATGCAAGCTTTTAGTTTCTGTTAGCTTTGGAGTGATGTAACATCTTCTCACACTAGGAGCCTTTATGGGTTTCAGAGATTTCTGTAGAAGTGATGTAGCTATTGCTTATCTTCTCGTGGCTTGCTTCTGTCTCTTCTAGACCCCCTTGCACCTGGCAGTAATCACAAAGCAGGCAGAGGTGGTAGAAGACTTGCTGAGGGCTGGAGCAGATGTCAGCCTCCTGGATCGCCATGGTAATTCTGTCTTACATTTAGCTGCTACCGAAGGAGACGACAAGATCTTGAGTCTGCTCCTCAAGCATGAGAAGATATCTCCGATGGTCAACCTTTCCAATGGTGAAGGTATGGAAAGATAAGGGCTCTATTTTACACTTAGCTACTAGACAAACACGACCCAGTTCCTGACCCTGCCAACACTATGACTCTACATAGGTAGATACAGACCTTGAAATTAGCATCTTTCCCCATTTTGCATATGCCTGCAGGTACAGATAAGAGAACACAGATGTGTTGGTTTTCTGGTTATACAGAACAGAAAGATGTAATGGCCACATGACATAGTATGGATTTGAATTTTTGTTACTCTGTATTCTCTTCAATCTCACAAAACTTCAAGCACTGTGTTCCTTCTAAGATACCTTATGCCACCACTGTTTTTTTAAAAAAAAAAATCCCCCTAGAAGAAAATGTTTCCTCTTTTCTAGTGAACGAATCCCCTCAAAAATAGGTTCTAGACCAGTGTTGAGTTTTGTATGTGGTACTTTGTGACCATACAGAATTAGACCCTACAAATTAACCACGAAGAGACGATTCTCCCATTTTTCATTGGCATAGGGGATTTGAATTTAGTACTCCTCCTCTAGTAGACTGTAAAATGTCTGACCTAAAAATGTCATTATGGGATTCAAGAAATAGTGTTAAGTTCCTCAGAGAGAAAGAATTTTTTGTTTGGTTGGTTGATTTTTAAATACAAGGCTTTATGATCTAGTGCAGGTAATCCTGAGATGGTAAGGCAGTGTGACCTTACAGGAAGATGATACTAAAATATACCAGTTATTCCCCAGACTGTTTCTAGAAGAGATGTTCAGTAGCAGATGGGGCCAATGTGGGGTACGTACTTGTTTAGCACCAAGATGCAGGTTTTATTTTTAAGGCTACTCTCTTTTGAGTAAACAAGATGCTCTAGGTGAGCTCTGTAGTTCCTGCCTTCTGTCCCACCTTGTAGTCTGCTGGGGTTCTTTTTCTTGCGTGGTTTTGACTCACCACCATTAACACAACTAGTTCCAATTTATGCACAAAGAACGTTTTTATCAACATCATTAACATGATCCTGAGCCTCCACCTAGACTGCTACTTTAGGCTCTGGGACTCCCAGCATACAAAGGACACAGGCTTGTTAAAGCGGGTCCAGGGGAGGCCATGAAGATGCTCAGGGGGCTGGAGCACCTCTCCACTGCAGACAGGCTGAGAGAGCTGGGGCTGTTTAGCTTGGAGAGGAACAGGCTCCAGGGAGGCCTCATTGCAGCCTTCCAGTGCCTTTTAAAGGGAACCTATAGGAAAGCTGGAGAGGGACTTTTTACAAGGGCGTGTAGTGACAGGACAAGGGGGAAAGGTCTCAAACTGATGGAGGGTAGGTTTAGATTAGATATGAGGAAGAAATTCTTTACTATGAGGGTGGTGAGGCACTGGAACAGGTTGCCCAGAGAAGCTGTGGATACCTCATCCCTGGCCCAGATGGCCAGGTTGGAAGCAGCTTTGGGCAACCTCGTCTAGGGGAGGTGTCCCTGCCCATGGCAGGAGGTGGGTGGAACTAGATGATCTTTGAAATCCTTTCCAACCCAAACAATTCTATGATTCTATCATCTTTTAGTGTATAAGCAGGCAAAATATGTTACTTCTGCTCAGATAACTACAGAAACTCTAACTTATTTTACAATTCTCATAGATGCGGACATTTCAAAGCTCATTACTCTGACATTTCTGAATTTTTCAAATATTAATGCACATGGACACATGCACAGTATTAATGGTTGGGATTTATTTTTTGTAGGTCTCAGTGCAATTCACATGGTAGTGATGGCAAACAGTATGTCCTGCCTCAAACAGCTGATTGCTGCTGGAGTTAATGTCAATTCTCAGGAACAAAAATCTGGACGAACTGCGTTGCATTTGGCTGTTGAACAAGAGAACATCCCTTTGGCAGGCTGCCTTTTGCTTGAGGTAAGGGCAGAATTTCTTTCTTCCAGGTCTTTCCAACTATATATTTAAATACTCTGGACACTCCTTCAGTGCTTCAGAGGAACAGAAAGGGGGGTTCCTGTTTATTGACTAGATTACTAATAATTTTGCCATTATGCTAATTTAAGTAATGTTATTCATGGTTTTGTTCAGCACTGCTGGTGAATCTTTTGGCCAAGCTGAGGAATTTACAGTGACCCTGACCTGACTGCATATGCCATGTTTAATTTGCACTGAGTAATCCTGGCAGCCAATGAACTTATTCATGAACAAGTTCATCACTACTTCTGTGTGTAGTTGAATGTGTATAGAGAGATGTGCATAGAGATATAGTTGTGCGTATCTATAAGTATTTGTCTCATCTCTTTTAACACCTTGATCCTGGTGTCCTTAATTCTACACACCTCCTGCTGCTGTAGCTCTCCTTGGTGTTGGTGTGTGGATGTGCCACCAGCCTGGCTGCTCTTCTGAAGAGCAACAGGAAGGCAGATTTCTGTGCACACCATTCACACTCCAAAGGCCGAGGGTAATCACATGACAGAACCATTACATGGGATGCAAAGTGGCTTTTATGTACCTGGCCTATTTGGATATACACTGCGCCTCCTGCTGTAACACTGGAGCACACAACGACCATCTGCTCCTCCATGCAGACAGTTGTAGTTACTCTCTGATTATGTCTTTTCAGACATTAGTTTTTATGCAAACAGGCATGGAAAGTGCTTGCCATGCTTATGCAGACGTGAGCCTCTGCAGCTCTATTGTATAGATTTCTTTTCTTTTTGTCATTCAATAAAAACCTAGGGTGATGCAGATGTGGACAGCACTACATATGATGGGACGACTCCACTTCACATAGCAGCTGGAAGGGGCTCTACAAAACTGACAGCAGTTCTCAAAGCAGCAGGTATGAAAATAGATCATTGCTGGAGAGTTTTCTTTCACAGTGATGAAAATTCAAGTTAGAAGGCTGCAAGCAGAAAAGAATGTGCCCGTGAACTTTAATGAGTGGAGGAAGTCGGATGTTAAAAGCCTGAAGGTCTGAATTTCCTCAGAAAGTCCGACTTTGAGGTGCTATACTAACCACTCTTCAGCACCATCTAATGGCTAAAAAGGCAAATTATGCTGGTCAAGAAAAATCTCTTGAGTACTCTTGAAAGTTTTTTGAATATTTCTTGTGTAGCTTTTATAGCTGAAGAAGTGGAAAAGAGACCTTGTTATAGCTGGGATAAGTGTTGGACTGCTTTAGAAACAAAAATAACCCCATCACTGAAACATGAGCTTGTTACTGTCTCCTATTTTAGGTCACTTTAGAAGAATTAGATTTGAATATTTATTGGAACATTTTTCCCCCTCTTTATATTGGAGAGTAGCACTACACAGAGATGTGACAGCATTTAAATGTAATTTTAAAAAGAGTTATTTGCTGGCTTAATATAAAATATCATTTAGCTGGAGTAAATAAATTAGCTGGTTTGCCATTCAGAAATTAGAATGCATATTTTAAATATTGTTGAAAAGCAACTCGAAGCCTTTTTTCTTACTTTTTTTTTTGCACACTTGTTTTCCAGGTGCAAATCCTCACATTGAGAACTTTGAGCCATTGTTTGATCTAGATGATGTGAAAGATGCTGAAGATGATGATGAAGGGATTGTGCCTGGAACAACACCGCTGGATATGGCAGCCAACTGTGAGGTATGTGGTCTGTTTTTTCTGTTTGTTGAGTTTTTTCTGTTTTTATTTCTAATCATCAAGGACAGTTCAGATCTCTTAGCTAGCTCCTTTCATTGCATCCACAGTTATTTCAGTGGTGACAAGCAACTAATTTGCCATCAAAAATTAAACTAATTCAGCCACAAAACTCACCTAATGAAATAACATTGAAAGAAAGCTCCACTTAACAGACTACTGAACCTCAGAGAGGAAAAAATGCTGATTTACAGATGCAATTAGGTAGAATACTGCTGAGACTTGTTAGGATAATGGATACTAACAAGGTTTCTGCTAAATACTGAATTTAATATATTCTCTTAGGTGTATGACATATTAAATGGGAAACCCTACCAGTCAACAGAAGTTTCGGAGGAGTTGCTGACACGAGGTAACATCTATAAAGACTTGACAATATCCCTCTAGTAACTGAATTCTCAAACCATAGTGGCTGAAGACATTGCCCTGCTATAGCTTGTAACTGAACTGGTGAGGGAGAAGAGGTACCCTCCCAACCACTTGCTCACAGAATGAGCACAATTCCCTTAAGAAGTCATAAGGACACAAAGGAGTACATTTTCAATATTACAGCAATACATTTATAAACACTGGGACTGGACGCTAATATACTCTTCAGTTTAGTTTTGTTTCTGCTTAGAAATGAACTGGTGCATGATTTGTGTAAATAATAAACTAACATATTTCTCTGTTCCCCAGGAAACTTGAGAGAGCTGAATGAAAATTCCAAGATGCAGCTTTACAAACTATTGGAATTGCCTGATCCTACCAAAAACTGGTCCACTCTAGCACAAAAACTAGGTCTTGGCATACTTAATAATGCCTTCAGGTTGAGCCTTTCTCCATCGAAAACTCTGCTAGATAACTATGAGGTAACGTGGCTGTAACAAGTTATAAAGAACATTCACACATGTAGAGAACACTGTCCTCCTGGACAGTGAGGAGCCCTTCGGTTCTAGCCAGCCTGGATGATGGTGAGCATCTGGTGTCTTCTCTCTTAGGTCTCTGGTGGTACAGTTCAGGAGTTGATTGCTGCTTTGAGGCAGATGAATCACACAGAAGCCATTGAAGTCATTCAGGAAGCATTATCCATCTCACACAGCCCATCTCACCTGGAGAAGAGTACAGCAAAAGCTCTTCCGTCGTCATCACCACTCACCTTTGCAAGTGGAGAGACAGGTAAAATTGACAACAAAATATGAAGAGCTTTATTTAAGATGTTTTTCTCAGTTCTCCCTCCCCACCCCACCTTGGACTGATGATAGATTTTATATTTCCTTACACACAATGCCTCAGGTGCCTCCCTGCTTCAGAAATATTTTACTGCAGCGTGACTTTCTTGTCATAGATATTTGCTAGGCCTAGAAGAGAGAGGAAAAATGGACCATTTGAATCAGCATGCCTGCATCACAGTATTGAATACACTGCCTCCCTTTTCTAAAACCAGACACTTACTATTTGCTGATGGTAATGCCATGAATGTACTGAGAATAAGTTTCAAAAGATAAACTAGGCAATGATTTCCCAGGCATGTACAAGTGCCATTAGCTTTTGACTTTTTTCTCCCCCCTCATATACGGATACACAAAAATGTTTTGGGCACATAAGCTTCTCAATAAGACTTTGGTATTAAATATCTCTTTCTACAGTGTGTAGCACTCCAAAATGTCCCAGTATTCTGTAGGCAGAGATTACACAGGACCACAAGCAGTCCTGCTGTCAACTACCTGCTCAGAGCAGGGCCAGTATAAATATTACATGGGTTTGTCCATGTCATGTCCAGTTGAGTTCTGAGCATCTTCAATGATGGAAGTCCTACAGTGTTTCTGGGCAAGGGACTCTACTAACACAAAAACAGAGGTTGTGAGAAGTCAATAAGTCATCAGGGATGTTCAGTCAGTGCCTGGTCATTTTAAGTAAAAAAACCCTTTGTTTTTTACTGTTAAAACACCAGTAATGCTGCCTGTACGTGAAAATACTGTAGATATTTCTGGAAAGGAAAAAAAGGAAAACCACAGTCACTCCATTCTAATCTAAAGTTGCCAGTTTACTCTCTATGGAACAGTTTGTTCAGTCACGGAAAGAACCTTCACACCTACCCAAAAATGTACTTGTACACATATTACGCCTTTAGATTAATCTTGAAGGGTAAGAGGGGTTCTGCTCCTTTACAACAGGAATGGACTGCATCACATTGTTTATTTTAAGGTGTTTGTTTAGAAAAATAAGATTGAACTCTAATATGCCAACCACTGTTATAGTCACACTGATCCCATATCATACCTTCAGCTTGGACACTGATCCCTCGCAGTCAGGCACTCCTTTTGTGAATGGTGCACAGGTGATGGGTGCTGCTGACTTGTTCGTATTTCAGGCTCACTTACTAGATGAAAATTGTTCTAATATTTGTCTCAAAAAGAAATCTGTAAGTTAAAATAACATGAGCCTCATCCTGGAGCTGTACATTTGCTCAGAGCCTGAATCTGAGAACCAGAGAACCTTTTGACACCTGGGCAGAGTCCTGACCAATGTGCAGTGACAACATTAGTGTCAGCAGAGCACCAGGCTTCTCATCCCATCCAAGCTCCAACTGCAAGCTGATCTCTGCCAGCAATATGTCAGATCACATGCTCTGGTGGCCTGAAAGCACAGCTTTTCCTAAAATAATACCTCATATTAGAATCATTTTCCTATAGAAGAGCTTTGACCCTGTTGGTTTGCATTCCTTAGACTTTTCTGAAAGCAGCATTACTCAAGCCACACAAAGAATAACATATTTCCTTTTTCTCTCTCCCTCAGGTGAGCTTTATAACAGCAAATTTCAAGACAACGAAAGCACGTGTGACAGCGGTGTGGAGACCTCGTTCCGCAAACTGAGTTTTACTTATTCAGACTCTCTGAACAGCAAGTCATCACTAACACTGAGCAAAATGGCCCTGGGCTACGGACATGAAAGTTCAGTCCAAAGCAATTATATAGCTGAATAGTAATGTTCAATTAGCAATATGCAGTTACAGGAACAAATACAACATTAAAAATTACATCAGTGTCGTCCTGGTCAGAGGGAAGTGAATTCACAACCAAAAGTGCACTGGAAGAATCCCACCCAAACCAGAAGCAATGGCAACTTCAGCATGCAACTCCTAGGCACTGCTTCCTTCCTCAAGTACATTTAATTTTATTCATTTACAAGCCATATACAATAACCAGGGCTCTCCTGCCATATTAATACACAGGACTGGACGCTATGAAAGACTGACTGAGCTTTTGTGGGTTGTGAGGATTTTCTTTTACAGATGAAAGTCACTCCTTAAAGCATAATATGAACTCAAAAAAGAGGTAAGGCACACAGAGCAATCAAAGGATACAGTTTCTAGCCGGTCTCTTCATAATTTTTGCAGCACAGTTGCACGAAAAGAGCTCCTAATATAGCTGGCAAAGAAAAATCATTAATCGTAACAGTGACAATTTAGAGAAAAAAAGAAAATCCTAAAAAAAAGAATCTTGTATATTTCAAATAATGTATTTAAATTTCACTTTGGTACCTCTTATTCAAAATCTTTTTCCAGTTTGGCATTTTCCTACTTGTAAATAGTTTTTTTATATCTGTTCCTGTTTGACAAAGTGGGCTTTTTAAATGCTTATTTTTATTTTACTTTTATAATAAAACCCTAAAATTAATTCTCTTGTCTATGCTTGCTGTGATTTTTCCATATCTTTCAAGTAGAGTTATTGAAGATTTAGCATTTCAGTTTTAGTCATTGATACAAGAGCATGCTGATTTCCAAATACTAAAATAAATAAAGGGTTGCAAGCCACCTGTCTTAAAGCTTGAAGCATCTTTTTTGGTGGGAGAGCAGAAGCATCAGCAACTGCTAAGCAGCTGTGCTTTGTGCTTTGGAATTAAAGCCTCTGCCTTGTTTCAGTTCTCATAATTATGGCAGCAGAGTGTTCATTTACACTGAAACCAACTATTTAGTGTCTCAGCAAAACTCTGATGAGACAGTTCTCCTTTAGGCTATCTAGAAACTCCTGTAGTAACTGTGCTCAAGAAACAAGTGTTTCTTGTTTCACATTAATTCTGAGATAGTGAGTGTAACTGTTACTGATGTTGGCCCAACTAAAAGTACAGAGCAGGTATCAGATTTCATGATGAAAAAGCAACCAGCAGCATTGTACCATTGTCACTCACTTGCAGCCAGTTTTCGTGGCACAAAGATGGAGATTTGACAGGGTTGCTCTTGGCTCAGTTCAGTCTTCAGTAACCTGGGTGTCACTCCTGAGAAAATGAATCAAGATAAACCTTGAGAATAGCTACATTTAGAGCAGTAGTTGCTGTAATGAATTAAACCGAGTAATGAAAAAACCTTGTGAACTAATTTTATATCCAGCTGAATTACTGAGTATTTTAATTACTTTCAGGGAAACATGATGAATAATAGTAAAAATGCCATTCTTTCTTTCAGTTATTGTATGTATAACCTGCATATGCAGCATCTAAGGCATAAGGATTTTTGTTCAATTAATGTACTTGTCTAATAGAAACAGGCAAAGGTTCTCATATTCTGAGGGTGGAGGGGCTTACTGAACCCCAGATGAGCTGCTGTCCAACTCAGGAAGCTGGCAGAGATTTTTACTGAGGTCTCTACAATCTTACAGGTCACCAGTGCACCCTGACTGTTGATTCACACTTTTTAGCCTCAGTTCTGACCAGCTCTGCTTTTAAACCACCAGAAGACACCTGGGCCTATATTTCCTTTAGCACTTAATGACCAAATGCTGTATAATAGCTATTCATCCGGTTAGTGATCACGCAATGAACAGCAGGTCCCCTAGGCCCTGTGTATTGAAGTGCTTTAAATGGCAGTCTGGCAGCTTTTTTCCTTGCAGCATCTCAGTTTCAGTATATTTAACAAAAGACACTTTAGTCCTTTTATTTTTTTTCCCCTCTTTGTTTAGAGATAGAAAAAAGCTTAATTTAAAAAGTGTTCTCAGTAATTCAAACTGGAACACTAAATTTCTACAGCTGAGTCACATAATAGGATAACTTTTCCCATCTGTATCAACCCTCTCCATCTTCCACACAGTCTGTTAGAACTAGGCAAGAGGAGGAGGTAGAACACACCACCTAGTGTAGGACACACTACAGAAAGTGGCAGGACATCTACTAGGAGACATTTGTGTCTGGTGTAGTTCCATTTGGCAGAGCAAACCTGCTAGAGAGCCTAGTGCTTATTGCAAGCAGCTCAGTTAAAACACTAAAACACACAACTGTGCTCTTCTGCTCGACCTTTTTTCTTAGTAGTAGTGGTCATCCTGTACAGGGCACACTGATTCTTGCACTGATGGCACCTGGAAGAAGGTCAGGCTCCTTGCAGGTGTGAGGATGAAGGCAACATACATACAGAGGAATGAGGCTTAGCAAGAGACAGTGTGACATAGACAAGACTTGAACATTTAAAACAAATGTGTTCATATCAGGTAACTGTCAAGATGTATTTATTGACCACATCATCGTATCTGCTCTCCTCAAACAGATATTAATCCTCACACCTCCTTGCTAAGAAAGGTAGTGCCATTCCTATTTCACAAGTGTGATAGAATAAACTACAGCTACAGTCCTGCAAAAATCCAGAAATCAGCTGCCTGAGAGCTTCTGTCTACACCTGGCTTATAGAGGGAAACCTTTCTCACAGAGTAGTAATGGTGTAACTTAGGCTTAACTGTTTCATTCCAGGAGGACCGTACTACACATTGTAGCAGAGGATGTTGTCCCCATTCTATTCCATGTTACCCTGAGGAAACAAAACTGAGAAGGGTATTCACTAAGTTCTCAAAAGTCAGGAATAAGTTTGAGTTTTTTTAAGATATGTGCAGAAACGATAAGAAACACCCAACAACGTGTCAAACTCAAGAGCAGGGTGTCTCTGCACTGTGGCGGGATGAGCAGTTCTGACTAGGCCTATTCCACAGTGGGCTCTTCTTGTGCTCTGCATCGCACTGCAAGCAGCCTGGTGCCTATTTCCATTAGCAATTAAAACACTGAGGTTGAAGGTATGAGCAAAGATCATTAACCAGCAACCTCGAATTGATCCTTAAAAGCTGATTTCATGGGTTTGTTCTCACTTCTTCTCACTTTGACAGTATCAGGCTTCTTCTCACTTTGACAGTAACTGCACCCATTTACCTGCAACACTTGAAATATTCAAATGGTTCAGTATTAAAATAAGAAAGGTTATGTAATTAAGCTTTTTTTCCCCCCCTGAAATGTAAACTTCGGGCATTCTCAGTCCAGTTTAGTATTACATTTTAACTTACTTACAGTGAGGATCAAAATCTGAAATAATTCTAAACTTAATCTACATTTGCAGTGGAATGGAGCCTGCTCCACTATTTTGCTACTGTACTGCAGTAATAAACATCAGAAACTTGTGGAATGCAGCAAAAGCTGTGACAACAGATCACTATGGATCTTCTCTACATTTGATGTAAAATGGATTATTCAGAAAGTTAAACTGCCCTTGATTTTAGATTGGCTGCCACAGCTGTAAGTTTTTTGGCATCATATTTGGGGGTATTTACAAACTTGGAAATCAGTGTGGTAGTGGGAAGTTCTAGGAAGCATTCTGAAATTTTGTGGACTGCAGGAAGGATAAGAATGTTACCTACATGTGCTGGTGTATAAAGCCTCTTTTTTCCATTGTCTGGGCAAGTAAAATGCTTTTTTTCAACATTTTAAAAAAAAGAAACACTGTCCTTGCTCCCTCCAAGTGACAGGAACGCTACTGCCGATTTGTTAGCTCAGGGTGCAGTAGTCAATACTCACCCACAGTCCACAGCTTTTGGCTCTTCTGGATGAACACCCCTTGCAACAGAGCAGTTCTAAAGTAACCGCCAAAGGCGCAGTCCACACTTTTGCTGGCTTCCAAAGATTCCTACAGCTACAGGAAAAAGACAACACAAGTTAATTACCAAGGAGTTGATTTTCTGCATTCAGCATTATAAAGCAGCCTGATATCCTGCTTAGAGCCAGGCTGTAGTATGTCTGTTACTATTCAAAGCCTGCAGAGGTTTCCCCATGGCCTCATTTAAACTCAAGCACTGTAGCAATTTTTCAGCCATCCATTCACCCTTGCTTCATTTACAATACAGAGGAGCTCTAGCAGATCAGTGGCCTTCATTACATACTGCAAGGGAAAACACTTGTGACAGACTTAACACCTGTTAACCTGTGCCCCACCATGGCACTTGCCAACATTCCAGCTGAGTCAGCCCACACAGGCACAGAGCAGCATCACGCCTCTGGGATAGCTAATACAACGTCTGCCAGAAAGACAGGAGCATGACAACTGCCTCACTTCTCTTTCAGATGTGCAGTCACCTCAGTATCTTCTTGTCTTCAGCATCCCAGGGAAGAAAGTCTATATTTGGCTACAGTACAAACCAAAATCTGTAGCCAGAGCACTTCCAGATGGGTAACAGATGGCTAGATACACAAAACACGTCACTGTTCTAAACACTGAGCCCGCTTCTTTATGTGCTGCCCTTGGATCCTCACCAGTGTTCACACTGGGCAACCCAACCACAGCTTCCTACCGCCCTAACACTACCATGGAATAACAAAAGATGAAGATTTCCCCTATTTCTTTCATAGGAAACCACCTGAGGCCTGGCTCACTTTACAGTTGTTGGGGAAATGGGCTGAAGCTTAAACCCTGGTATAGTCCACGTTAGTTGGTAAGACAGAATTGCAGGGCCAGCATCCCCAAGTATTACTATTTAGCTTACTTACAACAAGTAAAGGAGGACTGCTACAATAGGAGAAGACAGAGAAGCTGCAATGCCTGGCAATGGCAATGTTTGCAAAGAGGTATCAGAGGCTGGCATTTAAGGTTTTGGTTTTTCACCACCATGAAACAGGATTGAAACTTTCAGCTCCTCCATCTGACAAGAGCTGCTTCCCCAGTAGGCCACCAGCTCAACAGACTCTTTCTTACTTAGAGCTCTGTTCTGGATTACCCAGCTCCCCACCAGGCCATAAAGCCTGGCTCAATCCACAGCCATTCCCCTCCACAGAGTCAACAAGGAACCCAGCCAGTCTCAAAGTAAAAAAGCTATGGAAAGAAAGAGCAATCCTGAACCACTTTGAACTCACAGAACCCATCAAAAAATTTCAATATCAACTCCCAAAGCAGAGCTGCATGAACAGGTCCTGGCAAGCAGCCATGCTCACTGCCTTCCTCCTGACACCTCAGGGTATTGTTTCCCTTTATGCTGCCGCACATTTCCTTTGCTGTAGTCACCTAGACCAGAGACACCTTTTATTTTGGCCATGATACACACTAATAATCAAACCAGGTATTTATGGGTCTCTACTAACTGACTCTACTTCCTACAGAAAGATGCCCTTTTTTCATTTAAGCTTTGTTTTTCCACTCTAATTAAAACTGGGACTTCGATTTCACTATTGTGTAACATCTGACTGGAAAGCAGAGTTATGTAGACCAAATTCTTTGACTGGAACACGTCCTTAAACATTCTAACCACAAGTCCCTGGATGACTTAACTTACTACTCAGAGGGTAAGAAAGAAAACTGTGATTCTGACAGTATAAAGACTGGCTTGTAAGCTACAAAACCCAACTGCCCTGTCCCAAGAATAAGAAACTCATTGGCCTGTTTCTCTGCTCCTGACACTGCTACAAGTGCCTGAAAAATGTGTCTGCTACACATCTCCAAAACCAAAAGGGGACTAATAGAAATAAAAGTACCAAAAAAAGATGTGCCTCTAAGCCAGAAAACTGTCCAGGCCAAAAGGTATGCAAACAACAGGTAACAACAAAGACTGACAAACTATGAACACTTTCTTAGAGAGGAACTTTCAGATACATTTGCATGCTTCTTTCCTGGAGAAGATGCAGAAGAACTTGAAAAAGCTTCCAAGGACATGCTCCAGTAAACTGGAGCAAAATAAGGCTTCCACATGTGGCAGAAAGTACCAACAAAGAGGTGCCCCCTAAAGCTCAAAATGGTCTCTGCAAGTCCTGAATAGGTTCAGAGCAAAATCTCTGTCTGAGACAGGTTTTAGGACAACAAATCAGCCAATGCCACACAGTGTTCTTCCCAAACCTGCTCTCAAGTTCTGTTCTAGAAGGGCATTGGTCATGGCTGAAGTGCACTCTGGCTGCTAACTTTTGCCATCAGTGGAGAATAGCCAGGAGGGGGCCCGAGAGCAAAGAAAGGCCACCAGCACAAGTAAACTCACCGGTCCTTGAACAAAACATAGCAAGGATCCACCCTGAAAGAACACGGATGAGCCCAGTCCCCTCTACTGCTACCACCAATAATTTAATGGCACGGAGGACAAGCACCATGACACTCACCATATGCTCCTCCCAATGCTCCTGCTCCTGAACCCCTGCCCATCAGACAGAACTGGCAATACAGGTGCTGCCCAGGAGCTGCAACAACACTCAGGTGGCTACAGATGGATGTGTTGATATGAGTGCTGGGTACCCTGAATCTCTCTTCATTTGCATTCCTATCTTTGCCCTGATCTGAGACAACAGCAGAACAATGTAACCAAGTATAGCACAGTATGCAACTGCAAAAGTACCAAGGGAAAATGGTTAACCAAAGCACATGTTACAGCCACTGCTGCATGGGGTAGAGAACAGCTCCTATAAATACACACCTACTACAACACCAGGAAATCAAAAGGATGTATGAAGGATATTAAGACAACAATGGAAGTGAACCTTCCCCATTAAATTCTGTTTTGAGTTCAAGCGTTTGGCTTAAGCAACTGCTAATCTTTCATAACAGCACCTACTGCGGAATTAAAGCTCTCCAGTGAGAAAGAATGGACCTGCTCCTTAGGGAGCTTCTGACCTTCAAAAACAGCAATCAAAAAAATCGCCTGAACCTTTTCACATCAATCTGGTAATTGCAGAAAGCAACAGGGGAAAAAAAACCATAAAAGAATGCTGTTCTACATAACTGTGCTGGTAGACATTAGTTGCATAGCCACTTCACCATTTATTTATCACATACCACATCATTTCTTTCACGATTTTGCCTAAAATTTGTGACAGGCTAAACAAGGTCACAGTTATCCAAATTCTAGCAATCCAAAAGCTCTTTTCTACATATCTCAAACTTCACTCCTATGCTGAGATGCACCAAGAACAAATATCATTGACCTCCAGACAATCCTCTTGACTTTCTTTAAACAAGTGACTCTATCAAAGCTCTATTTCTTTAACACTATTAAGTGCCATTTTGAAGTTCTATCTAGATGTTGCTGGAAGAAATATTTCTCCATAAGAGAAAGACATCAACAAAATCTGCCCTTTTTTTAATACACTGCAGCAGTATTTATTAATCATATTTTTTCCACATTTTTTCATCCTTACCTTATATTGACGCCATTGCTGCTTTGATTTCACTTTGATGCCAGGACACCAAAAAAAACTGAAGAATTTTTCTTGTATTGTTGGCACAGGATGCCTTTCAGATAACTTTTAATCTCCTTTATCAATATCTGCATTTTCTAACTGTTAAGTTTTACTCATGACTGTCATTTTCTCTATTTATTTTGCATAACCTATAAACATTGACACATACACCTCCATATTTTGATTGTTTTCATGTCTTCTTTTAGCTAGGACAAGTGTTGAATCAGAAAAAGCCTCCAATGCAAATGCAGTTAGTTGTTTTGCTGACCTAATAAAGAATTTGTAAGCAACTTCCATTTATCATTTCTCTTTCATCCTTAAGTTCTTTCTTTTGCTCAGGAGTATGTAATTTTTTTGTTAACACCCAATTCAAAAGCACCAGAGATCACCAAGGATTTATCAACATGTTCATCTCTCTGCCCATTAAAACTGTGGTCGCTGCAAGAAAACAACCCCCAGTCCAAGGTCTCTAAGTGTCCAGTGGAACAGCCACTCGCCCCACACGAGCTCAAGACCGCCCTCCCACCAGCAAATATCACATACCTGGTGCTTTTACAACACAGATGGACATCACCGGTAGAGCTTGTTCAAACACCACCTACTATGGTGCTGATTCTGCTTTGCAGGAAAATTAATACTTGCTAAGACTGCAAGGGGATTCTTGCGGAACCCCAGCAAGATCCCAGCTGCATTTCAAACCACATCCGACAGATAAGCCCACTGTTTAGCAACCTGCTCACAGAGTGGCTCGTTGGCCTTGATTTTGTGACAGCCAAACCCTCAGGCTTTCAGCTCCACAGGCTATTGCAGTCCACCATGCTGAAGCACGCTTATTTTCTTTGTATTAAATGCCAAAGTGAGATGACATTTCTATGAGAAACCTAAAAATTTTAAAATGTAGTTGGAAACAGAATGGAAGGTGAACCACCATTACTTTGTATAGACTCAGGAATTCAATGTGCCACCAGATGTAATAATGAGTCAAGAGTGTCTTCTACGGGGAACCATAGAAAGAAAAATGTTGAGGTTTTAATTTGTTGGAAAGAGAGGAGGATCAGTGTGGAGCACAGGACCACTCATGAGGAATGCCAAGAGGTAACAGAATGTCTGTGCAGCAGTGTCTGAGTGAGAACAGCAGCCGCTGCACCCTGCATTTAGTAGAGAAAAAACAGTCACTTGCACCTCTGTGGTTCTCTTACGTGACCATTTCTTCTCTGTACTGCCTCCTTTCTCTTGGCACCTTTGGTTAACTCTTCTCCCTGCTCCTTTTCTCACATGGCACATTATGTGGGATCCCACACAGCAGCAACAGGTTTGTGACTGCACCTGCAGCTCTCTGGGTATAGGCAAAGCTAGATGCAGAGCTCTCAAAGGCTGTTGCTTATTTTGCATGAAAAGAGAGCAGAAAACAAGTCTTGTACTGAATTCCTCTTTCAGAAAGGGGAACAGATCTGCCTGATGTCTGACTCGACAGCCCAGGTTTCATGCCTTGCAGGAGGCAGGCAGACCACCTTAATGGATGACAGCCATAGATCTGAAAGGGTAGGACTAGTGCCCTCCCGATCTGGGTGCAGATAGATCAAACAACTTGGAGGCGTACTTCTGGAGGTTGTCCCAGCTTCATTCCCTGCCCTTCCCCCTACTCCCCAGCATACCTTGCTGTTATCTTAAGATGAATTTCCACTTAAAGTATAGTGAAACTAGAAAAACTACGGATGTACTTTCAAGACACCGCATATATTATACGTAAGCTTTGCTGTTGATATCTTTACATTGAACCAGCAGTTAAAATTCACACATGACAGGAGCAGACAGTATGTTCTCCAGTTGGCTCAAATTGTGTGTCACTTCAACTTCAGTAAAATTGTTTTAACTTTTCTTCTCCTCCTGTTTCACTGTTTATATAACTAGAAGGAAACGAGGTATTTTCAGACAACATCCAACAGAGAGGTCAAGGTTAGTGAATTTTCTAGTTCTTCAACACTGGTAGGTTCCCAAGGATAAAACACAACCACTTTCTTCTTTTCAGTCATGAGGAAACCATTATCACTAAATCTGCCTTTTATACTCCCTACATCCATAGAAACAAAAGGAGCAACTGCAGTGGTCTGAAGAACAAATATATAAGTATCGTCTTGTTTGGATACAGAAGCCTGAAAGAGAAATAAAAAAAATAAATAAATAAAAGAAAATATGCATGTTAAAGAAGACCCCAGTCATACCCAAACTGGTAAAAGAGCTGCATGCCCATAACACAGACTGAACAACCACATTTGATCCAAATTAATAATCTCTTCTGGAAACCAACAGGATTCATATCCAAGAATCATGCAAAAACTGCAAATGTTATTACAGCCTTGCTACAGAATACTACAGATGGTGGAAGAATGCCAAAGTGTTATCACTCTACCATCTTCTTATGAAAATAACTGAATAAATGGTAATCTGACTTGCACATAGTACTTGTATCCTGTACTTACTGCAGTGAAAGAGATTTGTCCTTTCATAACACTTCACTCAACCGATCAATTCACAACTACTAAATTGCCATTCCAATTAAATCCATGGTAGAAATACACAGAAGTAAAAGATGGTAAAAAAAAATATCACAGTAACACAGGAGGTCGTCTCATCTTAATGGAACATGGCAGTGAAGCCCTTATACTGTGTTTAGTAAAATATAAAAAAAAATAGTTGTAAAATACCAGGACAAAGTTTAATGTTTTATATCAAGTTCTACCAGTAGTTACTCTCAGAGAGACTTAAAATCCCAACCAGGATGCATTTTCATGCAGCACTCCCCATTCACCATAATGAAATATTATGCAACATAGTTTTCAAATGCCTATTAACTATATATAAACAGAAAACAAATTATATTCAGTGCAGACGTCACATTCCAGTTACACGAAAAGCAAGGTTTTTCATTTTTAACAAAAAGCACGCATCCTTTGCATTTCATGTTTCCTGAAGAAACACTAATGTCTTCATGCTTTTTAAAAGCAATGCTATGAACAGTAGCTCTTGGATTAGCAATGTATTTGAAAATTTAGTTAGCTTATTAGTAACTACGTATAGAAGCACCAGTTTCTTGCTAAACAGAATAATGTTTTTAATCATAGAAGCATACTTTCCTAAGATGACCACTTTGAATTTATCCTTGTTAGCTATCTGTACTGCAAAGACAACACAGCTATGGGATAAAGGAGTGAAATTTCCCAACGATGCTCCAGTTGCAGAGCTTTTATTATTGATGTTGTCACCCACAAAAAAAAAACCCAGCATGACTCAGACTCCAGATTGTGCCACCAGCTGAAAAAAAAATAAAAACAGGCTGATTTCTTTCCTTTGTATACGCAGGAGGCAGACTGCACTGCGAGATAAGAGGGGAAAATCTGGCCCATTTTCTTTTTGTAAAGCAATTATGCTGGTCCAGATTCAAAGAGATTAAAGACCTCTATTCCACCCTTGTTTAGTTTAGTCCCAAAGAGCAAAGCTGCAGTTTGAAAGCCAAATGTGAGAAGGCACAGGTCCCCATCCTGCCAATCTGACGATTAAGAATTTTGCAATAAAACATAAATGCTAAGAAGTGAGGCTTAACAAAATGTGTGTGTGTACACACACACAGAGCATGCATGCTCCCTCTATACACAGCAAGCTTGCTGGGAGCAGAAGAAATCTAAGGAAAAGCACCGAACTGACTAAATGTTACACAACACTGATGCTTTTTGTGCCTGTTCAGAAGACTGACACACTTGTCAGCTATTAAGAAATAATCACTATTACGCAAATCAGAACCCTTTCTGGAGGGCAGGGAGTTGAAGAAGGAGGAAAGGATCACGGAATATTACATGTTAGCACTGATACACTGATCTTAGAGTGTGAGCACTTCAAGAGGAAATACCAGCACTTCAAAAGGAAAGAGAGGAAATATCATGACAACAATGCACTCCACACTAGGAACTAGGAACACCTAATAGTGACATTACTGCCTGCAAGCCAAAACACTTGTCATGATGCTTTTTGCTATCTAGGGACAAAAAAGTAAGAAAGGAGTAATGCTGCAGCAGTCAGGTGAAAGACAGTCTAAAAAATGAAAGGGAGGCTTCATTATTTGAAAAAAAACAAAGCCCAGGCAAAAATCACACATGAAAACAAACAAACAAACCACCAGTCTTATTTAGATATACATATAGTGACACAGAAAAAAAAAATCTGATTTTGAACTCAACACGGAAGCTATAACAGCAACAAGTAAGGAGAAAGAACATTCAGTGGAACCAGACACTGCATAGCAGGCAAACCACTCAAACCAGCAAGATTAGCAAAATCAAATGCAGTAATTTAGCATGATTGATGCTTACACTAAGCTGGGTCTTTTCTAATCCTACAGCATCCTTTAGTGATGAAAGGAAGAAATGGTTCGTAGGACTCTGGAGGCCATCTTCTCCCACAAGACAGAAAGTAATAACACAGCTTTTCCTGGTACAATTTCTGCATCTTTCCAGAACATCACTTATGGACTCCTTGTAGATGGGCACAGCACTTTGTGCTTTAACAATCACACCTTCTTTGGCAAGGGTACATACTGGCTCCAAAGAACCCCAGGTGTGCACAACGACCTATTGAAGCATATTGAGAGAGTACAAATATTAGAAGAAAAGCTACATCTATGAAAACAGTGCAGCATCCTAGGTTTCAGATTGCTCATTGCAACAGATGTTTTCCTGACAGCACCAGCTGATTTCCACCTAGCAAGAAACTCTACAAAGATTTAAACAATAGATATGGCATAATAATTAGATCATTCTAAAAACAGTTAGTCCATTTCAAACAGTCTGGAGCTGTTGTTGGTTTTGATCTGCAAGACTTTTTGTTTTCTCCAAGCTCCTCCAGAGGAGGGGATTGCCAATTTCTGCCAAGGGAGTGCTGGGAAATGGAATTAGTGAGTGACTAATTTGTTGACTCTCTTTCCTCCTCTCCTTGATTAAAAAAAGTCAAGCAAAGGATTTTCTTAAGATTGCTCAGTGTTATCTGATGTAACTCAACTGGGTAAGCTAGAGTTTCTGCATAATCACCATTAAACGGAAGCAAGCTGCATCACCTTAAAAGAGACTATGAAAGTTATATTAATACAGCAAAACACACTTCCAAACATCATGCACGCATTATGAACATACCTTTAAAAAAAGGCATAATTTGGAAGATAAACACATAATGAGAATTACATTTTATTTACAATTTATTTCATAAATTTTAGGTTATTTTTTACCTCAACAGGAGTCTGCAGTCAGAAATAGATCTTAACTCCTTTCAGAAGTTAAGTTCCAAATTTTTTTGAAGTGCAAAATACAGTATTCATCAGAACTACCCTACTGCCAATGATTTCCTGATGCTATCAGAAAATCTGAATTTAAGTCTGTTTATTTCTGGTCTGAGTTATTCTAACAATTTCAATAAGTGCAGTTCTAGTCCAAACTATCCAGAAATTGCAACCATTTTCTGTACCATATATTACTGTATATAAGCAACCTTATAAATCTCAAAATTCATGGAAATCCACCAGACAGACCAGTGAACCAGGACTTGACACACTCACCCTATTAGTTCCAAAATGACTAGTGAGTCATTCCAGATCTGGTTTTCCATCCTTACCAGAGTTTTTACATGGGACACACTTTATGCTAGGAGTTATATCTCATCGTGCAACATGGTCCCTAAATTCATTTGGGATCTGGTTGCCACATGATTAACAGCAACAAAATGTAACAAGTTGAAAAGGAAGACTGTGGTCTACAAGGCAACTCAGCAGCCCAAATACTTCCTAAAAAATCCTATCAGTTTCTACAGCATTATCAGAAAACAGTTTAAGGCATCAACTGAAAAATGATAACACTGCATAAGTGACCTTCCAATTAATGTTCTATCAGTATTTCAGAAAATAACCCAGTCCTTTTTCCCAAAGTGGTATAGTTTGAGTACCAATAAGCAGTGGTACAATCCCTTTTTCCTACCCCTGCTTAGTCAGTTAATCTAGTTCTAACACCCAGGAACAGTTTTGTTAAGTAGTGAGGTACCATTTTTCACACTTTGTTCTATTTAACCAACAATGCCTTTAAGATTTCAATAGAATAGTTAATTCCAGGCTTGTACCTACAGGTTGAAAGCAAAGCATTTAATTCCTTCTTCTGTGAAGCAGTACACACTACTATAATAAAAGACAGTGTTGCCCCTAAGAAGATTAAAGACTAGAGTTGCACCTCATTGTGTCTGAACATAGTTTGAAGCTTGTTAAGCAAAGATGTGCTCTTTCAGCTTCTCACATTTTTGCAGGAGGCACCACCACAAGGGTGGTGAGAGAGGTGTCACTTACCCTCAAAGTCAGCTTCTGGTCCCCATGAAGATCTGAGACACCGTAAATGTACAACACACCTTGGTCTTCATACGCCACAGGCAGCAGTGGTGCAAAGAAGTTCTGGGCAAAATAATGGAGCAGTTTCCACTTACCACCATACTCTGTAAAGGGTTAAAAGGAAGAAAGACTCAAACTGAACCCAAGATTGTCTTGGCACTCAATCTCTTCCTGTGCTTTCTGGTCCTGCTATGGCAATACAACATCCTCCTCTACCCTTTTGTACCTCTACCAAGTGCAAAGAATGACTGAAGGTACTCTAGCTTCCTTCCAGGCAAGGCTCTACTCTAAAGATTCGATGCTCCTTGAAGCTTTACTTTGAACTTCACCAAAAGGTCACATTTTCTACCTCTTGGTCCTATCATTGCTACACTGCCATTCAGCTAAATAAAGCCTTAAACACAAGTGACAAAACTGACACGGCATACCACACATTAAGCAAGCAGCAAGAGCATCTATGTTGTTGAGGATCCAGAAGAACACACTGGCATTGCCACAAGCTACCACTACTATAAAAAGAGACACCAGAATCTGACTTTTGGTGCTTATACAAAGTGCTTTCTTCCCCTTTTTCAGTCCCCCTCTTTCTTAGAGGAACATCAGTAGCAACAAAGATAAAAAACAAGTTCTCAAACCAAAGACAACTCTGAGCTTGGCAAAATGAATTTGCCAAGATCTAGAGACAACATTTACTTCATGAGAGCCATATGTATGTCCATGACAGACATATGCCAATCAGTTCGCATTGCCTCTTTAATGAGATGTACCTCATTACTTTTAATACTTTGAAAGCCTGCCATTAAACTGGAAAAGCCATCAAACATTGCGTCCTCTCCAAAAAAAGCAATTTTGCCAGATGCAACAGTGCCACATAATCATTTTGGAAGAAAAGCTGCTTCCATTTCTTCCTCTATTAACCTTCCATCTAGCACCCACCGTCAGCATTTTAAGTCTGTCGTTGCTCAGTCATTATCCAGTCATTGAAACAGCACTAAAAGGAAGTAGCAAGTCAGCTGCAGCATCTCATAAGGAAAGAAAAGTTAGATACTGATTTCATTCTTGTTGTTGGCTCTTTGTTTTATGCAACAGGTTTAAAGTCCATGGATGCTGAAAAATATTTTCCGTAATATGTTTTTCTCGTAACTAATTGCCTCTCTGTTTTGGTGCCTGTACAAAGCTCTTAGCATTTTCAAACATCTCTTAAGTAAAGACTTCATTCAGAGTGATGTATCCTTTAAAGGCTGTGTTTGTGACTTTCCCAGGCTGAATACACTCTGCCTGCACTCCACATAGACACAAATGAACTTTGAGGAGAGTAAAGTGCATTAGCTCCAGCTTATCACCTTACACATCACCTTGTTCTCAGCAAGTTCACAACAAGTTAGCTTGGAGAATGGAAAAGCAAAGCTCGAATCTGCTTGGAAAACCCATACAAGATTCAACTGTGCTGTGAGATCAGTCTGTTGCCAGAAAAAACACCATTCAAATTAATAGTACTGAAACAAACCAAAGAGGTAAGTCTAAACGAAAACTTCAGGAGAGGCTGCTGAGCTTCTTCAAAAAGACAGTTGACAAACTGATGAATATACTCAGTATATTGGTGCTGCTCAGTATATAGAACTGTAGAACCATTTATGTTGCAAAAGACCTCTAAGATCATCAAGTTAACTGTTCACCTGCTAAGTGCACCTCTAAAGCACGTCCCTAAGTGCCACATCTATACAACTTGTAAAGACTTTCAGGGATGGTGACTCCACCACTTCGCTGGGCAACACTGACAACCCTTTCAGTGAAGAAATTTTTCCTAAGATCCAATTTAAACTTGCCCTGGCACAATTTGAGGCTATTTCCTATTGTCCTGTCACTTGTTGCTTTTGAGAAATGGCCTACCCCCACCTGGCTACAACCTCATTTCAAGTAATTGCAGAGAGTGATAAGGTCACCCCTGAGCCTCCTTTCCTCCAGACTGAACAATCCCAGCTCCCTCATCTGCTCCTCAGACTTGTGCTCCAGAGCCTTCACCAGCTCTGTTGTCCTTCTCTGGAGACTCGCTCCAGCTCTTCAATGTCTTTCTTGTAGCGAGAGGTCCAGAACTGAACACAGAATTCAAAGTGCAGCCTCACCAGTGCTGAGTAGAGAGAGGAAATCACTGCCCTGGTCCTGCTGGCCGCACTACTTCTGATACAGGCCAGGAAGCCATTGGCCTTCTTGGCCACCTGGGCACACTACTGGCTCATGTTTAGTCTGAAGTTGACCAGCACACCCAGGTCTTTTCCTCCAGGCAGCTTTCCAGCCATTCTACCCCCAGCCTGTAGCTCTGCATGGGGTGGCTGTGGCCCAAGTGCAGGACTTGGCACTTCACCCTGTTGAATCTCATACAACTGGCCTCGGCACATCAATCTAGTCTGTCCACATCCCTCTGGAGAGCCTTCCTACCACTGCCACCCAACTCGGTGTTTGCAAACTGACTGAGGGTGCACTAAATCCCCTTGTTCAGATCAATGATAAAGGTATTAAAAACAGGGCTGGCCCCAATACTGATCCCTGGGGAAGCCTGCTAGTGACCGGCCGCCAGCTGGATATAACTCCATTCACCACCACTCTCTGGGCCCAGCCATCCAGCCAGTTTGCTTTTGCAGTGAACAGTGCACCCATCCATACCACAAGCAGCCTTTTTCTCCAGGAAAATGCTGTGGGAAATGGGTGTTAAAGTCTAGATGACAACATCCACAGCCTTTCCTTCATCCACCAAATCGGGTCACCTTGTCATAGAAGAAGATCAAGTTGGTCAAGCAGGACCTGCCTTTCATAAACCTGTGCTGGTTGGGCCTGATCCCCCAGTGATAAGAAGGAAGCATGTTCTAGCATTCCAAGGACAATTCCTGACTGAAAACATTGGTGGTTTAAAGGACAAATCCACCAATAACAGGGAGTGCTAACAAATTACTCTTTAGGGTCATGACACTTGAGAAGATGAGAGATTTGGACTGGGGATGGATTATCTGAAAGAGAGTAAACTGCAGGGCAGTACCTGATCTAACAAATAAAAGCAATGGGCCTTGTATAAGAAATGGGCTGGGACAGTTTGTGAGGGGTTGAAATCTCTAAAACTCTCAGGACTGCTACAGGACTCTCAGGAATTTCAATTGTCAGTGCAACAGACCCCCAAAAGCCCACCAGAGTTCAGACAAATTACCCAGCATGGGCTGTGGTTTCAGTGCCCATTGACTTGAATTTTTTTCCTAAGTTTCATTTACATGACGAAAATCTAGGCTTCAAGTGTCTTAAATACGTACATCAATAATGCAATTGATGTAGGGCAGTTTTTGTTACTTAGTGTAATATAAAATCATGTTTCTCTTTGATTTGGGCCCTTCTCTCAATCTCTGCTGTGCCTTGATTTCCAAATGGATTACACAGTTGGAACCACACTGCAGTGGTTACTGGAGGGAAAGAGAGAAAGTTTGCTATCTGGGTAGCAAATACAGGGACCCTCAAGAAACCTGTACAGAGGAGGAAAAAACTCAGAATAAATTTGGCATTACACTTCCACAGGGAAACAAAAACAATAGAAACCCCAACCAACATACAAAACCAAACAAACCACACACTTAAAAGTTTGTACCATTTCAAAAAACCATTCTACTACCACTACACCTATTGTTTTGGAATGTTTGAAAACATCAACAGTCTGCTTACCTCAGATCAGCTTTTTAAGATTGGTATTTCCCTTTCCAAAAAACCTAGAGCCATTCTAAAGAACCAAAGCTCAACAGCTGTAGCAGTTTCACATACAAAGTGCCTTTCAAAGAAAACTTTTCCAGCAACAGGATCTTGGTAATACAATTGTCAAAGTAACTTCAGGCAGCATAGAAAACTGAAGCTCGCTGATTAAAAACCCCCACATTCTTCAGCTCATCTGTTGTCTTGATTTCCGTAAGACCAGAGCCACATTTCTTTATTTAAAAACAGGCAAGTTGCATATAAATACCTTCACATCTCCCCCCCCCCAAAAAAATGGATGTAAGAAATCTGAAGATCAGTAGCTATCGTGAAAAATCTCTGGGCTTAAACTTTCCTGTTACAGATATGCGTGCCCAAAGGCAAGAGTCAAAAGTTATTTAAAACAGCCCTGGGGTGGTTTTCTCCTCCTCCTCCCACATTTAAATAAATTCTTAAAGAAATCCAAGTTCCCCATTTTTTTTCTGATAACATGGGGTGGGCACTCTCTGTGGTATCAAACTTCAGAACAGGAAACTAAAATTAGGTCTGTAATGAGACCCCAGTACCCTTTTTTCTGGCTCTTCCCTGAAGCTTCTACACTGATAGCAGGAGTGAAAACAAACAGTTCTCCCTGAAATGATTTTAAATTAATCACTTCACACCATTAAATGCAACCCGAGAAACATGCTGCTAGTTCTTTCCTCACTCCAGTCTCATGAATTCAGATCAATTATTCTCCATAATAGTCTGTACCAGGGCTCACCAGGGGCTCTAAATATTGAACCTGCAATAAAAGCCAGTTATCTGTTCAAGGGAACCTTGTGACAACTGAGTTGGGTACCTCAAGGTTACACCTGTGTGGGAGAGAGATAAATTGCCATGTGTATTACAGCACTCTTCACCAAAGCATACAGCATAGATGCTAAAGCATTCAACATGCACAACCAGCTCCACAACTAAGAGCTAACAGTCAAAACCCAGTTGTGATAAAGCTGTCTAGTTCTGAGCTGAAGGCAGAAGTACTATGACAGGAATGCAGTGCTGTGTTTTCATTCAATCCCAAGCAAACATCTTAAAGATAAAAATTAAAAGGATAAACATTTGCTACCTTCTTCCTTCCCCATTTCATGAGGAAACATTTTTGCTTTGTAGGGGAAATTATGTAAGCCCCTCCATGGCTCTCTTCGAAATACCAGATTCAAATAAAAGCGCTCATTGGTGATACTACTGTGCCATCTAACAAGATGCAGAAACGTGTTTTTGAAGTGCAAATAAAACTAATTTCTCTGAAGTTTTGCATAATTCCAGCCATTAGCATTTCAAAATCCCTCTACCACACTGCCTAATTAAATGAATATTAAACCTTTCCTCATTCCACTGAGGGAATAGAACAAAACAAAGGGACAGCTGTATCTCTGCTGAGCTTCTTTTCTCTAAACCAACTTCAGCAACACATGAATAATTCAAGTATTTGATATATTTTCTACAGTGATGTCAGCTCTGTACTTAAAAAGACATTTATGGTATCCACGATCTCTTCATGTATCAATACACCTGTCTTTACAAAGAGACATTTTTCCAAGCATCTTTTTCTCTTGAGGTACTTAAAGCCTAAGAGCATCACCCATTGCTAGAATCATAAAAATGAACATTGGGATATTGTATTTCCTAACACAAGTCTAGAAAGTCCCAAAAGATGAGCATTATAGCTAGACCATTGCCTTAACATTGAAATAAATTAGCCTGTTTCTTCCACTAATTTGTTTTCCTTTGTTGTTGCACTTACTTACTTTGGATGAATAAATGAAAAAAAAAAAAAAAAAAAAGAAGAACAAAAAGAGAGGGGGACAAACATCTCCCAGAGAAAGAGGGGAAGGATGGGGTGGGCTAATTTTTTTTTCAAAGGAAGAGAAAGTGGTATTTTGTTCGAAGGACAGATCAAGAGCTTCACACTCTTAGCTTTTTCTAGTTCACTCTTATTTCTTCACATTCATGAAATGCTTAAATCAAGATTTTCAAAACCAGAATATTTAAGAAATAACTAAAACTGAAAGAGAATATACCCAATAGAATAGCTGCCATAGAACAGTTCTCCCTTACAAAATGACTTGTAGCCAAAATGGAACATGAAACGCAGCCACTTCCCTCATACCACACATTCCTCATTCCTCCCCTATTTCTTACTGCCTGAGTGATTTCTCTCTTTAATATGTCTGATTACCCCGTTTTTGTGTTCTAAAAAGAAAAAAAAAATATATAATATACAAGGAGATACCATGTCTGTAAATAGCACATCAGCAGAATAATTTCATCACAAAGAATGATTCACCTCATCTGACATCACATTAGACACCAAATCCCAGCTAGTCTTTTCCTATAAAGAGCTTCTCAGAACCTATGCTGGGTGAGAGGTTTCATATGAAAGTTCTATGAAAATCACATTCAGCACGGAGAAGATAATTCCTCCCAGTTATCGGACAGCTAAGGACACAATGAATCACGTATGGAGATAACCACCTCTCCCTCAACTGACTTAAAGAAGAAATCTAGAGGCCCAGCCTTTACACTGTAAATCCCATCCTGCTCAGAACAGGATCACAGTTCTGTTGGTGTTTTGACAGTGCACTATGGTCAACTCAAGGGAGAGGTTTTGATCATTTTACCATTGGGGGTAGAGAGGACAAAATCAACCAAATTTGTTGAGATTATAGAAAGTAAAATTATACATGGGTGTTTCTTCTTACTCTCCTACCCAACTACCTCCCTCTCTGTCCATTTTCACCCAGGGTGGCTGGGTGCATAAATGTATCTGTACAGCTGAGACAATAAATATGATCAGGGATTTCCCCTTTGAAAATAGAATTTATTAGAAGTCCTCAAATTTTAAATAACTGATTTTTCTAATTTTAAAATAATTAAGCTTGCAAAAAACGTAAAGATTTTTTTTTTCTGGAAAAACCTGGAAGATATATTACATGCAGCTGGGAGGATCCACCTCTACGTAACAAAAGGAAGGGTAGTTGGAAGTTCACAAGGGGATTGTGTCCTCAATCTTAACCATCACTCCTTCCTAATAGGCAGCTTTGTCTGGCTTCAGCGATATTATTTCCTTGGGAGAAATGAGAATACTGCTTAAACAAAAAAATATGTTTTTTTAAGAAATTAAGAGTTACATACAATTTTAACTTCTCCAAACTAAACCCTGCTCAAACAAGGGTAAGAACTGGTGACTGCTAAGTTTGAACTTAAGCTGCAAAACTTCCATAGGAAAATAATTGCTTTGTTCTATACCCTCTTCCACTTTAACAGACTCTTAGGATGATCCTGAAAAAACACTTTTCTGGAAGCATTTCTAAAGGATGGACAGAAATATGTTCAGGGTTTGTAAAGTTGCCCAAGAGACAGAGCAGAGCCATACTTCTTATTCTGACATGTCCAGATGAGGAAAACAAAACAAGACTGGTACTTGGTGCTTTTCAGCAGACTGTCACAAAAACTTACCCAAGGAAGCCCATGAAGGTGCCTGCCAAATGTCATTGAGTTGCCAGTACAGAGCTCCCATTGTGTGTCCTTCTCCCCTGATTATTTCACTTTGACTAGCACGATAGAATTCAGTTTCTGTCTTTGTACACTGAGCCTGCATCACCTTGATCAACAAACACATAAAAAAATATTTTTGGTATATTGTATTCTACTTTCTTTCAAAATGTGTGAATATATTAACATACAACACAGACTTCACAGCAGTAGCATATAACTTTAAACTCCCAAGAGCTGCCAAATGTCATTATGCTGCACTACCTCCAGTACACGTTCCCTTGATGTCTAAACCCCTATGAACTGAACTCACAACACACATTCACACTATAAAGCCAAAACTCTGCACCAAAAGGGCAGCCTTTCTCCATCTGAACTCCCATTTCTTTTCTCCTTCCTCACCTCATCTAAAAAACACTTTTCAGAATTGTTCATTGGCCAAGTTGTCAACAGATGCTAAACAGCCTGTTATGTTCTTCACAAAGCACATTACTAGGCTGGGGAAGTATTGAAAGAAATTCTTAAAATAAAGTTAAAAATATTTAGGACAGCTCAAAAGCTAAAGATATCCACTTGAGCCAAGTTACTGTCTTTACCCTTTTTGCTAGCTTTATTTTGGTATTCTTCAATGGTTTCATCTGTTAGGAAGGCCCTGACAGACTTAACCCTGGAGAAACTCTCATAGCTTTTTGAGTCTGGACCCCACCGTGCAAGTTTTACCCCTGTTTTCAGTTTCACAGCATCATCTATCCTTGTTCTCTTGTCAAGAGTGCCTAAAATTCTCAAGCTGTTTTGTTTTTATATAAAACTTGCTGACAGCACTCTCAAACATTAAAAACGTAGTGTGCAGTTATTTCCATCAAGAGTGTTTCTGAATTTCCTGAAACACAACAAAAATTAACAGCACTTTAAACTTGCCTAATAGCATCAAAAAGTTACTTAACATTTTTTAAAACTTGCACAGGAATCACAAATAAAAAAGCAAGCATGAGGTAAAACTACTATGGATGAAGAACAAAATATAAGCTCCTGATTTGAAAAAAAGCCCAAATTATATTCTCTATAAAATCATTATCTGAGCATGTAACAAAATAAAAGCTACTAATAATCTAATTCATAAAGAACTACATTCCCTAGAAAAAAAATCTTGTTTCGAAAGCATGTGTGTTCCATGTGGCAAAAATCAAAGCAATAAGCCTACAAGGGCCACATGAAGAGCAAAACACACCCACCCTGGAACAGGAAGTAACATGTAGCACTGGGAATAATCTCATATAATGGAAGCCCAGCACATCCCTGCATCTTCCACCAGCTTCATGAGTGAGCCCAGCTGGGGACAGGGACCAAGGCAGCACACACTGCCAGACTTTATCCCAGTTGAGCCAGTTCCTGGGGAATTCCCTGAGAAGTATTCCAACCCTTCTATGATAAAAAGAGGAGTCTCTCTCCAATACACGAGAAAGAAGCTATTTCCAAATTAAAACGGACTCTCAAATGCTTCAGTACAGAAACTTTCTGTATGACTGAGCATTACCTAACAGAACAGGCCAAGCTCTAACTGCTGACAGAATCTAATGAACGAGTACTGGCAGCTACCTACACAGAAGATGTGACTGTTACCTGAGTGAGGTAAATTGTATCTTTGAACCTCTTTACAGGATCTGTGCCCTGCGGAAGCTTGAAATGATACCCAACTTCTTGAAGCATCTGAACATTGCCACTGTCGTGATGTTGCCGATGGAGAGAAAAATTGCTTACATAGGACCGGTCTTCAGCAGAAGAAACCTTTTAAAAAACACAAAAGTAAGGTATCAGAATGAAAAGGTAAAATGTACATTTAATGACTGTCAGGATATCAAGGAAAGGATACCTGTTACAGCCTGCTGATCATGCAAAACCTTAAAATTGGTAGTAGATTTCTACAGTGCCTCATGCAGTCATGCAAGGATTTTGAATCAGTAACACCCTTTGCTTAACACTCCTTGTACAAACAGATGAAAACAGACAATACTGTTGCAGCCAGCGGCTTTTGGCTCAATGGCATTTAACTTATTTGTCCTAAGGTTCGGTTTGGCCAAGGGATCTCAGAGTTTTGCTTGCACTTACAGTAAATCAGAAACACCCTACGCTAACATGGAAGAACGCACCCTAGTCAAGCACATTTACACAAAAAAGTTACAGAAGTCAGTAGGGCTATAAATTCTAATAACGTGTATATATATTTTCAAAACCTGCCTCTGAAAACGTATGATCATAAACCAGCTTTTTTCAGCTAAGGACAACAATGCTGCATAATTCATACAGTTATTACTGCCAAACTTTCATTGTAATTATAATTTCTATAGAATCTTTTTATTTAAATTTGTTCCTTTTTAGACTGGATTGAATAATTGTCACTGTTATTAATATGGATGAATGTTCTGATTATGCTTCAGACAATATATTTTGCCCAGTAAATTTAAAAGAACATTCTGAACTCCTTTTGGTTGCATGCATGAGCATCAACATGAAACTCATCTCTCCCTAGATAAATGGACAAACAGCACAATATGTCTCTTCTCCAATTGGATAAATAAGATAGAACATAAAATATCTAAATTCAGCAGGAGACATAAACAAATCCTCTTATGTGCGATACACCAAGAAGTGAATTATTTACGTGAAAGAAATTGCTAAAATTTACAAAAATCAAAACATTTTAAAATCCACCACAATTCAGCTTTTGTCATATTTCTTCTCTTTCTTAATGAACACATGTCCTTAGACACTACAAGAGGAAACAGATGTTAGGCAATCATTACTAAGCTATACATTAAGTAGAATTACTATTAAAACTAACAGTCTCATAATAGTCTCTTGCCTAAACTAGGTTCCCCTTGCAACATCAAGAATACTGAGGAGGAAACAGTACAGTTTCATCCCCTCCCTCCACACCATCACACACCTCTATCCCACCTGTGCCATACTACACCTAATAATACATTATCCAAACTACAGTTTGGATGCCGTAATTTGTTGGAAAGAGACTCGTTGCCCTCACTGAATGAGAGTGGAGGAGTCAGTAAGGTGTGGAAGCCCAGTCTTACCTTTTCGATTGTACTGAAGGAAGGCCAGGATTGAAATCCATATTCTGAAGCAAAACGAGTTTTAGGATACATTGTCCAGTTCCAGCAGTCATTGGTGTAGTCATAAAAGTGAGTGTCACCATAATGGGTATCATAAGGATTCTGGGAGACCCAACCTTCTTTAACTGACTCCAAGCCATTGGTGGGACTGGATGCAATAAAAGGACGACTCCTATCTTCCTGGAATTTAAAAAAACAAAACAAAACAAAACCACAACACCCTCACAGAGTGATTGGCTTTTATCATCTATATACATGGACCATATTTTGAAAAGGTGGGGCAGGGAAAACATGCCTTTTCCAAATTTTTGAGTCACCACCTAGGAAACACTCCCTTTTATGTCCTAGCATTCATCATCTTTACTTGCTTAATTAGCTTCTTACTTATGTTATTGGAGGACAGCTGGGCATGATATTGCTTGCTCCACTGTTCTGAGGGATTCTCTCCTCACATCAAGAGATTTTCTATCTTTATATGCTTCTAAATTCTTAATGAAGGCTATTTAAAGTGTGCTTTGTGACTTCTTCAGGGAAAATTATTACTTTTGCAGTGTTTTTGCAGGAACAAGGCCATGATTTTCTCCTTTCTCATTAAACAGTCACCTAAATCTAGTCCTAACAAATCCAAGGTCTTCTGCTTCTAATGCTTAGATGGTATCATTACAGGTTATTGTCATTTTACCTGGCTCTGCATGTTAAGATAGATGAGACTACAAGAAGGGTTACATTTCAAATTGTTCAGATCCGCCTTTATTTATAGCCTCAGTAGACTTACAATACTAAATCTTTTAACAGTACCCTACAAAGTACTGAAGGAATCCTTTTACAGGTCTAATTCATTTAGCACCCTACCTGCAGTAAGATAGAGGCCTGAGTTGGTTACCAGTCACAAGTTACAGCAATTGGCTCCAACACAGCAACACACTCAGACATGTGCTTCATATTTTAAGAAATATTTCTGTTCCCCCACACTTTTTTTTTTTAAATGAGTAATTAATAATTAACTGTAACAAGTTACTACAGGATATCCTGAAATCCCTGAAGTCTTTAGCTCAAGGTTAGCAGTCTTCTTAAACTATACAGTCCAGTATTGCTAGTAATTACAGGTTTCCTCAGCTGGCTTGTATTATAGAGGACCCGAAGTTATTTCACTGTATGGTTCCTTCTGGCACTGAAAATAGTTATTCTATGGATTTAAAATAAAAGAGGGTCCATATGGGATGGCAATGCTGCACGAGTAAACTGTAACTAAAACCCAGTATCAAGTCAGAACACCTCACTTTGCTGCACATGCATTGGCCATCTAACTCATGTAGCTAATCACAGAAACAGCACAGCATACCTCTACAAATAGCTCAGTATAGAAATCTAGAATCAACACATTAAGCAGGAATATAAGACACTATTACCATTTAGAATGAAAAACTGCCCTCAAAGCAGGATCCTTTTCAGCAGGTTCTTTCAAACCTGGTTTCATTTTTGTTGCTTCCTCGAATCTTTTCCTGTAGAAAGATGTTCTAAATTCTCAGAGTACAACTACACTGACAATGCCAGTAGCCTCCAATAACAAGCAATAATACTGCTGTCACTGAGTGTCTGTCTTAGCAAAGGGAAATGTCAGGTCACGAGCCTTATAATATTAAATGCATCTCATCATGAATAGGACAGAAATTAGACTAAAATTATCATACCCTGCAGTCAGTAAGATCATACTATACATGGGATAAGTAGGTAGGAAAAGGCCACTAGCATTTTTAGGTAAATAAAAACTCATACTCTTGTTGAAGCAGAAAGTTCTAACTGGACAAAATTCTCAGAGCATTTTGTCTCTTAGCTAACAGGAAAATTTACAATTCCCTACGGTTCAAGAATGGTTTGTCAATCCCTATACAATTATGTGACATTGATTTGGGACTTTTCAATCAATTTCACTCTACATACACACAAAAGAGTTAGGTAAAAGTAGATTCCATTAACTAATAAAGAACTGCAATACTTCTAGGAGGAGAAATAAAACTAGAAAAGCTGTGCAAAATGGGTAGTACCAAACTGCAGTAGACTTTACAGATTCCACGTGTTTGTGGAATGCATGCTCACAGTTTTAGTTCTACCTCAAAGTATTTTCTTTTGCCTTCATGTACTGTAGAATACCACTATTCTGTTCTTTCAAAAACACTCAATATAATGAGGACATCAGCATGAGGACAATGTTTAGCATCACTTTTGCTTAACCTGCTTAAGCCAAAAAACTTCAGTCAAATACTGGAAGAGCACACTGAAAAAATGACATCTTTATGGATTTCTTCAACCGCTATTAAAAGACCAGAGATTGTTGTTAGATGCTTCTTACAGTATCCTTCAACAAAATCAGCAAAAAGGAAACCTGATCATCTAGATTAATTAATTAATGGGCAAGTTGATTTGTGTCCACTGGCAGTGAAGGCATTTGTGGACGTATTACAAATCAGAAGGAAAAAAGAAGCAAGATCCACTACATTTTCAGGTCTTCCTTTACATATCACAAAATGCTAAAGGCATAAGTAATTTTTTGGATTGTTTTACTCTGAGAATAACCCTTAAGTTTAGAGAGCTGTTTAGAAGAGCTTGGAAAAAAAAATTTCTCAGTAATGTGCTGGGTTTAATTTCTTAAAAGGAGTAAAAAAGAAAATCCCAACTTAAAATCACTTGCCAAGGCATATTCCCCTACAGTTTCTTGAGATCACTTACATTAAGAACTATCTCTCGTATGTTCTTCACATAAAGCATCAGGTAGTCTCTGATATATCTCTCTCTTTCGGCACGAGGTATGGAGAACCAGTTGCTTGAAATTGCTGCTTCATTTTCATTGTTACCACTCCATAGAATAATTGATGGATGAGATTTTAAACGTCGCACCTGAAATACAATTTACAGTTTCAAGAGTCAAGCAAAATTACTTATCTTAAATTTTTTTTTTTTTTTAAAAATCACTTTGTTACTACTTGAATTATAAGTTCACATGCATATTATATATACTTAGCCTACAATTCCCATTTTTAGCTGCACTGTTCACTATTCCCTCAGCTTGCCACTAGGCTCAAACTTTTGTAACATACACTTTCAGAAAGGCAAACTTCTAACATGCTGACATGTATCTACCATATGCACATGTGTACCTCCATCCTCATCTACTTACTGTCTACATGTGAAGGGTAAATTCTGTGCAGTCTGCTTGACTGACTGACTGCTCCTGCAAGTAGTAGATTTACCACAGTTATGTTTTATGTATATACTGCTACATAAAGGTACACTAATAAACACTTCAAAAAAAACACTTCTGAAAAGCTAATTTATACAGTTGGTCAATCAAAAATAGATAATGGGAAATAGAACTTTGACACGTGGACAAAATACCTGATGAAGAACTTCTGCTCTTACAGATGCTAAATAATTCTGGTCAGTTGGATAAAGCGCACAGGCAAACATAAAATCCTGCCAAATCTACAGGGAAAAGAACAGATTAAAAAAAATCCATTAGCAAATTATTTTATATAATTGAAAAATATACGCTTATTGGGATGCACAATCCCATTCAGACAGAAGTTATTTATTTTAAAATATTAAACTTAAATGTTTTATTGTTATTCTTGGAAAGCACCACCAAGACAGTCATGTCCTCCCTGAGGTTCAGTATGTGCACACTCCACTGTGGTTGTCCTCAGTATCAGAGGAATCAGATCCTGACAGCCTACGCTGAGGAGTGCAATACTGCTCAGCAGTATTACTACTTTGCAGGTGTAACACCAAATCCCCATTACTTAATGAGAAGAGACAGTAATTCTTCCAGCGTGGTATCGAGCACACTCAATCGATGTCAAAGTGTACTCATTAAGAAAACACTTCCACACAAAATGATCCCAAAAAATAGCAAATCTTACACAATAAGAGGGGCAGAAACAAACTAGATCCTCTAAAAACACAGTGATTTTTCTCTTCAAAGAACAATCAAGTAGATATCATTGAGAACAACAAGCCTTTCAATTCAACAATAAACTCCATTTGTACCTTGAAGGACAAGAATTACAAAAAAAGGGGAAGGAAAGAAGCCCAATGAGATGGTTAAGATTTTTTTGTTTACCTGTTCTGTTTATTAAACTGCTGTAAATTTGAGACTCCTGCTAGTCTATCTCAAATGTTAATGGAAAGGCTTCTACAAGGAGCACATTAACCCAAAGGAGTCTGTAGGAGACTACACTTTTCTGAACACCATACTATACAGAGAGAGACAGACCAGTTCCTCATGTAATTGCATTTTGATTGCAGTGAGAACATGCTTTTCCATGGCTCTTTTCAGCATACATTCCCTAAAAAACCTGAAGATAGGGCACAAGACAGTGGGGGGTAATGGATCTATTAGTAACTGTTAAAATCCTAACACTGTACACAAAAGCAAAGCTATTGCCGAAGAGTCACTCATAATCCTTTAGTGACTGACTGTGTGGAGTCAAAACTCTCTATTGAAAGAAACTTTCTCTCACTATTTCCCTCAGTGAGCTATCACTGGTTTTCCTTAAGCACAGTTTGACACCAAGGCACTTTAAAGCCTTTGCAAGACCATCAGAAGAAACAAAACCAAAAACCTCCATCACCACCCCCTCCAGAATAAGGATCTGATTTTCTGCATCTACTTGCTATTTTGGCTGTTAAATAGGATCTAAATCTTGTATTGAACACTGTATAAGCACAGATCTAAGTGGCCTACTTAAGGTGCCTAGTGTAAAAAATGAAAGAACCGTAAGTCCTCAGAAGCCTTGAAAATCAGGACACTCATTCAGATGACTAAAATAGATGTAACTTTTTTTTTCCCCAAGCACGTATGGAAGGCAGCAAAGTATGAGTTCTGTTTCCCTGCTTTTTATGCTGCAGAGCAACACCAAACACATTTGCCAGGATTTTTAATAACAGATGCAATTTGGTCTTCATTCATCTAGTTGCTATTTCATCAAAACTTATTAATACGTGTCTCCAAGCTCATATAATTGAAGGTACTCGTCTAGTGATTGCAATAGGTGTTCCCCTTACTGCTACATTTATAGTCAAATGTAGCTTGTTCAAAATGGCCGTCTGGATGAAGCCTTCCATGTTTGACTCTGGGACAAATGAAAAGTTTGAACCAAAAAAACCCACACCTTTTCAGCAATTGCTATAAAGGAAAAAATAGTTTTAAATCCATTTCCACAACTGAGAAAAGCATGGCTAACTTCTACAGACTTCTGTAAAGTCTCCAAAATATCACTTCTAGATTCAACAGACAGCCTTTTTAATCAGAAACCATTCAAATTAAAAAGAAATTAAAAAACCCAACCAGTCAACCAAACAAAAAAACAGGTTGATCTAACTTCTCGGGTTGATACTTTACAATATCCTTTGGAAAGATGGTTAGAATGCATGTATTAATTCTCTTATTTTTGTTCATTTAAAATGAATTTTCATTTGCAAGTTCTTCTCAGTTTTTAAATAAGTGTTCTGCATTTATTGCTTTTACCATTATTCCTATTTCATCACAAATATCGTAAAATTCATCTTGTTCATATACTCCTCCTCCCCAAACCCGAAGTGCATTCATGTTAGCATCTGCTGCAGACTTCAAGAGTAGCCTTAATCTGTAAAATACAAGTTTTGTGAAACTGTATCACTTAGGAGTTGCTAAGGTTATACAAACAAACAAAGAAACAAATACCCCTACCAAAACAACAAACAAAAAGGCCAAACAAAATCACAAAACCTAAATCATTAGCAGGCAAACTAAGACTTATAACTGACAGAAATTATCAAAATACTCTGGTTTCTAAGCCTGCATGCCTTGACAGAGCTCTCAAAAAGTAATTTTTTGTGCAGAAAAAGTTGCTTGTTCCTGTTAATACTTACGGAATAGATGGAGTGACACATGTGAGAAAGTGCTTTTACAGAAGTTTTGGCATGACTAGATTTAGAAATACTCTATTTTATTAATCATATTGTTCATTTTCTTCTTAGATATTACTTGCTTTGTATGTCAATCACTTGAATTCATGTTCTCTTTTAAACACAATCAGAAACGTATATTCTCTTTGTGAGTTCCACAATGCATAGTGAGAACAGTGGAATGAGAAGGTGAGGAGAAAGACTGAGACCCTGAATCTCATTTTAAGGGTTTCAGGCTCCAGACATTTGTCCTTAAATCATACTGGCAGCCTCTGAATTGCATATGAATGCACACTGCAGCACGCTCTGTTGTCCTGATTCCCCAACTACCCAGAGCAAAGCTTAGTCAAAGTACAGTATAGTCTCCATAAAAATACCCAAAAGGCCAGTAACCTATGAACTACAAAAAAATCACCTTCCCATCAGTAATCTCACTTACATGCCTTGACACTCCAATCTATTCATGTTAATAAAGCCCTAATTCTGAAGCCTCCAACCCCCAATAATTAGTGTACTACCCTGAAAGCAGTTCCACCCACTAAAGCCAACCTTTCATAAAGGGTGTATAGAGAATCAGGAGGAGGAAAACATGATCCTTTATCCTTAGAGAACATCAAATGTGGCTTACGTGTCATAGGTCACCCTGTCCTGGAAAGAATCTGCAGGAATCCAGTTCGAGCCCTTCAGAAAAATGGGTCGGCCATTGATTCTGAAGTAGAAACTCAGACCTGGTGAGCCGGGAATAGGCTCCTGAACAAGTTCTACTGTCCGAAAATAAGCCTGTGAAGACACGAAACTTAGATTTAAAGCTGACAAAAATGAATTAAAACAAAATTAATACAGAAAACCATTACAAAAAGAATTGAACTGAACACTAACAGCATAGAATTTGTCAAGGAGTCAAAAGACATGGTCTTATCTCTAAACTCCTACTTGCTTAAAACACACTGTAGCAGGACTGAAAAATAATTCTTCCAATAAACCTGTTCACTTTTTAAAGCTACTATCATATTTAAAAGAGAGAAAGCATGAGCAAATGACTGTGCATATGCACACATATATGTAAGCAAGAGACAGATGCAGGTTTGCTTGCTGCAGAATTCAGTTAAAATTCCAGCTGATGACCAGTGGGAGGAATACAGTGGTTGCACTAGATCAGAGACACCATTTAATCTGCAATATGCTCCTCACAGAAGGATGATCCAGCAGCTCAGTTGTAAGTCCTGCCCCTAAATGCCTATCTTCAGGTTCACCTAGTAAAAGCAAAATCTTACTCTTTTACTGCCCTGAAATGATACCTTTTTAATAGGTGTAGCAATTAAAAAGATATGCATGCAAATGCAATCGCAGTTCCCAAGTGAAGGGCCCTCTGGCCTTCACAGCTGCTTTTGAACAGCAAGGTCAGCAATATGGTTTCAAAGAGACCTGTTCAGCTAAATAACCACTAACTTCGTGTAAGGTATTAAAGACCATTCCAGATAAAAGCACATCTCAAGCAGAAGCCAAACTTTTACAGCTGCTCCTTCAGCCTAATATATGACACTGTGTACTGTAGATGCTGAAACAAGAACACATTCCTTCTTCCCGTTGCAGGTGGAATAAAAGTTCTTAGGAAATCATTCCATATTTTTTCTGGGACTTTACTTCAGTCAAAGCTACAATGCTGCTCTAAGGGGTATCCTGATTGCACTGACATAAACAGTCAATTCTACAGTCATGAGAGAGCACTTGGTTCACTGCAATAGTACTTTGCTCTGTCCTCTTATTTGTACAGGTGTCTTCCCCATCTGCCATGGATCAGATGAAGAGCAGCTGCCATGCTTGCTTCTGTGCACCTGCAAAGTGTTACAGAAAATATCTTGTTCAGGGAGGCTTGAAATTTCTTTTTTTCCTGCATCCTTGTTCCAGTTCAACTTACCCAAGCCAGAAAGAAAACTCTTTTTCTTCGTTGTACCTGTTGCTCTTTTGGGACAAATTCAAAGTTTGAACCAAAAAAACCCAAACCTTTTCAGCAATTGCTATAAAGGAAAAAATAGTTTTAAAAGAAATAAAATCCATTTCCACAACTGAGAAAAGCCTCCTATTAGGGAGATAACTGGGAAATTAAATAAAGTAAATAAAGTGGAGGAAAGCCAATAGCGAATTTCAGCCAACTCACACCAAGAAACAGGTTTGGGTCAGGAAGGCAAGAACCTCATTTTTTCTAGACTACCCCTAAGATAGCAACCACTCCTCCCTCAGATGACTATTTGCTTTACCTTTTCAAAAGGTCAGCTAGTAAAGTACAGCCTGTTCCCTCTCTGCCACAAGCTGAAGCTGAGGCAAGTATCTGTCAGTAAATCAGGCTAAAATTAACCTAGTTAAGTGCAAGGGATATACCCGTCTTTAAGACGAAACTTATTTCTTTATTTCACAGACGAAACAAGGCTGGGAAAAGTACTAATCCCACTATGGGACTGCATTTTCTAAACTTTCATTTTATCAAAAAATCACACATATAGACAGAAAACTATTTCCAGAGGTAGGGAAGTAAAAGAAAATTACCGCTTATTTGCTTCCTCTTTGGTGCTTCTAAGTCAACTGAACAATTATTAACCAAACATCTGGACAGAGACAATGCATATGACAAACCAGATGCATGAGTGGAGGCTGCAGAACACTGACCTCAAACTGAACCCCCCTCTGCATTATGGCAGAGACCAAAAGATAGAAACTGAATGAATAAAAAAAATGGGATTGGCCCAAGTCCTGCAGTTTTACAGTGTTGCCCAGGGACAACAGTGCATTATCGGCAAGTGGGACTCGGCATCCATATCACTAAAGAAACTCCCAGCTAGAGAAAAACTACAAAGTCAGGCCACTGAGAACATTTCAGATTCCCAGTCCAATATCTCTGTGCACATATGTGCACTGAGGACAGTGTGCCCTCCCTTTTTTCTGCTGCAATCCCATTGCTCACTGGGTTGGTTGAATATAGGTCAAAATGATGAACTTAGCTTTAGGACAAGAGTCTTACATCCAATCCTAGAATTTTGCAGATTTATTTTAACATGAGAAGTTGAATTAAAAAAAATAACCATTACAAAAATTACCTTCCTCAGTGAATTCAGTTACTTGGAGAAAAACTCAGTCTCTATTGTGGCTCTTTTTTACGGCACAAAGTGGAATGGGATTTACAGTTGGGGCTCCCAAAGTATTTGGGATGTCCTCTTCATCGATGTCATCAGGCAGGTTGTGACTGTCTCAGAGTGCATTTGTAATGGAGTATTTATACTACTAACAGAAGTAATGTGATATCGCTTTATTCATGTTCAAGTGGAACTGGTTGAATCCGAGGCAACCTAAGAGGCTGAAACACTCAGCCAGGACCACCCATACAGCAAGAGCAAGAGGAAAAGCTCCTTAGCCTCAGCTCACATTCCCAGACTTCCAAGGTTCAGTGCCTTTGTGTTTCCAACTCCATTGCTCCCCAGGGGCCCATCTGGTAACACAGCCCATCTTCCTGTTCCTACAGCAGCTTCCTTCTGCCTCGTCGGGTAAAAGAAGGGCAAGGGGAGACAACTAGCATCTGGTATGCTTAGTTACATGCCTTTCTGGCTACCAAAACCTTGGCCACCTTGAAATCTGTCTGATAGAGCTTGCTGCCTGAGGGCTGAACATTTCTCCCAGTCTTGGAGCACACTGAAGAGGCTCTCTAGCCGCCACAGATCAGTCAGCTGGTTCTGTGCATAATTAAGAGATACCTGTCTTTTTAAGTCACATACAAAGGCTTTGTACACAGCTAAGTGACCTGTGGATCACATTTGGCATTCCCAGATTTAGCAGTAGGAAAAGTAATAAGGACGAAGATGCCTAGAGCTGAAATAAGATCACAGAATGCCCCAGTGACCTAACAAATTAGCATGCAGCATGAAAGCGGTGTGAAAACTACAAAGCCAAAAGGAAAGATTTCTGCAAGTCATACTAAAAGGCCTGGGGGGAAAAGAGGGTGTAAAAGGATGGAGGGAAAGACAGCTAGAGGCTGAGATCTTTCAAGTACTAAAATAGCCTAATGAAACAAAAAACTCATAGTACAGTGCTAAAGAAATAAACATACAGAAAGATGGGGAAACAGAACTGAAAAGCAAACAAATGCCTCATGAGGCAATGAAAGAGGTAATAAATTCCTTGATGTAGGCATGGCAAGCAACTTATCAATAGCAAATAGGACTGGATAGACCCTCACTCAAGACAATCAATTTCACTCTGAGATAACTTCTGGCTATGACTTTGTTTCACATTATCCTGAGAAACAAACTCTAAACCAAAATATTGAAATGGAAAACCAAAACCAATCCCACTTTGGATATTGGCTTTCTTCTGTTTTGGTTTTCTGCTACTCTGAACAGGAATGAGTAAGTACTTCCCTCAGCCAAAGAAGTTCCCAGCACAGCTGGTTAGAGCTCTATAGAGCTCCTGAAAGTACATACTGGAAGACCACCCAGAAATATTCCTGAAGGATTAGTTAATGTTTTGAAGACTACTCTAACATGTCAGAATCCAGAGAGTAGTTCAAGTTAAGAGTAGCCAAATCTGACATAAGATCAAGCTGTGTTTTCTCACATGTACAATTCTCATCCTTAGGTTTTTGCCTGTCCAAAGTAAAGTAGATGCTCATATGGAGACAAACCACTTGCGAAAAGTCTCACCAATAATTTTTTTTCTTAAAAAAAAAGGGTGGGAGTGGGTAATGTATTTCACCTGAATACAGTCCGTACTAGATAGACAACAGAACCGATAACAGAACAACTTTCAGGAACATTAATCCCTGTTTGTATCTCCTGAACTACTCAAAGTTCTTGTTAAGCCATATGAGTGTTGCTATTTAGTCCTGCTGACATGAGAGAAAATTGTGCTAGAACATGAAAAAACTGCATACGGAGCCTTTTTCCACTCATACAGCTCTGGGTGGGGGTGATGGTGTGCTGGTGCGCCTGTCAGAATCCAAGACAGAGATTCACAAAATACATGAAGGAAGACTAGACGTAACAATATAAAGCTTTAAAGGCTGGTTGATTTATAATGCCCACTGTGTGGTGCATTTGCTTTCTTTCCCCCTCTTTCCCCTTAAGGAGAAAAAAAGAACAGGCTTCTGAATATCTTTTGAAGACCTTGAAGTCCCTAAGATCACATGCCACAGAGCTCTATGAAATATTCTGACACAACCACACAAATGGAACCGATTAGCTTTCCTGTCATTGTGCATTTTTCACACAGTAACAACAGAATTTTCCTTTTTATAGGCTTTATAGCTGTATTTCCTATAACTAGTTTTTCCAAGCATAATATAATGTGTTTACTTGGTGTGGATTTTTTAATTGTTTCAAAATTAAATCACTAATAATAGCAAAGAATTGTTATTATGACTTCATAATCAAACTAAGGGCTAGTCCTATAATGACTAGGACTCCAGAAGCTATTGCTTTTTCATAGGGTTTTTTCACATGAACAAATGTTATGGCAAATAACAGTTTTAGATGCCTGGTGACCAGATTAATTTTTAGTGAAGCAATATACATCAGAACCATCTAATAAATGCATAAATTTACTTGGTTATTTCCACATATTGATGGCATAAGGAGCCCAGCCTAATCTCTATGATTCTTCTTTTTAATGGACAAGCAGAAATTACCTCTCTAGGGTTCTTAGCAAAACCAAACAGATAATTAAACAGCCAGTGTGTTACAGGAACCCCAATGTAAATATCCCCCAAAATTACCTTCATGGATATATTTAAGATGCTACCTCTTCTTAAACCTGAAGCACATCTATCAACATTCTAATAAATGAATGTATGTTAAGTTTTTAGGAGTGTGTCTATCACATAACTTTTTTAAAAACTGAATTAACAAGAAAAATCTCAGTAATAAACCTTCACATAATCTATAGAAATCTAAAACGATTTTTCAAAGCCAGCAGCACAGTATATTAAGTATATCTCTTTTCTGAGATTTCCATCTAACTGTAAGCCATCTTCCAGTCTCAATACAAGTAAGCATCCATACAAGCTAAGACTACCAGAAAACTGGTAACAGGTAACCATACACTGTGACATGAAAAAGAATCTTATTTCTCATTAGCATTTTCACATGCACATTACAATCAAATAAAATATTAAAGAGCTCTAGATACCTGCTGTGCAGAGTGGATGTCCTAGCAGCAACAGTGCAATGCCAGATGTAATTAAGCAGAAGGGCTCACCTTTGAAAATTTCTCAATCTGGTATCCTGCCTCCATGATAAAAGTTGTTTTCATGTTGTATCCAGTTTGCTTTCCATGTCCATTTGGCCACCAAGCCTCTACTACAGAAGTCTTGAACAGACAAGAGAGAAAGTCAGAGCAACATGTATAAAAAGAGGCACAAGATGCACCTGTGGGCTCAGATGTCTTTGAGTGAATTATCACAAGTGTAATGAGCTTTTGTGCTTCAGCTGTGGTAGGCTAATTGGGATTTCATCAGCTGCAGCTCTGAGGTGAAAACCATTTAGAGAGAAGTATGATTTCTTCCACTGAAGTCCAGGCTGCCACTTCATCTTGTGTCCACAACAGGCCATGAGCACACATACACATGCATGCACACACCTAGCTGCTACCTGTCAGTTGAGGCACACTGACAGACTACTCCTCCAAACCCCAAATATCTGTGTCAGGAGCAGACATAGTTCACTAGCCTCTGAATCATGCACCTCCTCTCACCGACAGCTTTTAACTGTGACATGCAACATTCTATAAACAGTGGGGACACTTTTGAACTGCTACTACGGTAATATGTGACTACATTGTCTGCTTCACTTATGTCAAGCTTTTCAGGCAAATTCTAAGTTTCATTCTTTCTTTTTGGTGTTTTCTGCTTTTTCTCTAAGCTTCCTAATCACACCATTAGTACTCCATAATTTTTACAAACATAAAACACTACCTCTAGAATGACAGAATGAGAACAACTTTCTCATTTTTCTAATCATGGAGTAATATTTATATCTTCATTCCAGCAGCCTGCTTCTGCTGCTCATCCTGTTGCCAGCATTTGCCAGTTGAGTGCACAACACAGAAATTGTGGAAAGAAAGCAATAACGCATGCAACCAAACAATGCAGGGATCAGCACTAAATAGAGTCATGCAAGGAGTGCCTCATCTTTTCAAATAAATTGAGGCCAGAGAGCAGCCCAACAATATGTTTTGCTGTAGCCATACTTGGATGCAATCATAATGTATCCACCAACATTTCAGCTTCCCTGATACAGAATTATCATAACTGCTTGTGCAGAAGTACTAATCTCTGTGTTGCACGGATACAAATGGAAGCACAGAATCAGCGTGTGCCTCAACAACAAGGGAGTGTTCGCAGCTGCCTGGAAGGACTGGAGTGTCTCATTGGCCACTAATGATGTCATCCCTATGCTCACCATTAGCTGATAAGCAAAACACTGTCATGTTGGCAACATAGCTGTGTGGCAACTGCAGGAAGACTGATACACATCTACACTCAAACACCTACCGACTCCGCAACGTAATCTACAATATACTCTCAACTAGAAATTAATTTCTGGTGAGGTCTCAGTATTCAACATGCACCACACATATCTGTGTACAGACTAAGGGCTCTGTTAGCCTCATCAATACATGAGAACACATTTCAGGGCTTCTCAAAAATCAGCTGATGTGAATTCATGCAGCAAAGCCTTTTGTGCACAAAGAATAATGAAACGCTGCTGCCTCTGCTCTGAAGGAAGTGCTTCCTCACGAGCTTGCAGTTGCACTACATTAACAGATCTCTTCTGAGGTTGGTGGTGGAGCAATTAAATACACAAAAATAACATCTGAAGTTTCACTTTGCAGTTCCTGCTTAATGTAATCCATTAAAAGGCTAAGCAGAGACTAATGGTTGTTTTATAAATGAAATCGGGTATTTGCAATTGCTCACGTAACTTGCATATCGGACGACAACAGTAACAAAAATTGTATGTTTGTATGCTTTTGTGTCAAAATAAAACAAAGCACATAAGTATGCAAGTCACTGAGTGTGCACACTAGAACATAAACACCCTGCTTGCCTCTTAACATATGTTTTCTCTCCACTCAAAAAACTGACAAGTGAACTCAAGAATACACACATAAGGCAGTCAAACTGGGAAAACAAATGCAGAGTTACACAGCAATATATAAAACCAGAAGAGCCAGTAAAATACAGAAAGATTTGAAGGCTGACTCTCAACTGTTATTAACTGCCAGAATGGTCAAAAGCCCCAAATTCCTTCTCACAGCACATCACTCTCCCACAGATCTAACTGTCCCGTAGCAGTGAAGCAGACAGCAGCTCCCATGGAGAACAGCCAGGGCTCCCACTCTGCCCACTGGGCTGAGCCTGGGCTGTTAGGTTCAGTTCTGCAGTAGGGAACTGCTCTCTGTGCAAGTTCATACCTCTTTGTGCCACACTGGGCTCGCTGCCTAATTCAAGACGCCTACCTACTCGTCAGCTAGAACAGACACAGTGATTTTCTTAATCTCTCAAGCCTTTACATCTTTCCTTAATTACATTTGTATGATAAAACTCAACAGTTTCTAAAAAAACAAATGAAACAAATTTTATAAAAGTTAAATAATGCTGGTGAATTAAGTCCACCACAAGACAGCTTCCCAGCACCCCCTGAAGGCAAGCAAACCAATTCTTTCCTCTTTCAGCACTGAGGTGTGTACCAAATTCATCAATTTTTCAATTGACTTGCCTCTTCCTTAGAGCATCCTTCAATGGTCCAAAACTCCTCATGAGTTTTGCCTAGCCAAAGGACTACAAACCAGTGTAAGGAAGTACTATTCCACACAATTTTCAGCCAACATCACTGCCAGGCAAGTTCTTTATAGGGCTCTTTTATTTACCTGAAAGAGTGTCTACTGAGAGGTTTGAAGAATGTTTCCTCTCTCTCCTGGGAGAGCCGTGCATATTGTAGTATATTCTAATCCCAGTTGGTCCAGTAAACAACTGCATGTGAGACACCTGCTGCCAGTGAAGTGACACAGGCTATCCAAAGGTTATCTACCTAAATACCTCAAAATAGCCCCTTTAACAGTGGCCAGCGATGATGTGATTTTATTTTTAAGGCTTCATCATCTTTTTGACATTGAGCTACACAGCTCCACAGAAAACAGTTTTTAGAAAGGAAAAGAACTGTTCTCCTATCCTGTAAGGGGTACAGAACTGTTGCTGAAAGTCGGGAACACAGCAAGGAATGGGAGGGAGGCCTAAAACTGGCACGGAGGCAGAAAGACACACTGGAAACCAGGGGAAACATTTTGCAGCTGGATAGCTTTTCACACACACCTCCTTACCTTGTTGATGTTTACAAGCAGCACAATGCTGCCTTCTCCAGGTTGAAGCTTCACAGTGAATGTTTGCTGCGTTTGCAATTTGGGAATGTTCACCATCACACGACCTGGAATTGGCTTGGAGCTGACTACCTCAAAAACAGACTCAATTTCAAGACACCACTGCTGCGTACTTTTTACTAAGTGAAGGGGAGAAAAATTTGAATTTAATAGTTATGTTTATATACTTAATAGTTAATGTGATCTCTCATCAAAGAAAAAATTCAAATACCTAAGATTAAATCTAACAATTTTCAGGCCATCTTTGAACCAGACCTACAAGGTTAATGCTTGTTTAGTGCATTTGACATCTGTGTTTACATTTGCCAACTTGGAAGAGAATGATGCCATATGATTTACGTTTCTTAACTCTTTTTTTTTTTATTTGAAAGCCATCCAGGGTTTTTTTCAGAGTTCTGTACAAAACTCAGAAACCTTGACATCAGTCACTTCATTAGGAAGGATTTTTTTCCCACCAACTCCAATAGACATCATATTTGCTTTTAGTCAGCACTCATATGAACATGGTACTCTTTGGGAAAGATCGTAATCACAAGCCAGTACAATCACTTTTGTCAATGAAACAAAAACAGTATTAACAGAAAACAAGCTGAATTCATCCCAGAGTCACTAAACAAAATGAATGGAGTTATGCTGGGGATGAATTGGGCCCACTGTGTCTAGACTTGATGGGCTATATCTTTATGTCCCTTCTGCCACCAATGTGTGGTGGAGGAAACCAATTAATGACTTCCCTGAGATCCCTCTACAGTTACCTCACAGGGTTCTCTCCTTTACAGAACTTACTGAATAAGGCAAGACAGGATCAAGGGTACTCAAGCTTTATGTGTAAATTTCCCATTAACTTCCACAATTTAATTGTGTAGCTACAAACACAGTCTGGCTAATCCTATACTTCAAATATTACTGATTAACATATAAGCAAAAGCAAATAAAACAGAAAACAAGGAAAACTAGAACTAAGATGTATTTTGTATACCCAAACTTCTAATCATGTACTTTCTCTTTTCATTTATATACTCTAGCTCTCCTTCCTCCAGGAGAGAAAGAGCGCTCCCTCCAAAAGCAAAGAATTACATTCAGCCCTGGGGTGATTTTCACTGTCTTTTGTGGAATGAAGTTTATATTACATCCAGCATTAGCCAGGGAAGACCAATTTTCAGAAATGTTGAAAGGGTTAAAAAAAACCCACCCCACAAGGGTCTTCCATTACAGTGCATCTTGCCTGCCCTCCAAAGGCATATAGAAATTTAAGCCCATCCTTAACTGCATGAACTGTGGAGCCTAGGCAGAGAAATCAAGTACAATGAATCTTTTGCAGACTCAGTGGTCAAAAAAGACTGAGTCAAATGACACCAAATCTGACAAGTAATAAAAGTACCTATGCAGCTTAAATTCAGGTCATTCATTTACTCTTTCTTTTTCAAATGTTATTATTTTTAATACTAATAAGCTCTGGCTTCTGTTCCAAACCACTCTGTTGAATGAAAGAGGTTTGCTCTCTCCACTTACCCAGAGAGCAAGATTTTACCTACCAGAAGGTGGAGTTGTGGGAATGTGGGAGGGACCAGAACAGATTTTTACTTTAACTAAATTTTAGAGAGCAGCACAGTGTGTGCTGGGGCTTTCCATGGAAATTCCAATCACGCTAAATCTAGCTAAGACCTGCAGCTATTTCAGGAAGCTTTAATAGCAGCCATGGGGTGACGTCTTCCTCTTTTATTCATACACAACAAATCTATTCCCAAGGGCTGAAATTCAACCCAGTAGAGAGAACTCATGCTAGCCCTTACTCCACTGAAGACTGGGCTCCACAGTGAAAGAAAGCACGCGGGTGGTCTACAGTGGGGCATATTACCGTTTGCAGAAAGTTTCAACAGAAAATTAACCACTTTTCCTCAGCTGAAATGATCTTCAGGACAAAGGAGAGGAAAATCAGAGACCACGGCAAGAGAGGAAACCGGTTTGGTAAGTTAGGTAGCAGGAATGCAGGAGGCCATCCTCTCAAATTGCAGCCTTAACAAATTATCCTTGCATAGCACGACTGCTTTTCTCTCTCAGACCTCATGTTGTGTCCTGAAAACTCGGCGCTCTTGAAACTGAGCTCACTGTGCATTTGTCTTTCCAACACAAATCTCAATTCCCATAGCAGCTTTGCCTTTGTTTTAAACGAAAGTGTGACAAAAGTGAGACATATTTACTGGGAGTCTTGGTGAAAACACATGCCAATAAAAAAGAAATTTTTCAAAACTATGGAGAACAGGTTCTAACCTCAGCTATACTACACATTTACTTCTGCAATTATTTGGAGACCCTCAAGCAAAAAAAAATATTCTAAATTCTATCATTTTTAATTGCTATTGTTTGTACTGAAGTACTGTTTCAAAACCTAGAAAGGTGTGCTGTGGTAGGAACTACATACAAAGTCATAAAAACCCCAACAGAACTTTTCCTAAAATGACAGTTCATTAAGCTTAACAATAAAATGGTTTTTATTCCAAAGGTGAAACAATAATAAAAACAAGACTTACCAAAGAAAGGAGTTAAAGAAAAGTAAATCAGGTGGTAATGGTTATAGGCCTCAATCCTAACATCTTTCCAGATTCCTTGAGTGGGAAAAGAAGGGCCCCAGTCCCAACTAAATGAACACTGCTCCTGGAATACAGCATGATTATGTTACAATTGCCTATTTTTCACATGGACATTGATACTGTACCAGAAATAAAAGACATTTGCTATCTAGGAATAAAATACTGGCATGCACTAAAAGAAGTTTTCCAATTTCCATAAATTCAGAAGAGCCTACAGCATTTTTTTTCTCATTTCTTGACCAAAACTCTGCTGCTATTACCTATTTTTCAGTATATAAAAAATTAAATTTTGTATTAAACATCCATGTACAGAGAAATTTTGTATTACTGAAATTTTGTATTACTTAGCACACCATTTGGAAAAAACAACAAAACAAACAGTAAAGATAAAATAAAAAATCCAGCAGATTACTCTCAATTTAACTATGAATTATCTTAGTTTGTAATGTCAGTATTTAATTGTACACCTAAAAGACAAATGAGGCAGAAAACTGATGGTTAGAAATGTTACAGTATTCTAAAAGAACAGTATCAAATTAAAAATTGTATCGCAAATACTTTATCTCCTATTTTTAGTAGTAACACCACAGTTCAGTACAAGGAAAGAGATGCATATGTCTGGTGTGTTTGTGTAGTTCAGTCATGTTCGCTGTTTCTCCCCTTTTTATGGTTCTCTTATACAAAAACAAAGGGAACAAAACCATGGTTGAGAAGTAGCTTAGTTCTGGTTCTAACATCAGAATAACTGTCAGAATTATAAAATGCTGGTCAGGCAGAGAGGTACCTACACTAATTTCCATTTAGCTGTTTTCAAACCTGGTCAGACCTCTAGTTAACAAATCCCTTGACGACATCTATTCAGCTGCCCTCCAAGTTTCACACAGCCCCAGCCCCAAAGCAAATACAATAGATCTCCTAACGTCTTGTACAGTGACACACAGTTCTAAATTTAGAGACTAATAACTTACAGCCGAGGCATACTAATTTGGGCAAACCACATTGCACAAGTCTGGCCTATCCCTTGCATCTCTACAGTCCGCCTGCCTGCCTATCAAATTGCAAAAGAGCCTTCCAGGAAGGAAACACTGTACCTATTTCAAACACAAAACCAGGGAGAGCATATTCTTAGAAAACAAGGCCAATTGAAAGCAATTTTCCCTTTAGAAAAAAATTAACTAACAAATCACTGGCAGATTGTCAGGTTTCACTAATAACACTGCAGAGACCGCTATCAGAAACAGTGTGTCATAAAAAGAACACGCTTGTATCACTGAAGTACATTACCAATGACAGGCTTGTGTTCTGCCACAAACCCTGTTCAGTTTTAGGTAAGTTTACTGCACTTAATACTGCACCCGAAATGTATAAAGAGCTTTCCATTACTTTCAGACAGCAATCCAGCTTACTTTAGAAATGTCCTAGTATGTTTGTTTACTTTTTAATACCACATAGCTGCTGTTGTTACCGTATACGTGGAACTCAGAACATTTCTGGAAATTTCTGGAGCAGCTTCCAAGTACAGTCAAACAACTCATTTGAGAAAAACCACTAGGGTATCTTCTTACAAATTTAAAGGTATAGTTCAGTGAAGCGTAAAATCATTCCTGGCCCTTTTGCTCTATAAATAAGACTACAGCTGTTTAAGGCCTTCTTCCTCCCAAGCTTCTCCTCGCACTGATTTCTAAGAAACACACTGGACTCAGAAGAATTAACAAACTTTCCAAAATGTAGTGAAAATAAAAGTAGCAGCAAGTAGAAATAAAGACAATATCTTAATCCTAAAGGATCTTTCCAGCACAACAGAGTCCATGTTTTGGACGAATTCTAAAGGAAATAACATCCAGGTTTAGATTAACAGGATTCTAGTCACTTTTTGAGGAGGCTCTAAAAAGACTTTATTAAAAAGATTTAAAATAACTAACAAGAAAGGCATTTAAGTGGAGACAAACCTGAAAAGACACCAAAAAAGAAAAATTCCAAAATAAGATCATCTAGCCATTGCTTCTATCTGCTGCCAAGCTAACAGAAATACACAAGATGCTCCTCAAACAAGAGGAGCATCTTGTTTGATAAATTTTAATAGCAACAAAGTCATGTCTTAAATCAAAGTTTCTGAGCTTCATTCATTTTCACTGAATATGTACTTATAAGTCACACTTCTCAACACTAATAAGAACAGGTTCCCTGTTAGATAACACTTCTTGGGACATGCCAGAGCTGCCCAGTATAAATAGCACAGCACATGAGCAACAGTAAACACTCACAAAGCTGCTTGGCTGAGATTTTTACAGCCTTGGCAATACACATTGGTATTTGCAACAGTGAACTCTATTGTCAGCATACGCTGCTAAACCCAGTGGATCAAAATGTAATGATTGCACATTTCCCAATACTATCCCGCTCTCTTAGCAGCAAGTCTCCTTGCTGACTCCTTGATGAAAATAGCCTTTTAAACAATCTTACATTTGAAGCCTGGCCTTCTTATGCCTATTGTATTATCAACATGCTAGATTAAAGGTTTCTAGGGGGGACATGAGAAGGAAGCTGCAATACAAAATATGCTCTACTTATAAAATGACATTGCAGGTTTCAGAATACAACTGTAAGGACAGCACACGGTGCATTCCTCTTTCCAAGCCTGAAGTCAGAGACAGACAATTGTGCCCCCACCTTTCTGATAAAATTCACATGGCACTCTCCTTTCTGCTCAGGTGGAGGGCAGGCGGGGGGGATGCTGTAAGCTTTGTGACACCTGCTCTGCTCTGCTGCATAGGAAATGGCCGACAAGAAACGGACTTCAACAAAATTGACCTCCTTGATCACGCTGGTGATATCAAAGCTCTAGAACAAATAACAGAACAAAATCATTACAGTGCTGACATTTATTTATGTGATTGAAAATCACTGTTACATTGGGATTTTAATACCACACATCTATTATTCAAAGGTATTTGAAGTACAGTCTAAACATGCTTCGGTTTTGAAGGAAAAGCTACTTCTTAAGCTAAAAAAACCCAAAATACACAGTAGCGTTTTAGACTCAAAGAGTTGTTTCTGGGCAAACCACTTTCCTCATACCAAGCCCTCACTGCCGGCTGTAGCACTCTGCTTGCACACAGAAGTGCTTGAAGGACAAGGACAGCAAGAGAATCTTTACTTTCCTTCCTCATCCAGAACTCATCTGCATCTTCAGAAAGACAACTCAGAAATCTGGTCTATACAAGAGTCTTTCCAACTCACGCTGTGCTGCCAACTCATCTACTGCAAGGCTGAGCTGCCTTGTCTGTGAATGCTGCAAAGCTGTATTTCATGCAACCTGCATTCTCATCCCCAAAATTTACAGACACACATTCTATGCCAGCACCAAATGAAGCATCTGGGGTTTCCTCAGTGGGTCACAAAATCCCCTTCAGTGTGGCTGGACAGAAGGAGAAATGTTCCATTTCAAAATTATCCTGTGCTAATATGGTTCCAGTGGCTAATATGCATTTATTCCTTACAGTGTTCATTTGTGATGAGCCAAGTCTTGGCAATCTCTTCAACCTGGGGGCAGCCCAGCCAACATGACTTATATCTGTAGAACAGAGCAGAAAACTACAAAGCAAATAGTATTCCTCCATTTAGAGCCTTCAGCGAGTTCTTCCTGCAGACATTGTTGCCACGTGGAACAGGTGAACAAAGCAGCAGTCTGGGTCACAGTGATCAGACTCAATTTAATGTGGTACACTCTGATTTTACAGTGAAGGCCACTTTATGAACTGTTACAATCTGAGACAAAATGATGTCACAGAAATATGGACAAAATAATGCCATTTCCCAACTGAACAGAGCCTGTTAATGGCAAACATTTAGATACTCTCCAAATAGTAAATAATTACAATTTTCTAAAAGCTCTATGAAATGTCTTATTTCACTGATGGTAAAACTAAGTCAAAGCTAAACTGTTTGTCCCAGGTCACACAGACCCAGGTGGCAGAATCTATCTCTCATGTCTCAGCCCAGTGCTTCTGCAATAAAACCTGCCAGAATGGTAAATGCTGAGACAGGTAGACACCAGATTTCATTTGTCATTCAGTTATTCCACTACTGTTCTTCCTTTAACTCTTAATTTTTTGATTCTTTTAAGAGAAAAGTAAGGATTGTTTCTTATGTTAGTACCACAATAATTTTATATTTTAAAGCTATACAATCAGTCTGAATGTTTTTGCCACTCTCAAGATCATTCCATGATGAATACTCTTATGCTGACATAGGTTAAGCTCAAAAATGCAAGTCAATGTCATCAAAAGCGCAACATTAAAAATAAACCACCTTGTTTAAAAAACAAAAGCATGGAAACACTTAAAAAGGCTTTAAAACACGTGCATTTTCATTGCAGTATTCACATGTAAACCATTCTAATACCAATCAGTAAGCAGATTTAGAGCTAATATAACAGATTTAAGCTTAGGTTTTCTTGGAGCTGGGACAGATCCCAAGAAGCAAGACATATTATTAGCTGAATTGATCCTCTTGCATTGGTCCTCTCATTTAGGACAAGACACATTTACCTCTAGATATGACGCTGTTGCTACTGAAAAGGTAAGTGCACTTCTCTTTCTAACATTTATCTGATTATACAGGCAGTCTTCAGGTCAACACTGCCTGCGTCCAAGCACCTATTTCCATGCGTATTTGAATGCACTGAAAGTGCTCAGAACAAAAGACCTTTGAAGAAAAAACAGAAGCACCTTCAGAAATAAACACATTACTTACATATCTGTTAAACATGTTGTCTGTTCTCCCCACAGTGACATTGTTGAGCAGGATCTGTGCTACTGTATCTACTCCCTCGAAAACCAAATTCACTTTCTGCCACTTTCTACAGAAGATAACACATACGTGAAAAAGTGTTAGAATACCTAGCATTAACAAATACAGTAGACAGACAATATAAAAATGTATATCATCATTATCTTTAGCAGCATCTGCCTCAGCTACCTCCAAAAACATTTGACTCAGTGTGGCTACATTATATCTTTAAATAGTCAAATTAAGATGACAGTTGAAGTAGCTCAAGTCTACAACACAGCATGTTCACATACACAGCAGATATCAGATGGGATGGCTTCCAGTTAGCCGAAGTATTATACTTTCTCAGTTGACAATTCATAAGTAATTTTTAACAATTAATTTTAAAAAAGGAAAAAGCAACAACTGAAGTGTTATGTAGCAACAGTTTTGCAACTGCACATGATTGCATAACTTGTTTTATTAGACACAAAAACATTAAGCAGATTTTGAGCTGATGGATTAATTTGCAATTCTGCATGAATGATGGCACAGAACTATTTTAGACATATCTTTACTGCATACCTGATGTCAAAAGGAGTTTTAAATGTCCTGCTGTAAGTCCAGTTATCTAATGAGATCCATCTGTACATCACGTCATTAAATCTATAGTATGGATCCTAGTAACAGACCAACAAAAGAAAATTACAAGACTCATTTAGTAACAGTGAATAGTTACATGAAAAGCATCATAATATCCATTAGATGAACACTTCTTATTTCAGACAGTCTGTAAATGCAAAATCCACCTTAGTTAGTTAGTCCAGATATTCCTTTTCACCTCTGAAATAATATATGAAAGTAATACCTTAGTAATATTTGGCTTTACTTATATAGGTCAAAACCCTGTTTGCTATAATCATTTATACTTAAATTAGAGATAGCAGGATTTGTTCTTACACAAGAAATTACTGGTTTGGAATTTAACCAGTAAATCCAGATAGCTTGTGACTTAATGAGAGGAACAGAAACATGATCACCCTCATAATGGTGGAGAGAGTAAGACTAATAGGATTTTAATAGGCAAAGAAACAGCATTTTAGGCCTCTAGGGACAGCAGTGAACAACTCTCTAAAATAACTACAAATACTCCAGTTGTTTCTTGTCAACTAGTCTTGCTGTGGTGAGGCTAAATGAAATTGTTATATATGGAGGGACGGAGAAAGGGAAGAAGGAGAAGCAACACAGTTTTGGTTTTGGTATAAAACTTAAATGACTACTTTTGAGAACAGCACTACATTTACGCCAAATGTGCCCTCTTCCCTTGAATCACACTTCCCAAGAGGAATAAAAGGCACAGTTGGTCTAAGCCACGTCCTCGACCTTTTAGGCTTCACGCTGTATTTATTACCTTATGGTGGGTCATGACATCCCTCACCTTGGCTGAAGGAATCAGTTACGAGGACCTGACAACCCACGGCCTTGCACCTTGAACAGAGGCAGCAGAAAGGTACAGACTCATACCCCATGTCAGAGCGCAGGTATCCGGGTCACTGACTGACAGCTCAGTGCAATCCTCTGCAGCAGCTGCACGGCTGAACTGCCTTCCCAAAACAAAGACCAGTCTCTTCTGGACTACATGACTCAAACCCAGCTGAGATAGAGGGCAGCTGCATTAAGGTTTGCTTTGATATGAGTGTTCTACAGTACCAGCACAGTTTAACTACCTGCCCTGAATATTCAAATTCACACTGAAGAAAACCTGCCCAGCTTTTTTTTTCCTACTCGCTGAAGCTAAATTTTTCTCCCTATTTCAGGAATCAGTATAGATAGCATGATGCTTTGGATTTGCAATTTTCTGAAAACAATTGTTTCATACCTCATATTTGTTTTACAACTAACAGGGCCGAATTCTGTAATACAAGCACAAAGCATAGCACAAAGCATAGCAGAGCAAAACTGTAACGCCTAAGTCACTGTCCTCAGCAGCACAAACCCCTCTGGAGTCCTACAGCAATACATCATTCCTTGAGCCCATCCAGAGGGAAAGTTATCATCTTGCCTCTACATGCTATGCGCTATCAATAAAATTTCTTACTACAAGGGAAGATTCAAAATGGAAAGGTCTTGGCACTTCAGTAAAACTGTGAACTCTGTACATACAAGGTATTGTCTAGAAGTTAAGTCATCATGATCTTACCAGGACAACTACTGAATTTAAAAATATCCATACCATTACTTTTACATGCAAAATGTACTGGGGAATAATCTCAGACTTTTATTAAGATGCAAAATTTAAGGCTAATAAATGCATAGTAAAATGCAAAATTTAGGTTCATAAAAGAAACTCCACTGAGATCATCATATTCAATGAAAGGCAAGCAACAAATGTCACAGACCATGAAAAGCAACCATATGTACTTAAAAAGCACATTTTTAACAACTGGCTTGCTTTAACATTATATACTATCTTATATACATTTACATATATATACATTATATTTGACATTATATACTATTTTATTTCAGGTTTGGAAAAATGCTTTGAAAAATGTGCATGTTAAATTTCAATCATTGCTTTTGTTATGTGTGAAATATTTAATAAAAGGCCAGAGATGTAAGTTGTAAATGCACTATCAACAGCAGACTGTAAAGCCATTTGGTTAATGGCCAAACAACCTACATCAGTACCTCGGCAAAGATGCATTAGAGAAACCTGCACCATCTCTCTCCCACAAATGCATGGATATCGAGATGTTAATGAAGAAAGTCCTGCCTTCTGCAAAACACAAAAACTGGTTGTCAAGCAGCAAAGAGAAATGTAGGAATACTTCATCAGAGGCAGAAATCAACCTCGAATGGGCTCTTACAGGAGTTTACAAACAGAGCAGCTTGTTTAAATCTCAGTGTACTGCAAATCCTTTTTCCTGAAGGAGCTTTCTTCTTTACTATCTAAAGCTTTCAACCATCAAGAAATGCACTTGACTGCTAAAATATGTGTCATAGAAGGTGCTAATTAGCCTTTCTGAGTACTGTTTCTTACTCACAGACATCCACCCTTTTGGATGGAAAACTCATAGTTCTATGTACCTTTACACAAAACAGCTTACTGATACCATTGCTGCATAACCTGTAAAACAGTTTATATATCACACAGCAAAAGTGTTAAATGTTAGTACTGGTTAGTCATTTTTGGCACGACAAATGTTGCTTGTTGTAAAATCAGTCATGTGGTAATGTTCAAGCAATGCCTTGAAGACAATCCTCCAGGTTCAGGAGAAATGCATGACCAGAACAAAGTCTTCTAAGAAAGGAAAACTACTTTTCCAATAGACTTGTGAGATTATTGACTTTTTCATTATTGACTTTTTTCATTAAATACAACTGTTCCAAGTGCTGGAAGATGTACCTGTGGAAGTCAAATTGTTTGGATTTTTCTGAAACAGAATTCCATTTCACATTAAATCAGCTTATATGAAAATTAAAGGTTTATTTCAGAAAAGTGGATTAAAAAAAAGGACAAATTTAAAACACTTAAAGGCACTAGCAGAATTTGAAAGATGATAGGATATAGACTGTGCATCTATTAAATATACTTCACATTCAATAGCTCAACAGCTCAGTGTGTTCCTGGAAGCAAGTCATAGAGGGGTGGAGTCAACTACAGCTATTTTTAGATCCCATCAAACATGTCAGCCTTGCATTTTCCTGCTCCCTGCAATTTGGGAAAGAAATCTGAACCATTCAAGCTGCTGGCCTGTTTGTTCTCTGCCCCCAGTTTCCACGCTGTAAGCAAGCAGCAAATCACCTGCTAAGATGAGGTAAAAAGCCCTGCTACAGATCATCAAAAGGAAGCAATTTCCAGGTCGGATAACAGGATATCAGCAGGACTTCAAAAGCACTGGCAGCACTACAATGAAGGCACTGCCAAGAGCCTAGATGGAAGCTTCTCCTTACAATGATTTTAAGGGGATATCTTGAAAGCTACAGTGGCATGAGCTGAGAGCTTCTCCTGCTAAGCAGGAAATGGATGAGACACGAACACAGCAGAATTTAAGTTCCAAGCCCCAGTGAGCAAGTGGTGCCAGGCACACCCTGGCCTGGAGAAGGGCCTTTTCCAGGCCCCCGTGAACCAGGAGTTTTGGGGAGCGTGACACAAACACCTGAATGACACCAGACAGAGTCAGCTGTATCCAGGCGGAAAAACTGTGTGTAATAAAATGAAATATAATAAAGAGAACAAAAACCAGATTCCTTTGCCTTATCCTGCTTTTGTCATGATCTAATTTGAAGTCACCTTATATGCTTTTCTCTCATAAATTAACTCTGCTGATTTTTTATGATGTACACCATAAGAAAATCCTGATGGTGTAACAATTTACCAAAATAAAACTTGCAAGTGATGTTTCATGATTTATAGTTTAATGATTCTGCTGTTGCTGACTTCAGACTGGAAGCTAAATAGCTAAGATATCTATATCCATGCATCCTTGCAAGCGATAGAAGTCAGGACGTTTATACAATTTTCAGCAAGCCCAGTTTCACATATTTACAGCTTGAAGTCAAGCTGACTAACAGTAGTGATGAATGGATCGTATTCTCAGAACATGAGTTTTGAAGTTCATCCTAAAGTAATTGATTTTGAGTAGTTACTCTCAGAAAGCAGTAAACTGAATGTCACTGTCAATGTTCAAAACGTGTTATAGCTGAACACTAGGCCAAACACTACTAGCATTATTTGAATACCTTACTGTATTTAACAGACCACTATAACTTTTATTGGTTTTAACATCACAAGCTGAAACTGACTTGAAAGAAAAACTTAAGCACTCTTTAATATTTATCCTAAATTTCACTAAGGCTTTTGAACACTCTTCCCACAGTTTAGCAGAGCATCTATATTTCAATGGAAAATAATATATTAATCAACTATTTCATCAGCGAATGTCATTTAACCTGACAGAACCATATAATACCCAATGGAATTGTTACTTGACTTGCTCTGAAAAATCTAAGTTATAACGAAGTGTCAGAAAACACACAACAGCATATTTTATAAAAATGTAGAACTAGCTACAGAAATTATACACTACTTTCCAGAAATGCAGAACTATCAGCTGATATACATAAATTTCTGTCTCTTCAAATATTTTAATATCTAAGTATGACCAAGACCACTGTAACCTTCTGTGTCAAGTGCATGCCCTTGTTGCCTAAAGGGCCAAAAAATACAGTGTTATCCAGCCCCTGTATAAGCATCACAGTTGCAGACTCCTCATAATAGTTCTTTACAAATCAAAGTGACTGCTAATAGGAAAAAACAGCCTTATATAGGAATGCAATGGCTGGCACATAAGAAAACAATACTCACATTCATCAGAACTGAAACTTTACAGGAGTTACTGACCAGCAAGAAATGACATCATGCAGGACTTGAAACAGTACATGGCAGAGGATGCCTACTTCTAGCACACAGATCTAATGTGCAAGTTACCTGTGGATACATATTGCTTATCAGAACAGTGCCTGAAAGAAAACACTACACTGACAGTGGTTAAAAGCAAAATCTTCAGACAAAATGGCTTTTCAGCAAATCTTTTTCAGATCTGTAGGGTTAGCAATAGGTTTGCTGCAAGCTTGTAAAATGTGTGCATTCGTAGTCAAGCTTTGCACTAACTTTATTCAAGTGACTATTACCCTGCTTTATGTGCATTTCTCATGTATTTTTTTTAAATTTTACATGTAAATAGTACTAACAGCTACAGAATTCTAATGAAATTTTATTAAAAGTACCAAGCCAAACACATACTCTGATGCTATCTCCTGCTTCAGTCATAGTTAATCCAGCATTTGAAGTACGTTGGTTGAACATGGAAGAAAATAATACTTCGGTAGAAAACTCAAAAGTATCTTCCCCAAGCGCATTTTCTAAGATATGTGTATTTGGTGCATTCAGAAAGATGTCTTCATCCAATGTATATTTTATGAGCCAGAGTAAAGATATCTCTAGAACAAATGCTAAGAGGATCCAGAGAGATGAGTAATGAACCTTCCGTGTCAGAGAGATGTTTTTCAATTCAAGTGTATGGCCTGCACAGCAGATTAAAGTAAGGCTACAGACACGCAATCAGCTGCAGCATCCCTTTGCAAAAACAGTTTGTGCATCGACCTAAATTTGAAATGAACCACATACTGATAAATAAATTGCTTGCAGCCTACTCTTGCAACCTAAGACACATTTTACAGGCTTAATATACAGCAGCTTACCCTTGCTACCCTCCTTCCCCTCATTTTTGAGATGCCCACTAAGCTACATTGCTGAAGTAGGCCCTCCCAAATTTTGCTTTAAATTTCTCTTTTGGGTGCTAACTCATTAAAAATCCCGCTGATACAGAAGTAAAGGATGCAGTACTATTTGCCATTTGCAAATCACACAGAAAAACAGCACATAGATTTCACTAGGTCACTGAACATATGGGTCCTGCCACCCAGAATCATTTTGTTCCCACTAGCTTTGTTCTCCTATTTCCTGGTACAGCTTTTCAGACCAATCTTCACTTTTGATTACAAGCAGAAAGCTTTTGGGTTGCTGGTAAAGTGACATCTTCCATACAATGAATAAAAATCCTACATTCCACGGTGAAGAGCAAAAGGAGTAAATGAAAAAAATACTCAAGACCAAAACTTTTGTATTTAGGCACCTGTAATTAAACTCCTAATTCTAGACTTGACAAAATCCCAAAAAGGGCTGATTTCCAGAGATAATGAACTCTGAAGAAATGGATCAATGCTCTGTGCCTCTAAAGTTAAGGCAGTGTGTATGCTTTTGTATAACTAGGAATACAATTTTAGTCAGCTGCATTTGAAAACCTTTGGTCATATCCATCACTGCAATAAAGAAACCTCAGGACAAACAGCTGGGCCTCCCTTTGCAGCATGAAGCCACAAACTGCAGTAATGAATGATGTCACTGACTCCCTCCAAACAACCCAGGTTTGCTGCTTTACAGAATGTTACAACTATGGTGGCAGGGATTGAGTACATTTAAGATCTGCGATAGATTTCAAATGTGCTAAGGTTGCTCCTGTGTTTGGTACAGTCTACATTCTGTCTTTTAAACAAAAACATGATTTTAAAACAATTTAGTTATCCTGGTGCAAATATTTGTGTGAACGCTTTTTTCTGTAAACTGCGCATGAATGGGTTTAAGCTGACCTTGAGTTACACACCTATACATAGAAACAAGTTAGCTCATTCTGAGCTCGAACTAGCCAGACACCAGTTGCATCCAGCCCAGAGGTCAAGCAACCACACCAGTGAAGTATTTTGGTTAACGCAGCAACTCGACTGAGCCTACTAACACCACCAATTTAGTAACAGATTCCAGTCCACAGCAGGTTCATACCCGGCCCTACCAGCACATGTTTGGAGCAAGTTCTTACTTGTATTCATGTAAACATGTCCTAAATGACCACAACCATCATCAATTTAATTGGCCAAGCACCCATCTACCTATTAGCAAGACCCGTGCTGCTGGTCAGCCGGTACTGACTAAGCTTTCATGCCTCTGTGCAGGCTTGGGATTCCGTGCAGGCACATGAGAGTTCATGATCACAGCCTCATTTCCAAATATACTGACGCTCAAAATGACTAAAACTACAAGTCAGTTTACAGCAATGCAGCTAAATTAGCAATCACGTCTTCTCGCTTTGTAAGTGTGCTTAATGTGAGTAGCTAAATGTGAGTCTTTAATTACGTCATTATCTTGCCAGCCTGAGTCAGTGCATTGGTCACAGTTTCTCCTGGATGATTATTCACACTTCTTACAGCAACACCTCCCAGCACACCCAAATATCTCAGGTAAAGTTCGCTTTACCTTGCCAACTTTTGTATTGGAGAAACTGGCACAGTTCCCTTCACTGTTTCTCCATGTACAGTCTATCTGACCACTGCACACTTGAAAACTTTAGAAAAGCCCTAAATTGTAAATGTCCAAGGTATCATGTCACTTAGCACACAGATGTTGAAGCAACAGACCATCGTGGCTTCTTTAGAGTACTTACTTTTCCAATGTTTACTGTTTCTCTTATCTGGCAATGACACTCTTTGAAATCTATTATTAGTACTGGGATTCCCAACCTATGCCAACACAGAATAATGCTAAAATTATCCTGCCCAAAGTGGCGTCACTTTCTACTTTTACCTCTCTAACTTTAGTCGGAGCAGAGCAGTATAATAACCTGAAGGATAAAAATTAAGGAAAATACAAAAAGCATGCATCCAGAATGTATTTTTTAAACATATGCTGCACAAGAACTGCAACACTGGGCTCACAGCAAATGGAGGGATAATATTATATACTCAGACAACATATGACAATACTCTATGTTTTCTAGTATAGAACCGTATTTATCAGTTTTATAGATGAATTTGTTAATTTCACTATATTTTATTTCTTTTCCTTGTTCCAGGTATACGTTTCACTTTCCATGTTTCCTTTTAAAAAGGCACTTCATTTCAAGAATGACCCAGTTAGTGCCATGGTTTTTGTCAGGTCTGAGTCACAACCACCTTATGCTGGTATCAGAGTACTTTGCTACCTATCTACAACTGCAGTTTTGATAATTTGTCCAGGAAAGTGGTCGCTATGTTTTCATAAATCTAAACAACTAAAGAGACAGGCATAAACTGAAGCAGAGAAGTTTCTTCAAAGTGTTAAGGCAAGGATTAGTCTTTTAAATTCAACAGTTTTGTTCTTGTGTTTCAGAATATACTTCCCTTAGGGAGTATGGGAATAAATAATCTCAGCTGTTCTGATATGCTCTGCAAGTATTAAAAGGGGTTTTTAATGGGCTAAAATGCCTGGAAATCCTTAAACTTCTCGCATCTACAAGTCAAACTTTAGCAGGGTGGGTTTAGCGTTTCACTCTTTTGAGGTAACACTGTAGGTAACCGCACCTTACATGCTGTGAGGATATTGCAGGTATCTGCTGTCAGCACCTTGGTTCCGTGCCAAAACCACAGAACCTCACACACTTCAAAGCACAGGTTTCCATTTCTATCCCTGGTCCCGTCTGGGACTGAGGACGCTGCAGCCACAGAACCCCTTTGCCACTGGCGGGGCCAAGAGACGAAGCCTGGCCGCTGCACCAGCAACGCCAACAACCCTGCAGTGGCTGCGGCAGCTCTCGGGACAGAGCCGTGGTTAGGGGAAGGCGGGGGGGAGCGAGGGGGTCGCCTCTACTCGTGCTTCTGGACACCTCCTCACACGGGGGCTTTGCCCTCCGAGACCGGCTGCCCACGGCGGGCTCGGCAGCGCTCCTCGGGCGCCGGGAGAACCGTACCTGGATGAGGCCGCGGCGGAGCAGCGCAGTGTGGACGCAGCCCGGCACCTCCGCTCGGAGCGACACCGAGCCGTTCCCGCTGCGCAGCCGCCAGCTCCCCCGCAGGCTGCGCCACTCCGGGCCCCCCGCGGCCGCCGCCCGCGGCACCGCCAGCACCGCCAGCACCAGCAGCGCCGCGGAGCCCATGGCCGCGCCCGCCCGCCCCTCGCACAGCCGGCACGGCCGCCAGGAGCGGAGAGCTGGGGCGGCGCTTGCAAGGGAGGAAGGAAGGAGTGAAGGTCGGCGCTGCTGAGGGCGAACGGGCGCGGCTGCGCGCGAGTCTCCGGGACGCACGAGCGGCCCTTACCCCTGGCGGCTGAGGGGACTCGGGGGCAGCGGCTGCGCTGCGCCGCCTCCCTGGCTGGAGCGGCGGTGGGCGCTCGCACAAAACCCTGCCCACGCACGCCAGAGAAAGTGCCGTTGTTGTTTTTGTTGTTGTTGTTGTTGGGTTTTTTGTTTGTTTGTTTTGTTTTGGGGGTTTGTTTGTTTTGTTTTTTGTTTTTTGTTTGTTTTGGTTTTGGTTTTTTTGGGGGGGAATTTTGTTTGTTTTGGGTTTGTTTTGTTATTGTGGTTTTTTTCTCCCATGAGGAAGCACAGCGGAACACTGGTGATAGGAGCTGCGATACCGTTACGAATCTCTCAGAAGGAAAGAGAAAAGGGCAGCGAGGTGGGAAGGAATGAGGAAGGGCTGTGACAACACCGCAGCGGGCTCTCTCGGTATTGGCTCCCTCGAGCCATGAGGTCTATATACGGCCTCAGACTTCCACCTCCTGTTTCCCATAAAATTACAGCGGCGTATAAAACCGTAAAAAACGTCATGAACATCTCAAAGTACTGTGATTTCTCGTAAAGCAGTGCTGGCACTGTTGCAGTGTATTTTGTTCAGAAAAATTGTGTGTTCATCTGCAAAGGGACAGAACAGTGAGCCTCAAAGAACCCAAAGTATGGTTTCCAAATCACACTGCAGCTTTCCTGTATGCCCTCACTAGTTTAATGCCTTCATTGACAGCTCAAAACCAGGAATTAAAGAAACAAGTTTTTAAATGGCTCGATGGAAAGAGTGGAAGACAATCCGTGGCCTGAGCTCATCTTGAGGTGTAACACCCACCCTACTTGATGCCTCTGCCCCCTCTGAGCCCTTGGTGCAGAGGGGCCCAGCTCAGCTCCCTGAACTGGGGATGTTTCACACCATGGCACGGTCCCCCCCCCCAGCTGAAGCTGTACAGCACGTAGAGAACTGAGTTTCATTTTACAGTACAGAAAAGCAAAAGAGTGACTAGCCCACATACCTTCAGGAGGTTGTGGCAGCACAAAACAGAGGAGCATCCAAGAACTTGATTTCAAGACTTGATTCCATGTCTGCCTGCTCACAGCTGTGAGCACATTACAAAGCAGTCGGTTTGCTTTTCTTTAGGTATGAATGGTTTTATTCCCCTCACACAGCTCACTATGAAATTTAAAATGCTCATTTCAGCAGCCATGCTTTGGTTTGTACAGTTTTGAGGTGGGATTGAAATGGTGGGGGTTTTTTAGTTTAGGCCATTTCTTTTGCAGGAGGGGTTTACTTTGGGGTTTTTTTTGGTGGCGGGGTTTCTTGTTTATTGTTAAAGCACAGTTGATGTTCCATCTGGATTCATTAAGTTTCTACTTCATTTATGAACCAGGTCAGAATCCTGGTCAAGAAAATAATATACTGTCTCAGAATACACTTAAGTGAGAAGGTGAAACATGCTTAAAAAACAGAAAACCATGCAAGTTCCTTTAAAGAAGTAATGGTACCATTAGTGTCACTTATCATCCTGTTATTACATGATGTTTTTTCTTTTAATGAATGAGTCAGGTCACTGTGCATACAAGGAAAGCAAACTACTGACTACATATAGGTGCCTACACGTGATTCTGCATAGAAATGCAATAGCATTCAAAGAAATCCCAATTAACTGCAGGACTTTATTCAGTTTTGTCATTTCTCTCCTCATGTTTCTTATTGTTTATAATTATAGACTGTAAACTTAGAGAAGGAAAGAATACATAAAGCACCTTGGGATGTTAGAGTTACTTTAGCAACATATATACAGCTTTTACACCAAATTACAGAAGAATAAAGTGTGACTGACACAAAAACATGCTGCTACTCCTGGTATGCAGCACAGAGTGCAAGAGTAAACTGCAGAACTCAGGGATTACCAGAGTTTGGTTTTCGCTCCTGGTTTTCACACACCTAATTCAGCATACCATAACAGTCTACCCTAGACTTGTCTTTAGGGCATGACTGAACATGGTCAACATGCCTTTATATTTTTGATACAAATCCTTTTGAACTGACAACCCTTCATTTCAATACAACATAAAAATGCTAGTCCTTCAATTCATCTACCATATAAAGAAAAAGTACGCAATACAACCATAGGTGTTTTTTCACCTGTGAGAGCACAGGGAGGGGCACAGTTCTGAAAAATACTGGTCCAAAAAGAAAAAAGTAGCTGATCTTTTTTTTCCTCTTAAAATTTCTGCTACTGATTTCAAAAAGGGATAGATGGGACCCATACTGTTCAGCAGCAGAAGTCTGTGCAGAAATTTAGCTGTTAGTTCCCATGTGTGTATTTTTAAGACTGAGTAACCCACATTCAATATATTGACTAACTGAAAGGCAGGTTCCATTTCAGTTCAACTCCCAGCCACCTTTTAGTGAGATTTAGAGAGAATTAAGTTTTAATGCTACCAAAGAACAATTTGCAAATTGGCTTTTTTCTTTTTTTAATACATTTTTTTCAGTAAGTCATGTGATAGCTTCCCAGTAAGAAGGAAACTGCATTTCAAGATGATTACTGTACTTCCGTGTTTTCTTTGCCGTTTATTCTTTCTGCTGAAGACTGACTGAAGCAACACACACACACATAAAAACCTCAACCTAAAAACAATGCTGTAATTAAGTATTCTGAGAACATGCTGTTTCCTTGTTCAAGGCTTATAATTAAGTTAAATCATGTTTCATTTTCATGTCCCAGTTTTAGGGTTTGTTTTTTGTTTGAGAGCATTTTTAAATGAATGACATTTTTGCTGTTTAAAGATATGAAAGTTTTAAAGGCAGTGGTTTTATTTTTTAAAATCTTAAGACACAAAACAAGATCTTTTGTGTGCTTTTTTACTGTGTACCACATTAACATTATTTTCTGAAATCCCACAAATTTAGGTTGCTACTATTATTACTTTGCAGTACTGCAAGCAGATATTCTTATCAACTAAGACAAAAAGCTGAAGGCAAACCTATGCCTTTGACTCTGTCAGAATAAATTCAGAGTAGTTCCGTTGAAGCTGCCCAAATTCTGCCATGTTAATCCAAAAGTCCTTTGTTTCCAATTGCATATGCAGTTTCTATCATCACAACTGCTGCTGTTTTCTCTTTCAAATTCATGTTAAATGAATTCATGCAAAGGTTTCAAACAGGTTCTTGCAGATTTGGGTGCAGTACTTCAAGATATTACTGCCCCCACCTGTCCACCCTGTACTATTCTTCTCCTGAAGGTAAACATCTCTGAAGCAAAACAGGACTTGCGTTCACACCAGTCCACATCAGGGCATGCTGTCTCTTTTGGTAGCTGTGCACTGCTGAGGATACCACCACCACTGACCATCTGTCAAAGGTGCAAAGCAACTAAAGGATCATCTACCCTGTGGAATTTTGTCTAGATGCAGAAGTATCAATGCAGACATGTCGGATAAGTACTGGTATGAAACTGGACTGGTGTTTGTATGACTAAATACCTTCAGGCAGCACAGCATATCCATATGAAAGCCCCACAGCTCCTCAACATAACACCTGACCTCTGTTTCCTGACTGCCTCTGCAGAACAGAACTGCTGTGCAAAATAGTTACTCCCTGGGCTGGGGTAAAGGCCATATGATGCAGGGAGCTCTCCAGCTATGGATTTGTAAAGGACGTTATTCCGTATTTATCTTGAATCCCACCCAAAATGATGTTAAAAATAAAATGAGGAAATAAATTAAGATTGCTTTTAGAGGAGGACGCTATTCATACAGCACTAGAAGAGAATGTTTTACTAGGTTATCATGAGCAAAATACAAAGTAGGCCTAAAGTTTCTTTCATAATTCTGGTAAAGTCAGTAGGTCATTGCAAGGGGATTTCCTTAGCAAACAAAATTACTCAATGCTAGCAATCACAAGTAATTAAAAATAAGTATGTGGAAGAGAAGTACTGCTGCAGGCAAATGCTATAATGGAAGGGAAAAAGCAAAATATATGTAATAATAATTTTAAAATTGCATAAGCAGGAAGACAGGTGATACCTTGAATGTAACCTTAAATTTCATCAGATATGCTGGGCCAAAAGCTTGTATTTCATATCTCTACATAACATCTTGCTTTGAGATGAGCTCAAAACACAGGATTTAGGTTTCAGGTCACCACCTTCTATAGCACAGACACAAAAAGTGGAAGGATCTTTAAAACCAGCATGGCCAGATTTCTACAGACAGGTTCTTTAGAAGGTGGAATTCCCACAGCTTTTATTCTCTTCATTTTTTAAACAATTTTGAAACAATCCTAATCTATTTTTAAGATTACATGACACTGACCATTGTCGTTTACCTTTTGTTTCATGAACAGCAAAGTCACTGTCTGAAGACCAGGTATGGTGCTGTCCAACCTCGCCATCAACTCTCATTAAAACTCACTTAAAACATATTGAGAATCAACGCCAATTCTCTGTCACTTACAGGAAACTAGCCTTTCTTAAAGGTCTAAAGCTAGACAGTCATCTGTCTGCAATGTACAACCACAATACAATGTACGAAAAAAGCCTCGTCCCCAAAAGCCTAAAATTAAATCCCTCAAAACGTGCGTATTGCAGGTAACAAACAGTTTCTCCCATGATGGAAGTTTGAGAGGCTCACTGAGCCTTTGTACTTGGCACTTTACCAGCTGAGTGCAGTACACACCAAATAGAGCAAACTAAATATGAAACATACTGTTTTAATGAATGTTTTCTGTGCAGGTGACTATTACGAGAATCTCAACATAGGTTTATAGCTGATGAACTGGATGACTAAATGGATTTGGAGTTGAAACAGCTGGGAGTTAGATTTCTTTTTCTAACTCAAGTGACTCTAGACAAACTACCGGGGCAGGTTAGGACCTCTGTTTCTCAGACTTTCAGTGGGGGTAATGCACCTGGCTTCAGCGCTAGGACAAACTATTAATTTCTGCAAAAATGACTCAAATGTAAGCACCGGGGAATAT